GATGATATCCGGAGCATGGCCACCTCCTGCACCCTCTGTGTGATAAGTATGAATTGTGCGGTTCTTGAAAGCAGCGATTGTGGATTCGACAAAGCCAGACTCATTGAGTGTGTCAGTGTGAATAAGACATTGAATATCGAATTCATCACAAACACTGAGACAAGCGTCAATAGCAGCAGGAGTGCAGCCCCAGTCTTCATGAAGCTTGAGACCACAAGCACCAGCATTGACCTGATCGCGCAGACCCTCAGGAGAACTATCATTACCTTTACCAGTAATACCAATATTGATAGGAAGCTGATCACACGCCTGCAACATCTGACGCATGTAATGAGCACCAGGCGTACAAGTAGTTGCGTTCGTTCCAGCACTGTAACCACTGTCAGCCTCCAAGATAACACGATGAATGCACATTGGACAAACCTTGGACCTGTACCACCGCCAAGCATAGTGGTCACACCAGATGCAAGAGCTTCGGGTACTTGCTGAGGACAGATAAAGTGAATATGCGTGTCGATAGCGCCCGCGGTCACAATCTTTCCTTCGCCTGCTACGACATCTGTGCAGCTTCCGACGACCATGCCCTCTGTTACGCCATCCATAACGTCTGGGTTACCTGCTTTGCCGATACCAACGATCATGCCCTCTTTGACTCCGATATCTGCCTTATAGATACCCGTCCAGTCCACGATGAGAGCATTAGTCACCACGAGATCGAGGGTGTCGGCATCGTGTCGTCCAGTCGCTTGACCCATTCCCTCACGCAGTGTTTTACCACCACCGAATTTACATTCATCACCGTAGACAGTTTCGTCGCGCTCGACCTTAATCCAGAGATCTGTGCTGCCGAGTCGAACGAGGTCTCCAGTTGTAGGGCCAAACATAGTCGCATAAGACGCATGGTCCATCTGAAAATCATCGATGTGAGCCATGTCGCCGGCAGGGTCTGGCTTGTGAGCGTATCCAGCTTCTTGCAATCGAGCGAGGATTTCGTCGGCGCGTGAGAGGTCAACAACTCCTGATGCAAGGTTGTTACCACCGCGGATAACACGGTTGCCACCAATCTCAACGAGGGTAACAGTCTTGGTATCTCCGGGCTCGAATCGTACTGATGTTCCAGCGGGAATGTCGAGTCGATAGCCATAAGCACGAATACGGTCGAATTCAAGCTGTGGGTTGGTCTCGATGAAATGATAATGAGATCCAACCTGAATAGGTCGATCACCTGTACTCGTTACCTGAAGACGAATTCTCTTTCTTCCTTCATTGAGGGTAATCTTCTTGGTCTTGACAGGAACAACAGCACCAGGCTGCTTATCGAGTTGATAGTCTTCAGTCGCAGCCATAGGAAAGATACTGTTGTCTGGCACAGGGAGAAAACTTCCATATAGAGCTCTCCTCAAATCTCCATCATCTGAGCTGATGGGATTATGGACTGTGACGAGGTATGTACCTGATGGAAAGGTACCTTCGACTTGAATCTCGTGAAGAGTCGTGCAGACTGAGGGCAAGACGTGGCGACGACCTAGCATCGTGGCGCCCAGTGCCATAAGGTCAGAGACAGTATGATTACCATCTCGAATGAGTTCATGGAGGTTATTGGCGATGAGGGCCTAAATTCATAGTGTTAGTTAAGTAAGGCAAGTTCCTGATTGACTCATATTTTCTCATATCGAGTTGATATCATACTCACCACAGCCTCAGAATGGTTCAGCTTGACTCCTCTCGCCAATCGTCTCTGAGCAAGCAATCCCAGCTGCGAGATGACTAGCTTGTCGATCTACAAAGTATGTTAGAGCTCTTTCATGTGCTATTCTCATGCTGCCCGCAACAACCCTGCAAAAGCAACGTCTCCAACCAACGGCATGACTCCGCAGACTGGGTCTCTTAGCCTTGGCGAATAAAGACGAACCTCTTTAGGTACCAGATGCATGTTTGCGATAATAGACTCTTTTTTCTGGTTACTTATCAAGAGATCAAAGAATCTAAAGAGTGAGAGTGTGAGGAGGGGCCAAAAGTGTATGGTTAGTTACAGTCAGGTAAGGTAGCTATCTCGGCACGGAATAGCCGCATCAAGAGTAGCCTGACATTTTTACCTACAACGGGCTGGACTCTCTAGCTACAGTTACGGTGCTTCCCCCACTGTAACTTGAGATAACGGGCTTCTTGGGGTTGCTTTCATTGATAAGTCGAGGCCGATCGATTGGTCATTCACTTGCGCCCGTTGTTGACATGGGTTTACATCATTCAACTCTTCTCACTCGATTATTGGTTCTCAACTTGTTGATTGTGTAAACCTTTATACATAGTCGATAACGCTTCAACAGAAAACTATAATTGGCTTGTAGTTTCGGAAGCAATCGAATTGAAGGCCAGTTACGCCCTCAATGTAAATCCAATCTCTTCAGTCGCTCCGTTATCTCTTCATCATCGTTTTCAGAGAGTAAATAACGACTAGTGGTATCCCGATTCTAGGTAGCATTAACTCATCGCCTAAACTCCATCATGTACCATCCAACGCCTTTGCACGAATCAAGTCTACCATAACAGTAGAAGAATCATACCTAGGGACCAGACCTAGGGGGACTCGGCCAAATAGGATTTCTAATCCTCCTCCACTTCCTCATCCCATTGCTCTTTTTCTTTGTTCATCAGTTCGCTCATATCTACCGGCTTGAATATCGAACTCTCCGGATCTGTAATTCTCGGAACCTTGCGTAGACTTTCATCATCAAATACTGATCCTATTGTATCGATCCATCGCTTTCGTCGCTCCATGAGCGTCTTCGTAAGATCGCCTATGCCCGGACGAGCGGTACCCGCAGCGCCGCCCACAAAGTGACTGCCACCACCTGCACCTCCGGGACGCTTTGTCTTCTTGCTCTTGCCCATCGTGCGTGTGCGCTTCAGGTATGCAGCTTGCACTTGGCCGTCAAGATCCTCGAGGATGGTCTGATATTCCTGGTACGCCATACGTTCTCGTACAAGGTCCGTGAGACGAGCCTTGCGCGCACCGTTGATCAGCATCTGCTCCTTGAGGCGGTTTTGCAAAAGTCTCAATCTTGCTGCGACCTCGTCGTCAAAATGGCCATCGTACTCTGCTTCGAATCCATCAAGAGGAAGAAATCCAATGTGTCGGAGTTCCTGCTTGATGCGTTCATCAACCTGTGAATATTCCAATTTTGGATGAGAAGCTTTCTTCCAGGCCTCCGTTGATGACTCAGGCATAAAAGCTGCCGGCTGCTGGTTCGGTTTGTCATCAGAGGATGCGGGCTTATCTTCGACGTCTGCGTCACCATTCATGCTAATATCTCCATTGGTGGTTCCGTTTGTCGTAGGCTTGTCGTCTGCTGATTGCGCGCGGGCTTCAGGTCGAAGCGTTTGCATTAAACGAGTCAACCAAGGGCCTACTGAAAGCTTGTCTGTCTCTCCGACATCATCGTCCATGTTGTCTATGCTTCCTCGTGGCTGGTTCGGGGGGAGTTTATCTCGCCCTTGTTGTGGTGTGTCGATCGACATTGCGCCGTCCTCCTCAGCCCATATCTCTGTATAGTGTCTCTTGCCACGTTTAGGCATGACGAAGGGTGTCACACGATCCCCTCGTTCTCGTAGAAAGGCTAGATCCTCTTCGGAAAATGGTCTGAAGAACGGCTCCACGTACGTCGAGAACGTAGAGAAGTTAATCTGACTGTTGGGCTTTGCATTGCTAAAATCCTTGTCGGGAGGATCGCCAGCAATAAGGTCGGCAAGATCTGATGGCGGGTATGTTGCAACTGAGTAGATCTCTTTGCGTTCTTCATCGGGCATTCCAGGATAGGTCGCTCGAATCTCGTAAATGGTGGGGTCAGGGAAGGTGGAAGGATCTTCGCCGAATGTCATAGCTTGGGGTTGTTCGCGACGAGGAGGCGCACCCTCGTCTTCAGAGCTTGACTCTTCTTCCTCTCCCTCTTTCTCTTCGGTCTTGGCCTTCTTGTCGACATCCATGGCCGATGGTGAGCCAGCATGTGTAGGTGACAAGGGCGAACTCGGATCGCGGTCGTGTTTACGGTTTTTCGAGTCTCGCATCGGTGACGAACGTTCTATAGGAAGTTAGTTCGGAACCCAATGTTTAGGTAATTAACTGCCGGTGCCAGCAACTGACAACCTCTGTGGCCAGACGGCTGCCTCAGGCTAAACACATATATCATGGAAAAACATACCGACATTGCCTTCCTGCGGCGCAAGTGAATCGGGCTTCTTTCTTTTATGTTTGGGTCGTTTTCCTTCTTGTTCACCGTCGGCGCGATTGCTATAATCTTCAGATGGTCGCTTCTTGCGCTCGTCTGCCAAGTGTCTCATCCCGCGATCGTAAAATGTCGAGCGCTTTTCCATAATATTGGATAAGCTTTTGAGTCGTTCAATCATGCCATCAAGGCTCTTTGAATCTGGAATGGTTGCATTTGAGGCGGATTGATCGACGATATCATCATAGGTAAGATTGCGAAAAAGGATGACTCTCGTGTTAAGATAGTCTGGATCGTAAAATTCCTGTGGTGGTAGACTAGCTGTCGCGACTGGAGCAGGCGTGGTGTTGCGGCTCTGCTTTGGTATGGCCGAGTTCTTCTTGCCAGTCCCTTTCTGACTCGGCCCTGGAGGCATGATCGCGGGTGTTGGAGAGTATAAATGAGCGTGGTTATTATGCGCTTGATTGGAGGTTTAGTTGCGCGTGATTTATCAGATAGAATCGAAGGTTGAGTGGAAGATTTTGATGATTATTGCGACAAGGGAACAATAACAGACAGTAACGACACGGCTCCAAAGCACGCGATCCTATTAACGTGCGTCACGGTACAGGTTGGGCGTCGGTACGTACCTGCCCCTTGATGTTCTCAGCTGAGGGGAAACAGATGCCCCGGATGAGACCCTTGCACTTGGAAGAGCAGGCACGGAATATGTTTAGTTCCGTTCCTTTCCTTTCAAGAACTATCAGAAGCAAACAATTGAATGCAAGCATCTTTAATCGTGAAGTCTCTGATATAAGTACAAGTCACTGTCGCTAACGGCTCTTCTCCTGATCCTTACCTAGTATTCAATTCTTGATGTAAAGCACATACTGAGGTCAATCAACGACGCGACAACTCATTGACACTCACATAAATGACTACTCTTTCTACAGTAATGATTCCCAGAAATTAAATGACGAGAACCACGATTGATGCAAGAGCCGGAACACAGCAATCCGACTTCAAATACATACATCTTCTTCTAGAAAGTCCATTGATTTGACTTATTCAAATACAGCAGCGAAAGGCATTATCTAGCTGATTTCAGACACCCCTGGAGAGCAAGGAATTTGACTTGAAACCAAGGTGTCAAAATTAATTAATCTATAGGCATACTAAGTTAGACCAACTTTACATACGTCTTTTTGTCATTTAGGATAGAAGTCCTAAGCTTTCTTACTACATAGACACATGCAAGGTAGATACTACCTACGAAGACTTGGACCCCAAAGCCACCAAGTATTTCCGGGGTTTTAACCAAGTTAACTGCATTCTTGCTAGCAATATATTTTCACGACCAAGATCGCGTTGTCTGTCCTGCACTGGATAAATCATGCATAAAACACTCAATGACTCGCAGTGCAACCTTTCTATAGGTGCAAAGGAGTTGCACGTTCTTCGATAGCTCTTCTTACTCGCAGCAAACCAGAAGAAAGCCCTCAACTTCACTCAAAACTTGGACTTTGGAAAACAAGTTAATGGTGCTTCTGTCCTGTCGACAAACACCAACGCTCGAAGCATCAGCGTCACCTATTAGCAAGCCATTCATGTTCAAAGGATCCATGGACAATTAGTTTGGGCGAGAGCATGATAATTCGGAATTATTGTCATTACTTCCCAGAACGATTGATTCTTGTTCATACTCAGATCCAGCGACGTGGCCATTGCAGCCGATAACTCCCGCACAGTTCAATTGGCTTTTCTTCATTGCAACACAAAATCTCTTGAATCTCATTCCAATTGTCTGGGTTCTCTCATTTATCCGTACGTCAGTGTTGATGGCCACATGTGGTTGGCTACCATCGTCTGATTGGTCGTTGCGATTCCCTTTTGGAACGACCCGACTAATACGAAAACACCAAGCACATCTAATCTGTGCAAATAACAGGTTACGACTTTGGTTTCTTTTCACCTGTTAAGATTCGTCTCTGATTTAATGATGTTTGCTCTTGGAGTGAAGAGTCAATACAGCAATGTCTTGTTCATTGTGAGAGTCAACCTCTGTCATCACCACAACCCATGCTCGAGAAGCCTCGTCACCCTCGGCTCTTCAAGCCCATGATCGTCAACTATACTCAGTTGAAACCACTTGCTAACTATATACCCCACTCACACGCCACGAGCAAGAGTAACTACTCATAGCGAACGAAGGATGGCACATGTTTGCCGCCGCCGCAGCCTTGCAAGACCCTTGAAACTCTATCAACTCTGAACATGTGCTTCAGCTATTGGCTCCCACCTCCATCACCCACCTTATAGCTCATACCTAGAGTGAGCCCTGGCGGCGGGGTTATCGTGGCTATCTGGTGGGGTTGAGCAGATCAACAGGGACCTTTATACACATGAGCAAGTAGATTCGCGTTGAGCACATCGTGTGCGAGGCGTCAGAGCTGCCGACTACGTACAATGGCCGTTGTACCGAGACAATGTACCCGAATTGGTTTTCGAGCCAGGTCTCCTTGGTTGTCAACTCGCGTGCCTCGACCTATATATCCCTGGCTCGCCGTGTCCTTGTTGCTCGATTTTTCATCTGTCTTCAACTTGATCGTGTGAACAGCTTTCAACACTGCTTCAATAGCTCCCTTCTTTCAACACTCATTCTCTCATCATACAATGAGAGAGTATCATGGCTTCTCATGTAAGCCTGCACCATGTCCCCAACTCCAATGCCTGCTAATTAACATGCCAGGGTGGTAACATGTTGTCCTTGGCTAACGCTCAGTCTCTTCTGGTCGGCATCGTTGCTACTGCTCTCAGCACGCTCTGCCTCACCTCAATCTTCTCCAGTAAGAGTCAGGACGAAGCCCCGGGCCTAATTAAATCTTTCTTCCTTTTCTTCTACTCCTCCTTCATCAAACCCCACCAGGGCGGCAAAAAGGGCAATCAACAAGATGCCCTTGAGAGCTTCTACAAGAAGCAAGCCGGGGCTTATGATGCTACCCGAAAAGTCCTCCTTCGTGGTCGTGAGGACATGCTGGCTCTTGTTGCCGCGCAGATCCAGGCAAAGCTGACGGACGATGCGCCTAAGAATGGCAACAAGAACAAGCGAATCTGGGTTGATGTGAGCTACTATGACAACCATGTTGTTGCAACAAATGACTGATATGTTATACAGATTGGCGGTGGCACTGGCTTCAACATTGAGGCCATGGGCGCATTCGTCGATGTCCCAACCTTCTTCTCGAGCGTATACCTCGTCGACTTCTCCCCTTCTCTCTGTGAAGTGGCACGAAAGCGATTTGAACGCCTTGGCTGGAAGAATGTCAAGGTTGTGTGTGAGGACGCTCGCAAGTTCCGCCTTGAGGATTATGAATCTGGGATGCCTTTAAAGTCGATTCCTCCTCGTTCCCCTGCTCTGAGCTACTTTGACAAGCCTCGCCCTGACTTTGGTGGAGCGGATTTGATCACCATGTCTTACAGCTTGTCCATGATTGTATGTCCCACTGTGCTTTGAAGTCTACGACCCGCTGACATGTTATTATAGCCCGACTACTATTCAGTCATTGACTCTGTGATTTCTCTTCTCTCACCCCAAGGTATCTTGGGAGTGGTAGACTTCTACGTCCAGAACCAGGTTGACTTTGCCTTCCGAAACTACACTGGTGGTCTTGTCGATCGTCACGTCAACTTCTTGTCCCGAAGCTTTTGGCGCTCTTGGTTCGATCTTGACCGGGTTGGTCTTGAGCCCAGTCGCCGAGATTACCTCGAGTACAAGTTTGGTACTGTCCTTAATGTGAACACTCGCAACAAGGGCCTCGGAGCTATCCCCTACTACATCTGGCTCGGATGCCACAAGAAGCCTTTCTCGTCGTCTAGTCTTCCCCACGAGATTGTTGAACGCATTGACGCCCTGGTTACAGAGTCCCCTTACCTGTACCCTGCCAACCACGGAGATGCCCTGACTCGAGCCATTGAAAGGTCTGCTCCTGAGATTCGATCCAAGGCGTTCCTCACTGCAGTTCAGAATCTGTCTTCCAACCTCCCTCTCCCCTCGTTCTTCTACCAGAACCACCATTGGCGCATCTACTACGATGAGCAGCTCCCCAAGCACACTCAGTTCAAGGACGAGTACATCTATGCTTTCACTTGGGAGGACACTCGTGTTGATGAACGCCTCTTGAAGCTCGGTGCTGATGACAAGGTCCTGGCCATTACTTCTGCTGGTGACAACATTCTCTCGTATCTCCTTCAAAACCCTGCCCGTGTTCATGCTGTCGACTTGAACCCCACCCAGAACCACCTGCTCGAACTCAAGGCTGCTTCTTACACTGCCCTCCCATATGAGGATTTCTGGAAGATCTTTGGAGACGGAAAGCATCCTCACTTCCGTGAGTTGCTCATCACCAAACTCTCTCCTCATCTTTCTGGCCGCGCATTCCAGTACTGGCTCAAGAACGTCCATGTCTTCCAGAACAGCAGTGGTTACGGTCTTTACGATACCGGAGGTTCTCGCCACGCTATCCGTGTCTTCCGTTGGATTGCCCGGATCTTTGGTCTGCAGAAGGCTGTGAAGCAGCTCCTTGAGGCGAAGACTCTGAATGAGCAGCGAGAGATCTGGCGACGAAAGATCCGCCCCGCTCTTCTCTCTAAGCTTGTCTGTAATCTGGTTGTCTCTCAGGAGAGCTTCCTCTGGGCTGCTCTTGGTGTTCCTAAGAACCAGCTGGCCATGATTGAGGCTGATCACGCCGAGTCGGACCTCGTGAAGGGTCCCAAGCCTGCCGCCAAGAACACTCGCTCTCATGCTATTTGGCACTACATGGTCAACACTCTTGACCCTGTCGCTGAGGAGACTCACATAGCTGCTGATAACCCTTACTACTATGTTTGCATGGATGGCAAGTTCTCTCCCAAGTGTCACCCTGATTATCTCAGCCCCAGGGCCCACGCCAAACTCTCTCGCCCCAATGCTCTTGATGGTCTCCGTATTCACACTGATGAGCTCGAGGAGGTCATTGCACGCATCACCCCCGGTACTCTGACTGTTGCCGTCGTCATGGACAGCATGGACTGGTTCGACACTGGATCTCGGGCCGCTGCCGCCCAGATCACTAAGCTTAACCGAGCTTTGGCTATGGGTGGTCGTGTGCTGCTCCGTTCTTCGGCCTTGACCCCATGGTACATCAAAGAGTTTGAGGCTCATGGCTTCTCACCTAAGCGACATGGTGCTCGCCTCGATGGAGCCTGCATTGACCGTGTCAACATGTATGCTAGTTGCTGGATTTGCACCAAGTCGGAGAACTTGCCTCCTCCCACCCCCGAGATGGATCGTGCTGGAGGCTCTGAGATTACTTCTTTGACTATCTAACTCGGACAGCTGGATTGGACTGAGATAAGGATTTGATATCGCGGAAATTAGTACAGAACAGAATAACGAGCTTGAACAATAAAAATTGATATTGCGCAGCTGCTTCTTAGCCTTCATCCTGCTAGACTCTGAAAGCGTTGGCAAAGCCTACAAATTTCACAAGCCAAAACGCGCTGGAAACCAGAAACCAGAACCTTAGGTTCGGAAGTAAAGTAAAAGAGCCGTCTTATGTGAAATTGACGCAATCTTCGTTAACTCAAAGGAAATTTTTCTATACAGGTGTCTGCAGTCACAAATGTGCGCGACAAGTAGTACTATCAACAGCATCCTTCATACCTTACACACGCCAATCAACGCTCAACCACTTTATGCCTTCCACACTCGTCGGACAGCCTCGGTGATACCAACGTCGTTGGTCTCGAACTCGTACAGTCCAACACCAACGAGGACAGTCGCAATGTTGAGGAGCCAGTTGAAGATCTTTCGGAGGCCGGGGTAGGTCCTTGAGGGAATGTAGTCGATGACGACCTGCTGGAAGCCCATGTGGGAGTGGAGGAGGAGAACACTGCAGAGGATGGCGTCGAGAGTAGGGTTGAGAGATCCAGCGGCGAAGGGAGCGACGGTCAAGGGGACGAGGCCGGCGGCGAGGAGACGCTCGAAGGTCCAGTGGTAAGAGCCGTGCGCGGCGTTGGGCTCGGGGATGGGAGCAGGGTCGTTGACTAGAGTATACGTTAGTTATTGATATTCATATCATGTGAAGCCGGTCAAGTTGCGACTCAGCTTCTGGTTATATTCGTACCACCACCCTCGATGCGCTCTGTGAATACGTTAGCATATGGTCCTTATAATAAAGGTACTGGTACGCACGAGGTCCGGGAGGGAGAATAGCAGATCGTCGAGCAGTGTTGTGGAAAGCAGCGACATCCTTAAGCTGAGATCGGATGCTAGGCATAGGCATGAAGGTGGTTCGGGTCGCGGGGACAGCGGCCAATCGAGAAGCCATAGCGGTCTGCCTAAGCAGAGAGGAACGCGCAATTGAGGCCATTTTGAAGCGTTGAATGATCTATTCTTGTTGATGTTGTCGCGGCGCTCAATTGGTGGCTGCTTCGAAGGGCGTTAGTGGTTTAGAGGAAGAATTGAATTGATGATGTCGACCTCAATCAATTCGAACTGGCCCGGAACTGGATGTCCTACCATTGCCGAGGATCTCGAATTACCTCTTTTGTGATTGGTTCAAGGCGTCCCGAAGGTTTCCCTGTGGTGTGGATACCTCTGGCTGTCACGGAGCCAATAGCGCTGTTTCGTCAATGACATCTGTGATTGGTCAATATTTGAAGATCCTATCCGACGTCGCTTGGATTTTTTTGGGCTAACAGCTTCGAGCCCATGATGCCCAGATTTGTTTGAGTTGGAGAAGAGTTGGATCCTTAAGACGGTTTCTTTGATTGTCGTCCCATTGATTTCCAACTGAGCAATTGCTCAATCCGTCCACCATGGCGATCCATGCCACCATCTCGAAACTTGGGCCCTCACGAACAACCATATATTCGAGATGCCTTAATGCACAACGGTCCCTCCAAGTTCGAAATGTTGCTACGACGTACCTCAAAAAGGTTGCAGAAGGCGAGGAAAGATGGAAAGAGAGGGCAGAAAGGATTCAGAATGGCGAGATTCCACACACATGGGATGTTCTTCAAGAACGAGGATATATCAAGGATGTGGCAGGGTATGCGACACTACCCATGATCCTCAACTCGACTATCTATCTAACTTATACATTAGATCCCCCGATAAGATCAAGGAGATTATGCGTGTCCGTAGAATAGGCTCCTACGTCGGTATCGATCCCACCGCCGACTCGATGCACGTCGGTCACTTGCTACCTCTAATGCCCATGTTCTGGATGTGGTTCCACGGTTATCCTGCTGTCACATTGATCGGTGGCTCGACTGCCCGTATTGGTGATCCTACCGACCGACTCGAGAGCCGAACGATTCTTTCCAATGCCGATATTTCCAAGAACATCACAAAGATTCACGTCCAATTGACGAAGTTATGGAAAAATGTCCATGTATTAAAGCAGAAGTACGGATATGAGGAGGACTGGGCTGCCACACATCGGTTGTTGAACAACAACATGTGGCTAGGGAACCTTACTCTTTATGATTTTGCCAAGAGGATAGCCAGACATACAAGAATCGGACCTATGCTGGCAAGGGATACGTGAGTAACCCTCAAACCCAGAAACTGCCATTCAGAGTGCTAATAAAGACTTGTAGTGTTAAGCGAAAGATGACTGAAGGAGACGGTATGTCTCTCGGCGAGTTTATGTATCCTCTTCTTCAAGGGTGGGATTTCTGGCATATGTACAACAAACTTGGCATTCAGATGCAGATTGGAGGCTCAGATCAGTATGGCAACATCACTGCTGGAATCGATGCCCTCAAGACCATTCGCGAGACCGAAGAGGCACCCCACCTGAAGATGCCTTCAACCTGGGATCATGAGCCAGTAGGTTTCACCGTGCCTTTATTAACAGATTCTGCCGGCAACAAGTTCGGTAAAAGTGCTGGCAATGCTATATGGTTGGATGAGTTCAAGACAACGGCATTCGACTTGTACGGTTATTTTGTTCGAAGGTCTGACGAGGAGGTTGAGAATTTGCTCAAGATGTTCACATTTATGCCTTTGGAGCAGATCTCCAAGCTCATGGAGGAGCACCGAGCAGCTCCCCAGGAGCGAAAGGCACAGCATACTTTGGCTTTCGAGGTTCTTTCACTTATTCACGGATCTCAGAAGGCTGTTCAGGAAGCCAAGCAGCACGAATTCCGATTTGGTACCAAGCTACCTCGCGGTATTGTCAACGAGCCCACGGCAGATACTGGCATCGTCACCGTCAACAATGCTCCAAGAAGCGATATTCAACTTCCCCGCTCCATCATGGGCATGTCGCCGGCAAAGATTCTCCACGCTGTTGGTCTCGCATCCAGCAGCAGTGAAGGTCAGCGTCTGCTCTCTGCACAAGGCGCCTATATCGCCGCGCAGCCTGGTCAGAAGAGGGGACTCGTCCCCGGCAATCTGTCCTGGACTCCCATGAAGGCTTGGTTCCCCGAAGAGACTGCCAAGTTCCTCATTGACGAGCGTATGCTCATCATGCGCAAGGGCAAGCACAACGTCCGAATCGTCGAGCTCATCAGCGATGAAGAGTGGAAGAAGAGCGGCCAGATCTACCCTGGCCAGCCCGGTACTGGTCTCCTGCGCAGAATGAAGGAGGAGCTGAAGAAAGAGATTGAAGCGAAGGGTAGGTCAGTATCAGACAAGGAGCTTACTGAAATTGCCACGAGGAAGAAAGACCAATTGAATGTTGCCAATAACTCAGATATTGAGCTGCCCAATAAGCACGATGTGCGTGAGAGGCGGGCTCGACTTACATGGGATAGGAGAGACAAATGAGGGGCTGCCTGCGCAGGATCGGCTTGTGTTTGCCGTGTAACATAACACTGTAGTATATTGTAATCTGCATGATACCATAGATATGATGTAAAATGTTAAAAATGATGGGTATAAAAGTTTGAAACTGGATCTATCTATAAAAGACTGCCAAGTCCCCCTTTGGAACTGGCAACTTCTTGAGTTTCTCCATAATTTCACTGTCCGTCATGTTCTGCTCTGTGATAATTTGGTCAAAGTGGTGACAGCCATCCGTATACTTCTGCAGTGGATCTCCTCCTGGGACAGGCCGGCTTTGGCCAGAGGCCAAGGCGGCAAGATATTGCTTAGAGACGACGAATTTGTGAACGCGGTATATGCAACCTTTTATGACGCCGAACTGAACAAATCTGCGAACGTCAACGAAGCGGAGGACCTCGAATCCCGTGTCTTGGTGCCCCTTGAGCCATTCCATGACGGATTTTCCAGGAGCAAAGGTGGACATGAGTTTGATAAGATGATAGTTGCTCACAAGGCCGCGTCCGTGAGATACATATGCAGCACACTCATCAACCATCCCGTCAACATTTCGGATAAAGTCATGAATCCCAGGCCGTGGAGCGTAGCATGCCGTGAAAAAGAACATGTCAAGAAGTAGAATAGTGTCGTAGTAGAGGAGATGGCGGAGTGCAGTTTTTGCTAGCTCAAGAGAGACAGAAGCAGCGTGAGCGATACGTCGAACATCAGAAACACCGTCGATGTGAGATATGACTTTCTGAAGGGTGAGATCCCAGGTCGGATCCATAATGTCCGAGAATTTGGCTTTTGGGACAGGGACATGCCAGCCTCGAACCCTAGGAGGATCCATGTGGTGAGGGAAGAGCTTCATGTTGATAGTATTGGCTTCGTCTGCAAATTCATTAGTATCAAGTCCGTTCCAGCGACAAAGTTAGCTTACCAACTGGAATCATGCACTCTCCATAATTGTCCAAATCCTCCTTAACAATCTCAAGCAAACTATCAATCGGTCTCCTCCCAGATCCTTTAGTCTCTGCATTTTGGCTCAGATACTCGTTCTGTTTTTCCATCTCAGAAAAGGTAGAGGCTAGACCACGAACGACGCGCTCATAAGGAACGTGATCGACATCAGCGTCGAGCACGAGGCCGAAGTTGAAGATGAACTCATTTCGAAGATACTTGGTGTGAGGAATAACAACTGGGTATCCTAGGACAGTATACTTTCCGTCTGGTGTGTTGATGGTGAGATAGCGATTGCAGAAGGCTTGTCTAGGAATGATGTACTCATGGAGTACGTCGAAGTCGATGAGAGGGGATTTGGTTGAGCCTTCGACGGGGGTTATGCAGCCTGCGGGGGACTGTGCGACGATCTTGGGGCCTGAGGGGCATTAGCAAAGATATATGAACTCATTGGTCTTTGACTATTTACCCTCTTGGGGGAAGAATCTGGCGTAAAAGATGCCTTGAATCATGATGAACTTGGGGTCATTATCTGGTATTAATCAGAGATGTTGAGATTGACTCTGACCATTCGCCGGTGTATATATATATGAAAGAGATGGTATCTTTTCTTCTAGGCGATTCAGCTCATTCCATTTTGTCAATAATTTGAGTGCATCATATTGAAGCTTCAGATGAGAGTTGAAGATGGTTTAGTGAAGCTATGTTCGCAGTTCAACTCAATTGAGATCAAGACCAACGCCCCACGCTAGTGGTTACCCTGTATCAACCCAAGACCCTCGTAAAAAGTGTAGGTGGTGTGTTCATTATTGAACGTCAAGATGAGTATAATTAATTGAGATCTCCTGCCAAAGTCTTCTGGCCATCATCTAACTAATCTCATTTTTTCGGAACATTGCGCTGTTTAAGCCTTTTTGAACAAACGGAACCGAATACCTGCGAGAGCGAGATGGGTGCTTGAATCACAGCTTATATGCAGCCTAAAGCCACAAAGTGTCACCCATGAGGCCCAAAGGAGGTATGAAAAGGGGAATAATTTTAATACATGACGTCCGCCTTTTCGGTTAAAGAGGTTGAGAAGAGGTCTAGTCCGTATCTCCCGGAAATGATGTTGACTTCGCCGTGATTACTGGAATCTGGCTACAGAAGATGATGGACGGTGGTGGAATAAGATGTTATGTGTTCATATGCTTGAGAGAGAACCCTTCAAGAGAAATGATCCTGTCTCATAAAAGTCTTTTGATACATATCGTAACTCACATGAAAAGTCTCTATTTACAGAATATTTCTTTTTTTAACTTCTCCAAATCCTGTCCTGATTAATCGACTCTACCATTCATTCTATTTGATAATTATCCAGAGCGCGTCATTGGCAGTAAAAGTTGCCCCACGTCACTACCGACTGACAATACCACCTGAGCCTGCCCCAACCCGAGCCCGGGCTGCCTGCGCCTGCATCTGCAGTTGATCCAATTGAGTAACTCAGCACTTACCGTATGGGACTGGGCCTTGACGTTTAGTCTACCCTCCACTTCTTCTCAGGCTTCGCTCGATTTACCTGCTTTCAACTTCGCCTTCAACATCGTCTTAGCCCAGGACCACACCTTTCCTCCCAACATCCCCAGACAATAAACTATTCCTATTTAACAATAACAGCATATTTGGGCACAGCTCTCGAGATCACTCGTTGTTACTTCTGCACTCAAGAGCTCCCTCCCCGCTCTTGTTCCATCCTCACCCCCCCTCCGCTATCGCTATTCAACCCCCTCGTTGCGCCGCGCCACGCCATATCGCCAGTTTACACAATGGCCGACAACCCCGAGCCGAGCGCTGACTCTCAGATCACCTTCAAGGTGAAGACTTCCTCAGACAGCACGCATAGCATCACTATCAACGATACAGCAACTGTCCTCGACCTCAAGACTAAGCTCGCGGGAGAGGACTTTGAGAACATTCCCGTTGAACGACAGCGCCTAATCTACTCTGGCCGAGTCATGAAGAACGATGATGCTCTGAGCACTTACAAGATTAAGCACAACAACACAATCCACATGGTCAAGAGCGCTGCCAGCAATCAGCAGCCGAACCAAACTCCCACCGCCAACACCTCCACATCGACTCCCGCCCCCACCAACATGGCTTCAGGCACAGCCAACCAACCTTTTGCCAACTTGACTGGTGCTCGATATGCTGGGTTTGGAAATGGCCTTCCCGGGCTTGACATGTTTGGGCCCGACGGTGGTGTACGTACGAACGATGCACTGTGGATGTCGACTGTTGCTGACACATACTCTTAGATGGGCGCTCCTATGGACGAGGCACGAATTCAACGACTCATGTCCGATCCCAACGTTCAACAATCTATGAACGAGGCTCTCAACAATCCCGATTTTATCAACATGCTGATCGATTCGAACCCTATGCTTCGAAATCTTCCCAACGCCCGAGAAATCATCACATCGCCATTTATGCGACAGATGATGAGCAGCCCCGAGATGATGAGCCAGGCTATGCGTATGCAGCGAAGCATGCAAGGAGGAGAGGCTGGAGCTTTCCCAGCTCCTGGTGCTACTGATACCACACCCCAGGGCGCAGCCAGCGGAGGAAATGCGCAGGGTCAACAAGGCCAGGCAAACCCTTTCGCCAACCCATTTCTCTCAGGCATGATGGGAGGCCAACAGGGAGGCAACGCCCCTGACATGGCTCAGTTGATGCAGCAGCTCCAGGGACTTCGCTCACTGTACGGAGACGTCGGCCAGGGACAGACAGCGACGGGACAGACGGGACAGACTGGCACAGGGAACACACCCAGCCAAGGAGCGACGGACAGTTCGGCCGATGCGCAAACTTCTGGAACAACGCCCAGCCAAGGTGGTGCGCAGCAGGGCTCAACCACTAGCCCACCTCCCGCGAACCCATTCGCTGCGCTCTTCCCTCCTCCCGGAGCTGGCGCCCAGCCCAATAACCCCTTTGGTATGAACCCCGAGATGATGCAGCAGATGATGCAAATGCTCGGTGGTGGTGGATTGGACTCGGCTCCAGCGGCTCCTGCTGATAACCGACCTCCGGAAGAGCGCTACGCTGAGCAATTGCGCCAGCTTAATGACATGGGTTTCTTTGACTTTGACCGCAATGTTGCGGCGCTGCGTCGAAGTGGTGGAAGTGTTCAGGGTGCCATTGAGCATTTGCTCAGCGGACCTTGAACGACAGGCCCAGCGTGGAGAGCTTGGGGGTAGAACCCAGTGTTTGCCCACTTCAGCTGGGAGGGGCATTTGAGTCAAGACTGGCCAGACGAGCTGAGCAATACAGGTTGATTGGGGAGATATCCTCTAGGTGAAGCATGGTGTGGTCATAAATATCAGGTTTGGAACAGAGAGTATTTCGAACTTCAACGACAACTTGTTTTAATGTGATTTGTAATTAGCCATGACTCTGATTATAGCTTAACTCATGAAGCTGGAGTGCTAATAGGGACATCATGGATTTTGATGTAATCATATTGGTGTAGTCCACTTTACAAGTTAACAATTAGCTAAAGTAGGTGCCGATCGCCGGGGGAAGATGCCTCGGCTCATGGATCTCTTCCCCGCGTAACCCCAGACTCTGGCCGCGACAAGGTAACCGACGTCAGCTATTAAATCTGTTCTTTTTCTTTTTCTTCTGCGACATCTCTGATCTCTCCTCCACTTGTCACGTAAACTATATATTGTGATTTCTTAGTCAACTCTTGATCACCTCCAATTACTTACGTGACGGAACTTCACTCACAATACCCAGCCAAACACATATCAACAACCATATCCATCATGCGCGGCATCCAAATCACAGAATACCTCAAGGTGAGCTTCCAATGTCACCAATCGCTTCCATCGAATACACTAACAAACTCAAAAGGGCCCTGAACAGCTCAAGGTCTCAGATCTTCCCGATCCTAAGCCCACAGACGATGAATATCTCATCCAAGTCCACGCCGCCGCCGCCAACTTCTTCGATATCTTACAAATTCAAGGAAAATATCAAAACCAACCTCGTAAGCTCATCCTCATGAGCACTCACTCACAGAATACTAATCCTGCATAGCTTTTCCCTGGATCGCCGGCGCCGAATTCGCAGGTACCGTCATCGCCACACCCAAGGATAGCTCCAACCCCAAGTTTCCTGTTGGATCCCGAGTCTTTGGCGCATCCCAGGGCGCTTTCGCGACAAAGATCAAGGCGATAGAAGATACACTCCTGCCTGTTCCCGATGGCTGGTCGTTCAAGGAGGCGGCTGGTCTGTTTGTTACTGCGCCCACGAGTTATGGCGCTTTGGTTGTGAGAGCGGGTATCAAGAAGGGCGATTACGTACTTGTCCATGCTGCAGCCGGTGGTGTTGGTCTTGCAGCCGTTCAAGGTATGGGATTCTCTGAATTTGTGATGAGATGAGAACTGACGTAAAATAGTGGCCAAGGCTTTTGGCGCGACTGTCATTGCGACAGCTTCTACACAGCATAAGCTCGATATCGCAAAGTCTTATGGCGCTGACCATGTTATCTCTTACAACGACGCTACATGGCCCGCTAAGGTCAAGGCTCTGACCCCCGACTCTCGCGGCGTCGACATCGTCTACGACCCCGTTGGTTTAATTGATCTCTCCACAAAGTGCACAGCCTGGAACGGCCGAATTCTCGTCATCGGTTTCGCTGCTGGCAAGATTGAAAAGGTGGCCATGAACAAGGTTCTCCTTAAGAACATCTCTATTGTTGGACTTCACTGGGGTGCTTATTCTATCCATGAGCGGGAGACGATACCCGAGGTGTGGAATGGCATCATGGATCTTGTTAAGCAGGGTAAGCTCAGGGGTACTGAGTATACGGATGAGGAGTTTGTTGGTCTTGAGAGGACTGGAGCTGCTTTGAAGGCTCTTGGTGGCCGGGGGACTTGGGGTAAGGTTGTCATTAAGATACCTGAGGAGGGACAGAGCAAGCTATAAATGGCGGCCGTATGCAATATTTGACCGAAGGAATAGATTTATGTTACTGGTCATTCACTTCCCAGAGTCAACAATAATTGAGAGAGGATTTCATCGCAAGCTTCAGCCTTTTGTACGAAACCGTTAACAATGGTCTAATCTTGTTGTAAATCCATCCCTGGTGTATCATTTCCCAATTCATCATCGTAATCTTCTCCTACTCTAATCCCATGTCCAATGATATTATCTTACTGCTGCTGCTGCTGTTGTTGCCGAACACCGGAAGCCATTTGCTGAAACTTGTCCAGCACCTCTTTATCTACATTGACAGCCCACTGCTCCTGGAAAGCTTGCTCACCCCCAACCCTGTTCACTAAATCCTGCAAGCGCATCTTGACAAAATCGAAGGCGTGAACTGTATGAATGGGATCTTTGGCTTCCATATTGCGTTCCGCAATGATCTTGGGGGTATCATATTCGGTGGTCTCCAAAGGACCCCATATCAGAGTATCAGTGCCATTGGCCACGCCGTCTTGGAGATCGGAAATCACGTTAATCCACATGTCGAAGTAGTCTTGGAGTTTGCTCAACACAAGCTCTTGGACAGGTGACGACAATTCCAGTAATCTTGTCAAGCCAAGAAGATAGAGTTTCTGCCGCTCAATGTGGTCCATACTTGACATATGTGAGAACCACTCAGATGATAGCCAGGCCCAAACCTGATCAAGTGAACCCATATTGGTCAGCATCTGACTGAAGAGTGTGGGTTCAGCGAGAGCCAATCGTCCTAGAATGGCAAAGTAATCTGTCTCAGTGATAGTACTGAGTTTGCTGACCTTTCGGTTAGGACCTGTGGTCTGATGTGATTCCCAAGCGTCATGTAGGTTTCCGAGGATTTTGTTCATAAAGCCGATTTCAACCATATCCTGTAGGATAACTGAAACGCCGGTCGAGCCGCCAAGCTCTACAGCGGCCCGGATAAAATTCTCAATGCAACTAGTACCCATACGAACTTGTTCTCGGCTCTTTGAATCTAAGATATTAGACAAGGCGCTCAATGTCGGGCGACGCAGGCGGTCTTCTAGCATAGAAGCAGGAGCAAGAAGGATATAAGACTCAACAGCTGTTAGAGCCAGTGAGGCCGTCTCACTATCATACTCGAGTAGTGGCAGAGCAAGTTCTGCAATGTTTATCAACTCAGGAGCCAGGGGAGCATAGCTCTGCATGAGGATATTATTCCACAATTCCAAAGACTCATCAATTAAATGGAGGTGTAGGTCTGATCCTCGACGGGCTGCTTCAGAGAGGAGTGGCAGCATGAAATGCTGATATCGTTGTGAATCGGGGCCCATGCTCATAACCAGGGCTGCGAAAATTGACGTTACCGCTTGTTTGATCATGTACTCTTCAGCCCCCGAGTTCTCCCAAACCGTAGGAAGAGCCGACATGAGCTGGTCTCCAAACTGGGATACTTGCTCTTCCATTCGTGTAACCAGGATTCTAATGGACTCAAGGATAGCCAACTTAGTCTCATCGACATCGACACTTTGAACGAGGTTGATGAGCTGCGATAAAACATCAGAAGTGTATGGCAGGAAAGCGTCCACATTAAAGTCAAGCTCATCAGCGATCCATCGTAGTTGTCGGGCAGCTGTAATTCTGACAACCACATCATTGGTCTCATCCTCAGGGTTGAGGAAATGCCGGTAGATTTGGTAGACAATCGGCCTACTTGAGTCATCGAGCTTGATAGGAGCCCACTGACTGACAAGGATGGCGATTCGTCGCCGCAGTACCTTGCAGAGGCCGCCTTGTAGACGTGCGTCATTGACAATCGTTGAAGCCAGAACGGCATCGAAGTCAAACACATGATGAACATGAGCAGCGGCGAGGCCCATTGCAGTATACACCGCCTCTTTGGTAGCAATATCGGCCTGGGGATCTTGTGCTGTCTGGAAATAAGACAACAGGGGAGGGACTAGCAAGTCCTTATAGTTTGTGAGAAGATCGAGGAACAGCTTTTCAGCACATGGCCTTACTTCCCACTCATAAGCGTTTCCTTCGCTCTGTTCCTGTTGCTCCCACTCCTCTGGATCTTCCTCCCAACCTTCAAGATCCGACTTACGGAAGACAAAGAGATGGGTGATGATGGAGTTAACAATTTGAATGACGAGATCGGGTTTCAAAAGTTCCGATTTGATCAGGTTCTTAGCCTTTTCTTGCTCGGCCTTTGTTTCTGGGCTTCGCCATCTAAAAGTCTGGACATGCTGGAATCCTATTCGAACGCATGACCTCAGAAGGAGAAGTCCCTTGAGCGCCAGTCTTTCTAGTACGGGGCCCTCGACCTTGGATTTTGCAGATCCGGTCTCTGATGGGCCTTGTCTGATACCGCCAGACTTGTCGAATACCTCTGCAAACTTGGCAACCAGCTCCCAATATGATTGCACCAATGGGATGGAGTTGGGAAGAAACACAAAGCTGGCGGCATGCTGCTCAGCCATGTCAATGTGCAGCTTGGTAAATTGGAGCAAGTGCTTGCCAACAACTTCTTGATAATTTGGTGGGACTGCCGAGTCATGACTAACAAGGTTGAGGAGCTGCCCGAACTGGTTCTGTGACAAAGTCCAGAATTGCTCAACGGTGTTGTCACTGTGGGGGCGCTCGTAGCCCATAATAACAAGCCGACGAAGGACTCGAAGAGCAAGTAAGCTGTTGAGCATAGCCAGGTTGACTTCCTCCTGACCTCCTGGCCCACCAGTAAGGAAGCCCATCCATGCCTGGGACTTTTCTGAGTAGACTTCGCTTAGAACGTGAACAATCTCAGGGGTGACCGATTGCAGAGCGGTCTGGTTCTTTCGCATGCGTGCGGTTCCCAGTTCCTTCACCACTCGTAGTAGAATTTCGAGGATGCCATGAAGATGTCTCTGGTTACCATTTCGCGATGAACGGAGGAGTTCGATAATATTGCCCATAGCATCTGGCCATTCGCCAGGATAATCGATTCTAACGATCTTCGCGACCACCAGAGCATTGTGTAGAGCAAGGTTGGTGTGCTCTTCCTCGATAGAACCTTGGAACAGTCGCGAGCGTATCAAGCTCTTCTCGTCTGGTTTTATACTGTTCTTGACATGGTTAAACAACCGCCAATAGCGGTCAATACCATTCTTGAGCTGAATGATGGCGAGAAATCGAACTTCGTAGGCGAGGGACTTGTCGAGGTAGACAGCCTGCCAGATTGTTAGTGCCTGGAAAAGAGTCTCGACCTCGAGCATAGGCTCACCTGCAACGAAGAATAGTAGCCTGGTTGGAGCTCCCATGATGTTAGTTGTTGCCCTGCCGTTTGACGCTGCGCATAGTCAGTTGAAGTGGCTGACTGCAGTGTCTGGTAGAGCGACTGCAAAGACAGCGGGTTCGCATCGGCTGGGACTTCGATAGCAAAGCTCATGGTGAGAGCCAGCAGCGGCTTATGTCCGTGGGAGCCGCAGGACTAGTTAGGACTTGAAAGGCTAAAGACGGTAATAGAGAAATAAGAGAGCGAGAGCCTCGTTGTGTGAGTGCGAAGAGAAATAACGGTATGAAGAAGAGTAGTGAATTTTGGCTAGTCGAGATGCTCACGCAGTTGCTCTGTTTGTATGGATGGCGGGGTTCCATTAGGTTGTTAGCGTTGGGGAGGGGTCACACAAAGACTCAAAGACCCATGCCACAATGTCCATAACCACTATAGAACAAAGGGACTGTACATTCAGCTTATGACCTCACCTTTCATATATGGAATTACGTATGATCTGACCTACCTGAGTTTGACCTACCAATCTATCAGCATGATTGTGTTCTTTATAAGTTTATATGCAGATACATCGCCCTGTATCATATTGTTAACCGCTACACGAGCTGGACATGTCCACCGACTGCCGATAGGCGATAGCTGACCGCTAAGAATAGCGGCCCGTGAGTGTCCGCTAGGCTTTAAACAGCAGCGAGCTGGCAGTCGTCCAACGATTTCAGGTGGGTTTGTGAATTTTGGGTCGTCCTATTTCCGCAAAAGCATTGAATTTCGATTTACCACGCGCCATTGCATGCTGAAGTGGCCATGATCCGCTTGAGGACCGCCCGAGCGGCTTTCAATACATCTCTAAGAAGACCATGGACGTGCCCGCAATGCATCTCTCGCAGCCGATTCTATTCTGGAAAGTCCGAAAAGCGAGAACCTCCCGACCATCGTAAACTCGGTACCAAGCAAGAACTCTTTATCAGCTCGATCTACAGTCCTGGCTCCCCCATATTCCTACCGAATGGCTCGCGAATCTTCAATCGACTTGTCGACTTTCTCCGAAAACAATACGTGCGATATGGCTTTGAGGAGGTCATTACGCCGACCATCTACAAAAAGTCACTATGGGCCAAGTCAGGTCATTTGGAAAACTACGCTGACGACATGTATGCTGTAAGAGGGAATACAGAACCGCCGCCTGCGCAACATGACGGATGCTGTGGGAGTGAGCAGAAGGATTTGAAGCCAGACGAGGAGGAAGAGGGTGATTATGGTCTAAAACCTATGAATTGCCCCGGCCACTGCCTCATTTTCGCTTCCAAAAACCGCAGTTACCGAGATCTTCCAATTCGATATGCCGACTTTAGTCCTCTACATCGAAATGAGATCTCTGGCGCTTTGAGTGGACTAACTCGTGTTCGACGTTTTCACCAGGATGACGGACACATCTTTTGCCGACCAATTCAAGTTGAGAAGGAGATTAAGAAGACTCTAGACTTTGTCAAGGTAGTCTACACTGTTCTGCGATTTGGCTCAAACTATCGACTTGCACTCTCCACACGGCCAAAGGATCACTACATTGGTACCGAAGAGGAGTGGGACCAGGCTGAGAACGCCTTGAAGCGAGCTCTGGACGCATCAGGCATGGAATGGGGTGTGAATGAGGGAGATGGTGCTTTCTACGGACCCAAGATCGATATCGTCCTCACAGACTCGGATGGAAAGGAGCATCAGACGGCGACCATTCAACTTGACTTTCAACTACCCAAGCGATTTGAACTTGAGTATCAGGCCCCTGCTCCTGAATATGAAGCTAGAGGCGAGACGACCACAGATGCTTCTCTACTCGATGAGTATGGCCCCGTGCGCCCTGTTATGATTCACCGCGCTGTCCTGGGCTCGGTTGAGCGTCTCATGGCTCTCCTGATTGAGAAGTACAATGGCAAGTGGCCTTTCTGGTTGAACCCTCGCCAAGTCGTCATTCTCACCATCAACACTGCCGAACCTGTTGTCGAATGGGCGGAGCAAGTGCGCAGTGTGCTGGTTGGTAACAACGACCAACTTTACGAGCAGCTTGAGAGCGGCACACTCCCTAGTCAGGGGAACGCATTTCGACCAACTGGGCTGTCGGTTGACATAGATGATAGTGCGCGGCCTTTGGGTGCGAAAATCAAGGAGGCAAGAGAGAAGAACTATGGTGAGATCCTCGTGATCGGACAGAAAGATGTTGAGAACAAGCGGGTTTCGCTAGGCAAGGAGATGCTATTACCAGAGGAGGTACGTGAGCGGTTCAAAACCATGGTAGACACATTTGCCTAGACATAGATATGCGATGTCATGTAATAATAACTGTAAAAACACATTTGTATGATACAACAGTCTCTATATCAGTCTTTCTTCCCTAGTCATGCTGATAGCGCGGCGCTGCCATTGTGGCGCGGCTCGTTGCTATCGCGATTTGGGCTGGTCAGGTGCTGATATGCGACAGTCAATCAGTTCCATCGGCTCAATGCCCAACGTCGTTGAGTCTGTTCGGGCTCTTGACGTGCGGTAGCTGTGAAGACCATCCAAGTGCGTAATCATCCCCTAGTACGACCTGGGTTCGCCGCCTGTTGATATAGCGCCCTAGAAGGACAGTCAGTACCTTGTTCGTTGATCGCAAAGTGGTCACCCGACTCACCTCTTATGTTTCTCATCGACATCACCACCAGCCTGCTCAATGCGATCAACCATGGCCTGTCTCTCTGAGAGCTGCTCACGCATATAGTCAACTGTCCGCTTCAGAACCAGGCCCTCAGATCTCCCCTGTCCTTCTAAGCCAGGCACCAGTTCAGTCAAGCGGTCGAAGCCTTCACGAATCGCTTGGCGTCGCTTCTGCTCTGATTGATGCGCATTAGCAAATATCGTCTCGAACAACATTCAGGAGTATCTCAGATATCATGCGACAGCAAATATCACGTGTAAACAGGTCACATACCAGATGCGATATGGTTCTGCTTCTTTTCCTCCTCAGTGAGTCGCGGTTTCTCATCGGCGGCACCGGCATCGCCATTTGCGGGTGACTTATTATTTGGAGACGACATCTTTTGGCTGAGTAGTGATAGTGAGGAGAATGGTGGTGAGACGTAAACAAACGTGCAAAATTTGTCAAGATGCGCATAGAACTTTCATGTGAGAGAGGATATGTAGGTCGCAAATGATGTGCAAGGGTGCTGCCCCGGATTTTCCATGTGAAAATGACACTACAGGACCCTTAGTCTGCCTGGTCCATGCATATTGACATCCAATATGGAAGGCCGCGTTCTCCTGGTTTGGCGATTGATTCATGTCTTGGGTTGATTGTTCCTGATCTGCAACACCAGTGTTCTAATTTAGTCACGATAATTATGTAATTATGTAACTTCAATTTACCGCTCTCAGTGTATTCATAGTACCCAACCTGAGTTGTTATATACTGTGAAGGCAGCCTGGGCTTGTCGATGAAATCTGTCTGTTAGTTCAGCTAGGTCATGAGGAGCGGGTATCATATGTCCTCTGGTGCTGAGACCTTATTAGGTCCGCGATGACGAGATAGGTCCATTTTGCACCTATCAGCTTCAAAGAACACTTCTGGAAACCCGAATACAGTAGCTTAGAAGAAGCCGTATAGAAATAAAAACGACTGAGAAAATAGGGACTGGTCAAGCCACATTTCTGTAGCTCGTTAAATTGCATGAGTATCCATTTTATTTTCCTGGTATCCTCTATTCTTACTCAACACCTAGTCCTCTTCCTCGCCTTCACCTTCAAAGTCCTCCTCTTCCTGTCTGAATATGACTTTCTCCGCCATAGCCATGCATTTTCTCACTGGAAGTCCAACGACATTGTCGACACTTCCGTCGATCTTCTCAACAAGCAACATGCCGCCCACACCCTGAACAGCGTAGCCACCAGCCTTATCCGCGCCTTCACGAGTCTTGACATACGCCTCAATCACATCATCAGGAAGACCCTCGGATTCACTCAAGAAGTACACCTTGGTCTCTTCTGTGTAGGTGTCGATGACATAGCCCGGATGTCTCGCGTCTTCTCTTGGGGCGATAACTACAATCGACGTCAAGACCTTGTGCATTCTCTGGTCTCGCAGATGCTTGAGCATGCGAATGTGATCAGCTTCACTTCGAGGCTTCTCCAGAATTCGACCATCCTTGGTAACGATAACAGTGTCCGCAGCGATGACGAGATCAGGATCCGGTATAGATTTCAGATGAACTTCAAGTGCGGTAGTATAAACGTCCATACACTTCTGGTGAGCAGTTGCAGCTACATATTCGTAAGGACCTAGTGCAGCTTTGTCGAGATTCTCGGGTTTGGTGGATGGGAGAATCTCAAGGTTTGTGAGGCCAAACTATGTGTTGTGAGAAAAATGCCATTGGTGTTAACTCGCATGTCTCTGGCTCACCTGTTGTAGCAATGCTTTTCTTCGTGGTGAGGCAGATGCAAGAATCACTCTCTTGCCGTTGAGGTGCTTAAGAATTGGGAGTTCTAGCGGTATAGGACCTTTCCGTAAGGGCCGCTGAGGGGTGCCCTGAGTGGCGGTGGACTTTTCATAGTCAGGAGGTGGTTCGCTTGGTGTATCAGCCATCCTGTCTGGCTGCTTTAATTCCTCGTGTTGGTGAAGTGAAGTTGTAAAGGTTACAGTCCCTGGGATGAGATCTGAATCTTGATAATGAGGTCAATGTGGGGTTGAGTAATGGGAGCTTTGAGCTTAACAGCGCCCCGTTTGGCTGGGCTCCTAGCTCTAAAGCTGCCCCTCATAGCAACTTTGTGTTCATCATGGCAATTATTTACCTTTCCTTGGCTATGAGTTGAGTGTTTAAAAGCTTGGAATTGAAATCTCTATAGTCTCCCCGGAGACAAGTGCATTCACCTATTCCCTACCTACTACCGAGAATCATCCGATCGATTTGGACTCAACTGTTCATATTGTTCAAAGTACAGGTTTCATGATACATACGAAGCGATCATAGCGTAGGCGATCTCCTTTAATTCGTATCATGGGTGCCTTTCAAGTTCGATGCATGAGACCTGAAGCTTGTGAGAACAATAGCACCACAGAGTCGTCGTTATCGATTATAATATGCATGAATTGTGCCGAGTAATAGCCCTTATTGTCCGTTGACATTCAATATTGTTGAATTCTACTATCATTGTCTGCCTTGTTGCCTTAACCGTTTTCAGGCACACATAATAGCTCTCGGTAGGTCGAAGTGGATACCGTACCTCCACCACTGGCATTGGATCCATTGAATGTGCCTCCAAACCTCGCCCTCAGCTCCAAGGAAGCCAGCCCCATTTACCACCACATCAAAATCGCCAGCATCGGAGCATTTGTAGGGCCTGCATAGACCCGCGATAGCCTAAAGCAAAACGGGGGCCTGAAAACCATTCAAACGGTGCATTTTATACGGTGCATCCTCTAATTTCTGCCCTGTTTTTTGAGGTCCAACCCTGGACTTAGTATCTTGCTTGACGCGACCATTGGATCGCACGCGTCAAAATCCACACAAGCGCCGTCGCAAACGACCTCGATCTCCAGGTTTGCGATCCTCAATTGCATCCCAACGAAATCCTCAAGGAAAATATACCGCAATTATCTTTGATGCGCTCGATTAGGCGACCCTATCGATTATAGTCACAATGGACAGCAAACGCAAAGCCAATGGTGCTGCCACGGTCGACAACGACGACAGAGGCTCTAAGCGTCGCAGACTTACTGTAAGTCCGACTTGTCGCTTCTCGCGATTCTGAATCCTTTCAGTTCGCGCAGATCCCCCATAGCACACTTTGACAACCTCTCACTCAACTATCACCCCTTCGATTTATTGACTGGCATTGCGTTCCAGGGCGATTTCGATCTTTCCAAAGGCGAATCTCGAGAATCAACGACTACATATGGCCTGTCATTCCTAGAGCATATTCGAAAAACCGCCGACAAAGCGTAATTCCCACCCGATTTCCAATTATCATTACCGTACTGACTCATCCTATAGTGGGCGTCTTGTCGCAACCAATTTCGAAGAACTTCCACCCCGCGAGGAAAATGCAGACTATTACGAACAAACACGCATGCCCATTTCATTATCCATGATCGAGCAGAAACTGAACGATGGCGAATTTGAGAACTTGTCCGAGCTTGAGGGCTACTTTAAGCGCATGATCAGCAACGCGAAGGAGTTCTACCCTCGATCAACCGAGATATTCGAAGACGCGGAACGATTGAGAAAGGCTGTCAGCAATTACATGACCAAGAAAAATCCGGCATATCATGTTAGAGGTTATCAGGCTGTGCCGACCCCGTTCCCGGATGATGATGGCGAGGAGGCCAATGAAGACAACGAGGACGAAGAAATGAACGATGACGAGAACGAAGATGACGATGAGCCCGAGGAAGAAAAAGAAGACGAGGATGAAGAGGAAGATGAAGAGGAAGAAGAAGAGGCGCCAAGCTCTCGTAGACGAACCATTACACTCAAGCGGAGAACACCTGGTCGTACACCTGGTCGAAGGGCGTCCACTCGAGGCAAAGAGACCCCAAAGCCAGCAGCGCCCGCCGCAAAGCCAGACCACGTCTATGAAGATGTACCCTACAAAGGATTGTCATTTCAGCAAGCCCAGGAAAAGCTCATCGAGGAGCTTATCCGACGCGAAGACCCTGGATACGATGGCCCTTACTTCGAAGCTTTCATTAACCTACCGCCTCGGTCTCTCAAAGAGTATTTCAAGGTTATCAGTGACCCCATGTCGATCCGAAAACTGCAGAAGGCGGTCAAGGGTTTCCACGGTCGTGGTGGCTCAACTGGAGTTAGCGATTTCAAGTCATGGGCCGCTTTTGAGGAGAAGGCAAAGCTATTGTGGACCAACGCGTACTTTTACAATGAAGAAGGCAGTGAAATCTACTTGGTTGCGCAGGATCTCGAGGTCAGTACCATTTTGCTTGCGTTTGTCAACATTTCTAACCGCGTTGCAGAAATTCTTTTATGATCAGTTAAAACAAGCACAAGCTGTTGTAACTGAACCTTCTCAACCAAAGATCAAGTTAAAGGTTGGCGGATCCAGTGAGACGCCTACACCCGGACCCAAGAAGATCACAATCCATGTTGGAGGTCAACGAGATTCTGCTGATTCACCAGCGCCAGCTCAATCGAAGGAGGCGATAACAAATGGCCAAACTGTGAACGGCACGGCACGTACTTCAACGCCTGCTCAAGCTGTCAATCCCCAACTGGAAAAGGCTAGAAGCACCTCGTTATCTGCCGTGCCATCTCCTAGTCCTTCTGTACAGAGTGCTCTCAAGGCAGAGGAGGCCTCAAGGGCATCGCCAGCAGTTACATCACAACCGCCTAGCGCTGCACCTAATCAAGCGACTCCCGCGATTCCTGCGGCTGCTCCCGTTGCTGTCCCTGCTCCTGTGCCTGTGGCACCACCGCAACCAATCAACAATCCGCTTGTTAATGGGTATATGGACCAGAAGCATCCTCGTCGCCCTGGTAAAGGTAATTCACCCAAACACATTTACAAGCGCCAAACACTAACAAATACAGGTATCGACGATGCTCTCATTGAGAGTATGAAGATTCAGGTTCACCCCACTCTTCAATCACACAGTCCTGTACTGGCAACCATCAGACCCAACCCCAAGGAGATGGAACAGGCTGCCACTCTTAACCTACCTCCTCATCTCACCCGTATTCTTGCCGTCACCGCAATACCCAGCCATTTACAGACTAGACAATACAGCCTCTGGACACTGGTTAACAAGCAACCGCTTAAGCCCATTCATCACCAAGCCCCAGGCCAGCTACCTCACGAGCGCGCCTTCGAGGCAATGCTACATCCAGGGCTCAACGTACTCGAGTCACATCTCATCGCTGCCATTCCGCGAGACGAGCGTGTTCCGGGCGGTCCAGAGGTTGAATTAGAAGTCTTCACCATCTCGATCAATGTCCTGAGGAATTAACACTACCAACGTCATCATTCAGGGCATGGGAGAAAGCAGGCATCTGAATGGGCGATTGCAAGACCCTTTACTAAATCTAGTGTTGGTAGCTAGTTCTCTGAATAGGATGAAGGAAGCGTTTGCGAGTGCGAACAATATCCAACGATGCCTTTTATGAGCAGGATATGGAAAGGCATGGGATGGTACTGGTGTTGGGCGGGTATACGGATGCTTTTTTTCTTCTTCTTTTCTTTGTGGAACTGGCCTCAGGAATAGGCTCATAGGGAGCATCCAAATGTTTATGCTGCGTCATTTCACAGCACTGGTTAGGTGGATAGGGTAGAACAAAGCAATATCAAACACTGATATTCTAAATCTCCTATGGTATCTCAAGCCAAACCTGCTCCATGCGCCCCGCCATGCTAAGTCCTGCGTAACTTTCGAAATTTATTTTGTCTTATAATACAAGTCTAGCCAGGCGCAGGCCGTTGTCTCAGTTGCATCAAGTGCTTGAGCATAGTCTGGACAGCTACGTACTGACGTGTCTTGGGATCGTAGTAGCCCGCAACGAGAACTGCCATGACCGCTGTCTTTCCCTTGAGTTCGACTATACCGTCAACTCTGATACATCCCCTGCTGGGCAGACTCTTGGTAGGCTTCCAATGTCGCAGAAAGGCGAGAGCACCAGCCATGCTAGCAGCTTGAAGACGAGGATCGAGTTTCGCGTCTGGACCGAATGCAGCGCTGATGATCTCGTTGAAAACTGGAGGAAGATGTGCGGTATGTGCCTTGGGGTCGTGCTGGACTGCTGCTCTGGTGGCAGCCGGAGGAGGAATTATGCCAGGGAGGTTTCCCACTGGCACTTGGTGCCAGCCAGATTCTGGGGGATCAGGTTCACTTAAACCGATCGCTTTTGAGATATCCAGCGCTACTTGTTTCGTTAGGAAACTGACAAAGGTCCAGCAACCCATAGCAAGAGCTTTGGGGTAAAGTGCTTTGGCAAGAAAGCTAGCAGCAATCGAGTCGATGGGTCGATCACCCCAGAAAATGCCCTCCTCATCGATCATGATTCTTCATTGAATTAGCAAGACGAATATCATGTGTAGGTTGAAAACTCACCCAGAGACATAGTGTATCGGTGGAGGAGCAGGCGGGAAGATTATGTCAAGCCAGTACTTCCTCACAGTTATTTCTCCACCAAGAAGCTTATTGAAGGCAGGGTTCCGTTCAACGCCACGCTTGATCTCGTTTGCCAGACCATCTATGCATGCGTTAGAATGTGAATCTTCCTCGGAAGGGCCTCGCTCACTCTTGATCTCCTGAAGAAGTTTCTTGTCCTGGCTGACTTTGACGAAAGTTTGCCACTCTGGATCTGAACCTCGATATGGTGGTTGCTTAACTTCTTTGGTTGTGAAGGGGAAAGGGAGAAATATCAACGGTTCGTCAGGGTCGTGGAGGGCCTCGGCTTCCTCCTTCTCTTTTTCAGACAGCGCCTCCCATTCTGCGTCAGCCCAGTCGAATATGGGATCGAATACAACGGCGATGAAGATTTGCCAACAAGCGTAGAGCACAATAGTCGTGAAGATCGCACGGCTTCGGGGAGTGTTAGCATCGCGCTTCGCTCAACCATGACAGCTTCTTCTGCCAGACATACCGTATTCGATATCGGAAGATGGTCCATTTTGCCCTTCTCAGTGCTCTCTTGACTTCCTCGCCCCCCACCTGGTTTGCGCTTCCGTGGTAGACTGGGTTCACCCTGTTGGCGTTCGTTGAAGGATCGGGTTTGGAGAAGTAGACTGGTATAGGTTCCGATTGCCTTTGACGCCACGGCAAGAACGATATACGCCTGTTAAGAGGTCGGATCTGGCTGGCGACTGTTCGTTGGGTTTGGAACCTCGTCGTGGGGAGAGCTGCTTGTCGCAGAACAGCTTGCCGAGCTAACATATCGCCTCCTCTGCCGCTGCCACGGGCGAGGGCACCGAATGAAAAGTGTTAAATTTATAAGAAAAGAAGATGCGATTAGTCTCGCTACTAGATTAGTGATTCAAGGAATGGCATGCATCGTGGCAATGTCGACAACAATAATTACAATGATAAGCTTCTGTCCCGCGGTTACGTTTAGCTTGATAGTGTAATTGGCGAGACTGTGTCAAATGCCCTAAACACTGTTTCAATCGCCACTGTAACGCTCTAATTGGGGGGCTGACGCACTGTATGACGGAACAACTCGAGACCCGGCCGCAACCCAACACGTGCATCATCCCGGATTCGCGTTGCCTGTATCAAGCTTGCGACGTTAAGCTATCTCAGCCTGGCCTCCAGCCTCAAGACAACCAAGCTTCATCAATCCGCATCAAAAATGAAGCTCAACATTGGGCTCAGTGCAGCCTTTGCAGGCATTGCTGCTGCATCTCAACAGCCCGCCGCTGACGGTACCAAAGTTTATATCCTCCGAGGATCCCATCACATCGAGCCTACGACGAGTATCACCCCCAGCGAAGCCCGTCTCATCCTCTACCAGCGCCTCGCCCCCGAGGGACAGGACTTTTCATTTCGCGATCTCACAGCCTCCGACGATGAAGGGCGTGTCGTTTCTTTAATGAACAAATATGGAAAGGTCCCTGCGCCATTGCTTTCCGATGAGAAGACCGCGACGCCGCGCCAGCTCGCTATTACCATTGACGGAATGCCCTCCTTTGAATACGAATCATTCTTTGGCTGGCTTTTTAACACACAGCCCGACTTTACCACGGATATTAGCAAGGAGAATGGCGAGCATCCCGGGGTTTTCGCAAATGTCCTCGCTAAGATGCCCGAGTGTCCCCTGAGCCAGATTGCTGCCTTGGACGAGAAGTGTTTCAACGGTCAATCTGCTTATGCGTCATACAGCAGGTCTCAGGTAACTAAATTCTATCATTTCTATTACACCGAGTTATTTTCTAACGACGCGATAAGGATGGTGACCATCCCACTACCCTACTAAACGAGCTTCCCAAGCTTCAGAAGCTCGCCGAGTCGGGCGAACTACAGACCATCCTAGTTTTCCTACCCGTCGACGTCGACTCTGAGGACAAGTCCGACAAGGATCAAGAGCTTCGACGTCGACAGGCTGAGACCGTTATCTCATCTATTGAAGAGACAGCCGAGTCACCGGCCGAAACCTCTACCACACCCGCGAAGCCTTCGAACCCCATTAAAGCTGTATGCTTCACCTCGGAGGATAGCTGTATGGAAGCTACCGGCAACTGCACAGGCCATGGAAAGTGCCTGAACAAATACGGCCAAAGCAAGGACTCTTGCTTCGCCTGCCACTGCCAAGTTACCAAGTCCGAGAGTGGCAGTGTCACTCACTGGGGTGGTAACATGTGCCAGAAGCAGGACATCAGTGTCCAATTCTGGCTCTTCGCTGGCTTCACCATTGCCCTCCTTACCATTCTGTACATGGCCATTGGCATGCTCTTCAGCGTTGGTGAGGAGAAGCTCCCTGGAGTGATTGGCGCTGGTGTGTCGAGGTCCAAGTAAAGTTAGAATGGGGGAGATACGGAGAATTATGGGAACTGTCGGGCTGCTGGAGTTGTGTAAGCCGACTCGGGGAGTTTTCACAACATAACGACTCCAGGGCGGCATGTATCATCATATGGTGTATTTGACATACGGGCGTACAAAGGCTAGGAGCTTGTATCAGGTGCCTCGATAAGGGGCTTCTTTTGTTAGAATGCGTTTCGATTTTTGCGACCAGTTCATTGAGTACAAGAGCATGCAACTATTCGACTTATGAGAGTGCCTTTTCACATGTCGTGATGAGTTAATGCCGACCCTCTTTCACATGATGGCTCTTTTCAGCATGAACATGCCATGACGCGTGTTGAGCAGGGCTCCTGGTCTTTCAATATTGTCCCTTGTAGGCCCATATGATGTGACAATGTTATCTTTAAACGTTCACTTCGTCTCGCGCGAGTTGGACGCTTGCGTTTTGGGTGATCGTTGTTCTCAGTGATGGATGTTTTTCATAGAGATGAGTGGTTTCATAGGAACCCGTTAATGGAGCTTATATGTAGGTATCTTGGCTGTGTCATGACCCGCTGGCATGAGCAGCTCAGACAAGCTCATGAAAATTGAGTTCCAGCACATGCTTCTGTTAGTGGAGCTGACAAGTATGGATAGCGGATTTCGAATCGAGCTCTGATGATATCATGCAAAATCACCAGCTTAATGGTTGATACTTGATAAGAAGAACGCGTCGATATAACACCTCCACTGATCCAGCGACTCGATTAAGTGCTTTTGTGATTCCTATCAATGTATTTCTAAGCTTTAACCGGCATTCACTCACCAATTCCGACCGACATGGCCTTATGAGGCTCTTCGAGCTGAAACCCTTGGACCCACCCTAAACCAACCGGACTTTCCAAGGCCCCATCCCGGTTTCGACGTCTTCCCTTATTAACCTACTGATAAATACTAACTAATACTACACGAACTAAAGAACCGGGTTTTTCTGCTTTTCGTCAAAAGTCCGCCGGACTTGTCAGCATACACCGCCTTCCATTCTTCTCCTGCAAGCTCTTTATGCACGGCAGATCACGGTTATGATATCCCATTCCAATGCAGACAGGCCCAAGCCCGCAACGGCTAAATGGGGTGCTGCTTGTGCGCAGTGCTCTACCGCGAAAGCCAAGTGTATACGGTCAAATAATACGCCTGGATCAAAGTGCGATAGGTAAGCTTATTTTTAACCCCTTTTTCACATTTCAACGGTTTCTTGGACATGTTGAGCCACGTGGGATGCGGCTCCGAAAGTCCCGAGATTTCCGGAGGCCTATGGCCGGATCTTCGGCCGTCATTACGGAGCCTCTCCATAATTAATCCCGGGACCGCGGTTGAAAAGGGAAAATGGGACTGACACATGCTTTGCAGATGTGAACGACTAGTCAAGAATTGTACGGAGCAGGTTCATCGACCCCGGAAAAAGAGAACTGTCAAACCATCGTAAGTTAACCTATCATACAACCCTAACAACACACCGCATCCACATATCGCCAGTCACTGACATGATTTAGACGAACTGCTCAAATAGAAGAAAGACTAAATGGACTAGTAAATCTTCTCAAAGCAGGTGGCCTCACCAATGCCGATCTTGCAACAGATACGACCTGCATCCCAACTGAGGTTGACCCTACCACTGCTGATCAACGGAAGCCTTCAACGAAAGAGAGAGATTCTTCTCTCACTCCTGAGACAACAGAGTGGTCAATACCTGATACTTACAACTCATATGCTCCTCCACAATGTATATGCAGACAGACCAGTGGAGTGGCTCCGCCCCCTCCGGCCTCAGATGAAGAACTCTTGAAGCTTTATCGAAAAGAGTTACAAGCCCTTCACCCGTTTGTCGTGATCCCCGATGGCGTTACAGCTGCAAAACTCAAGGCGACGCGGCCTTTCCTTATGTCGGCCATTCGCATGGTCACGTCGTATCGCAGTCTAAGGTCGATGAGGGCTCAGATGTATCATCTGATGAAGTACATAGCAGACCACATGCTCATCCGTTCTGAGCGATCTCTGGACTTATTACTTGGAATCATTGTCATAATTGCGTGGTACAAGTATCACTGCTTCATGCACGCACAGCTAAACAACTTGATCGCCTTGGCCTCTACTCTCGTGGGTGAGTTGGGCTTACACCGCAGTCCGACGGTTCTGGAGCGGACCAGCTTGATGGTTGTGACACCGTTCCAGCCGGCAGCGAGAACCAACGAGGAGAGGAGAGCCTTATTGGGAGTATGGTACTTATCTTCATCGTGAGTTGTATTACTATCAGGAACCGATTTTGGGGACTAATTGTTGATAGGATGTCTCTCGGGTTCCTACGGATAGAACCCATGCGGTACACCAAATACATCCAACAATGTCTGGCTGTTCTTGAGCAAGAAAGGGAGTACGACACGGACATGCGCCTTGTAACGCTTGTTCGCGTTCAGCACTTGACGGAGAGGATCGCACAACTTAATGCTCCTGATGACCCTGCGGAAGAGATTGTTGGCCTCCCAGCGGCACCATTGTCAGCCTACGTTTCTGCGTTCCATAACGAACTTGACAGGATCAGGAATGGGTTACCTCCCGAGCTTACAAACGACAGTGAGTTCTACTACTGTTGGGATTAATGTTTCTGATTTACTGATGTTGACTTTTGCAGGAGTGATAAATATGTTTCTAAATACGGCCATGCTCCGTTTATATGAACCTCCTATACTAGACGCCCCTAAAATTATCTCCATGTCAGAGTCATTAACATCTCCAACATTAGGGGCTGCTTCAGCTCTTGACATCTTTTACCAGTCAAGAAACGCACTGAAGAAGTTCTTTGACGATTGGCTCATGGTTCCGATTCCCGAATTCTACAACCAGACAACACCAGTAGTTGCACAACTTGTCTACGGGATGACAATGCTTGGTCGCTGGGCCAAGTATACTGCACCAATTCCTTTGACAAAGGCCACTACATCAATGCCACAGGACACAAGCGCGCGAGACCCCCATGATGAGATTTACAAAGCAGACTCCGCATACTCGGCGAGTGTCAGCCCATCAGTTGCAACACCGTCAGTGACGACGGGAAGAGATTCTCATGAAACCAGCCCGATCTCACTCCGGGAGGGTACAGACCCGAGGCTACCAGCTGCTGTGGCTGCTCTTCGGTCACAGATCCAGACCCAACCAGGACTCTCCCTCGACGTCACAGGGATACTATCGGCGATATGTGCGCGGTTTGAAGAAGCCAACGCATCATTCCAGATGGCATCAACAGAGCCTGGTGCTTCGGATCACAACTTGTGGAGTATGAGTGCCATCAAGGTTAAAATCACGAGGGCAAAGCTTGAGAGATGGGCAGAAATTGTAGCGGCTGGTACAGAAGCCCTAAAGATACACGATGAAGTCCGAGACACGGCCATGATAGATAGTAGCACAAGCGAGACCGGAGCCGCTGGCCCTGTAGCGGCCATGGGCCAGGATATGCAGCCTGATGCGTTCACCATGCCGGATTGGAACCCTGACATGCCGTGGGCTTCGGAGATGCTCCAGGGGGTTGACCCTTCGATATGGTTCGACGGTTATCTAGATTGGGGGGCTGTTGTTATGAATTCTATGGGTAATCTGGGACACCCGAACTAGCCCTGAGACATCGCCTTAGGGGCGGTATCTTATATATGATATGTCAGATGAGGCTTAATATTAATTATGACTGATCTAAGTGACCTTATAAGATTGTTCAGATCTGCTCTCAGACCTCAACAAAATTCTGAAACTTAATTCGCCTTTCTAAGAATCTTCCTCTTCCTTGCTCACCGACGAAAAGCCTTGCCTTGCCACAAAGGGCTTATACTATCTAAAGGCTAGCCCGCCAGTCTTAGGACTCACCGCTTACAACAAGCGCATCGGGCAACCATTATCTTCTATGGCAAACAAGCCTAATCAGCGCGCGTTCTAGGAGAGCTGAATGATGGAGCTTTGTTGTCTAACATCAGCCAATAACACATCCATCGGTGAACCACACAAAGAACGGTGTGGAAGAGTCTTTATCCAGACTGAACCCCTTGAAGGAATCTGATGAGTTGTTTGGGCTACAACTTGACTAAGAATGCAACTTTCCGTTGGGATTGCTCCCTTACAGTATGATCATATAATGTAACCTATTGGCATCGGTAGTCATCAAAAGAGGTTCTATCTACGCACTATTGACTTTAAGGTTTTTGATAATAACAGTAGAAATAACCAACCAAGGCTAAGTAAGCAAGCGCTTTGATCCATAATGCTTGGCTATTTGGTATGAACGATAGTTTGACAGTTTGAAGGTTACGCCCCCATTAATTGATGCATCTATCGTGTTGGCAGCATGCAATTGACCTTGCCGACAGCAACCCTGTAGTATCCTTCTCTTTGAAGGACAGTTTCCGATAATACGTTCTAACTAACCTAGACTTCCCCCCTGGAAACTAGCGGCACGTGTTTCGGCTACCTACATCGGAAATCCAAGAAGGGATCTCCATACATAATGTACATACTGCCATTGTGAAAATAGAATAGCTTCGTATGATACCTAGATCAGAAGGCATTGTCAATTACTTTGCTACACTGTCGTAACCCTGAAGTTTCTGACAACTTAGGAGGACTCTCATCCAAGAAGATCAGTTTGCCTTAACATTTCGTCAGACCGGTCCGAGGCAAGATTCGGAGGGTTGCAGGACAGGGGGCGTCTGCATACGTTGGGCATCAAAGCCCGCAGATCGAGCGAACGTTCTAACACAGCGTGACGGATAATACTGTATGACTCGGTGACGAACCATCGCCTTGTGTTACTATTAGACTTCGTTGAGAATCAATTTGAGGTTGTCCAAGCGATTCATAGGCTGATCGGCCGTTTTGAGTGACCGTAGTTTCATGAGACCGCCGTTTGAGACAGAAATCTCCTGGGAAAGCCTCTTGAGGTCTAACGAGGAGGAGCTGTCACCTTTTAAGGATGAGTCTTGCGCTTTTGGCGAACCACCCAACTCTTCATCAATTGCACGTTAGCCATTTTCTGAAACGATCCAATGCCAGCAGACTACCGTTACCTCCAATCACGAAGTTGGGTAGCTTATATATTACCCAATAGGACTTTCACGCCGGAAAGACAACGAGGTAGACACTCGCGCACTCCGGATTTTCTGTCATCGTGACACTTATCCACCAAACAGATCAAGGAGGACACCTACCTGCTACCGAAGCCTCATCTGAAAGCGAAAGCACAGAGAGTCAGTTTGAGGATGCAAGACCGCACGAAAGCCTAGAGGCTGGGGTTATCGGGCTCCAAGATGAACTGAGGCCATCCAGCGACACCCAACGTATGTATCTGCCTTTTCTGCTGCCTTTTCATTATCCTCTAAGCCCCCTTCTTGGTATTCTGTGATTGATTGAGTCATTGATCGGTTGACAAGGCAATTGTATGTAGTCTTAGTCTCCTCAACACCATATAGAGTGCGGCCCCCGAGGAGGAAAGTAGTATGGATTTGGTTCTGTGTACGTCGATAATATTCCGAAAACCTACATCCTGTCTCTATATCAACTGACAATCTCAAGTGCTGCTGTGGTCATGGAGGGATGAAAGTGAGCGTCGATCCGTGTCCTCGCTGCGGAATCCCTCGCTGTCCCAACTGTGATACCCAGAGATACAACACCCGCTCCTGACAGCGAATGCGTTATCATTATATATTACCCCTTCAAAAGTTTTACCTCTTCATACACAACGTATCCAAAAAAGAAAAAAATAAAGAGCTTTAAGTACGTGAATTCTGTTTGACTCGAGTGTGATGACAACCCCTGAGTTCCCCAGGTCCGTTGTTGAAGTGAGACAATTGAATGTTTCATGTGTCACGCAAGAACCAATGACAAGGGGGCTTGTAGAGCTTGTCGAGGTGACCGATCCCTGATTTGCTAACCAGAATAAAGTAGATGTTTGGAAAAGGTTTCTTTGGGGGCCCTGTAGCGGCAACTACAACTGTGCAAGAGGAGACACCACAGCCTGGAACACTCCAGAACCAAGGCAGCTTCCCTCACATCCGTGAAGTAGTCCAGCGAGTAAAGAATACCATCGAATGGACAACAGAGTGGTCGCAATCGGATTCTTGGACAAAGACCTATGGCATAAAGAACAAGGTTGTGACATCCACCGAGAGGCGGCCGCTGGTTGATACACTCAAGAATGAAACGGGCGAGTCCTTCGACGAAGTTGACCCATTTTTCGAATCCTACCCCTTATCAAGATCTGTGGAACGTCAAGCACGCGTGGTCAAAGGCTTCTGTGGTGACACAAAACGGCTTCTATTACCTGGTGTTACCTCTGATGGTTCTGATGAGATCCAGCCGCATAAGGGGCAAGCAGCTAGCGCATGGGTTTCTGATAGAGACTGGTACCCTCAAGACTCGGAAAATACTGCATTGGTCCCTCACAAATCATTTGGAAGAGTCCTTGGCGACAATGATATTTGGGCGGTCCTACAAAAGAAGGTTCGCCAATAAGATCATGGTAATGAGTGTGTGAGAAAGTGAGGCTGACGGTTTTGAAATAGCGGTTCTCAAAGAACGATGATGAAGAAATTGGCCCACCTCGAAGAATGTAAGTTTTTATTCTTGTTTGGAAGCCAAATCAAAAGACTGACTCTGTACTAGTTATATCGACAAACCTGACAAGAATAGTATTCTCGCACTTCTTAAGACCACTCCTCCCTCACAGGTAGCAGGATTTAGAGAACTACTTGCGAACTATATCACGGACGCGCCCACGCCTGTCATGAGCTCAAGAGAGATTGTGAGTGTATACAGTGAGGCAAACTCTGGCATTCTATTAACAAATACTCCTTAGTTTTGGTGGGGTTCAATGTGTTTCCTGTTCTCCTTCAATCTCCCGTTCTTTGCAACGAGCACACAAACCGAAAAGGATAACCGGATGCTCTGGAATGGGAAGATTCCACTTCGACGTCGACATGACCTGTCTTTTCTACATCTGGAAGACCACGACAAACATCGTTACAGAGGCACTGAATCTTCGTCCTCTAAAAACGAGCTATTCTTGGTTGAGGGAGTCTGTTCGATTGTGGTTACTGGCCGAACTGATCGGTATTGGACAGCTGCTTGCCTCAACGACGACCTCTCCGAGGAAGACGATGAGCCCAGGCTAACCATAGAAGATGAAGACGACCCAGACATGGACACAGAGAAAGACCCTATCATTCTGAAGGTTTACAACAAGCCAGTGTCACCCCGGGCTTATGCCCTTGCAGCATTGGCGACATCACTAACTAAAATCGCGGACTACCATAAAGACATTCAGCATCAATTTGGAACCAGCCTTAACCATCATGTGAGTTGTCCCCTTTCGCCAGCTGATCCCTGGATAGAACTGACGTTTTCCACCATTATAGACTCCAACGTCTTGGTATGGCACTCCCAAGAACAGTTCATCTCAGCCGATGCAAGACTGGAGGAAGAGATACCCTGAAGTCCTGGAGTGGGTGATTCACTATAACGCCAGACTAATTGAAAAGTTGGAGTATTTCCTGTCACATCATCTTATGATCACTCCTGAGGGACTGCCTCAGCATCCACTATGGCAGAGCGTCCATAAGGAGGAACGCGTGATACAATGCTTAACCGAGCTCAGAGACATTCTGGACAGTCTGCGTGATGTGGACAGTGAACTCAGGCGGTTCCTACAGACTTGTGTTGAGGCAAGACGCGAGGTGAGCCCAGCTTTCACCTAAAAGCTTATATGACCATAACTGACACTCTCATAGAGGAAATTTGAATATCAAGATGAACAAGTTGGCAGGGAAAAGACCCTCCACAAGATCACGTTCGCTGGATTCGTCAGTCGTTCCCAATTTGACTCCTTTGGAACATGAATCGTTAATAAATTATAGGCTCTGGGTATCCTGAATCTAATTGCCCAAATCTATGCGGCCAGACCGGAGAATGCCAGCGCTCTCTCTTCACCTGGGTTCATGGCTCTGACATGGGGTAGTTTTGGTCTCTGCCTCATTATCTGCTTGGTTCCATTGTGGGCTGCCATATCTCAACATCTGACAAGCTTCAGTGGCTATATTTACAGTATTTCTTTACACATCATTCAGGGAGCGAGAGAGCAGCTCAATTGTCTCAAAGATTTTCTAGCCTTGATTAGGTACTTGAGAGTTCGGCGTATTGGTGTTATACTTAGAAGGACAATATTGCGACTTTGTCAAGGAGGAGGAAGAAGAGCTTCTGCATTTACGTCTCCTGTATGATAACCGTTGAAATTACAAACATGGTGATTTTGGAGTTTGAGGCAAATGAAGATCAAGTGGCGTCGGAAGCTGTCAATGACAAAAAAAAAATAAACAAACGGTGGTCTGAGGCATGCTGGCCATGTGACTCTGTACTGAGGCAACTGAAGGCAGGCACCTGCAAGGATCACTGAGGCTGTGACATAACCAAGTCTAATGTTACACATGGCAGGCCTCAAGCCGTTAAATCACTACACATCTATCACAAATTCAGCCTTACTAAGGCGACCGAGTGCCGTATTAGGTGCGAGCTACCAAGATCACCATCTTTTTGAGATATGATATGTCGGGCATCCTCATTCCAGTGAGGACCAAGTGACCGGTCAACTAAAAATAAATAGGGCGTCTAGGTGTTAGTCAACGCAGTGTAACACACCGGGAATCCAATCAACAGTCACCTGGAACCAGTAAACTTGCAGTTCAGATATGAAGTCATGTTAAATACAGGCGGTGAGAAAAGGTTTATAAATTACGATCATCTTCTGGATCCAATGGAGCGAAGTTACGTATCCCCTTTTCAACACTGGCAATTGATGGATTGAGCCGCAAGGTAGTATGCTACCAACAATGTGTATCTCTTTCCCACATTCGCGATATCCTATTACTTATCTCGATTACCGATTGCGAGCCGGCTATACCCGTCTGTTGATGTGTAACAATCCCAAATTCAGGTCCGAGGCCATAACATGTCTTTGACCGAAGATATGCCTGTCCAGTAGTCATCTGAATGATGACGGATAACTTGACAGAACGTCAGTCACTCAAATCAGGCAGAGTCAATAATAGGGATTCCAAGTCACATTACCTTCAAACTGCACATTTGTGCTCTTGATTGTTTCTGATACAAGGTATGCTACGATAGTCGGGCAGATCGAATCTGATGCCGCCGGGGTGACAGTGTCACATGGACAAGAAGGGAAGAAGCCTCAATCATAGCTAGATACATAGAGGTGTTGATCTGTGCTGTTCTGTCTTATCCGACGCTAACTGTGACCGAGAATCGGAATGATTGAGCTGTGCCCCGTGTCTAATGTATAAGTCTATGAACTGACATCCCTGCAAATTCCATTCGTCAATATCCAGCGTTAACGGCTTGCCACTCCTTCTTCCTTCATTCTATATAAAAGACAAGTCGTTGGCTATTGTTTCGAACCTCCGCCGGTTTCCGATAGTCTAATTCCGCAGCCGTTGCCATATAAGTCCTACTCTCTGAACTTATCCGCCACGACTCACTTATCAACTATCGTTGCAGACACATTCACGATGGTCGAAGAACACTATGACGACTTCTCGCAACCAGAAAACTGTGTTGGTCCCGCTGTGATAAGTATGCAGCCCGATGGTTGCCTTATTTCCGAGTCTGCCCCAGATTCCACTGTACTCTCTGCTGCGCCTCTGATACACTGCACATTGAGCCTCGAGATACTAACGAGATACATGACAGATTCGTTCCTCCCACTACTACCTGTGCCAATCAATGAGACACCTTCTCTAAAGAAAGTTATCTACATTTGGTTCTGTGTGAGTGTCCCGCGTGCGGTCCGTTAATAGCCTCCAACGCTACATCACTCTCTCACTCTCAAAGTATATACTGATGGCTCTCAAGTGCGAATGTGGACACGGCGGCATGAAAGTTACCACTGTCAATTGTCCCAGATGCGGCACTCCACGCTGTCCCAGCTGCACGACTCAACGATATAAAACCCGCGCATTGCCTCCTTTGAGTACTTCACAGTACTTTTCAGAACCCATGCATCCATCGCCCACACTATTCACGGAGCCTAACGACTGTAGATTGATTTGCGATGTTTGAACTGTTGGGTCCCCTGCGAAGCGTTGCTGAAGTTCCAAACGTGCTGGTTGCAACCAAGAACTCGAGTCAGCCCAATGGAATGCCCAACTGGGGAGGCACTTCTGTTTTTAGTGTTCTAGATCACTTGCTTAAATATATTCTTATACCCTTCTCCGTTGTCTCATCTGAAGTCAACTTCTTGTCCCTTCACATTTGTCTACGACTACGTTTGGGCTCTCTGTTGAAATGGACGAGGATTCAACAGCCCCAGACCAAATGAGTGGCGCACTGGTGCTTCGTTCACGGGATACGGTTGAACACTTCTATGGATTGAAAGAGTGGGAGAAGCGTTTTGGGAACAATATCATGCTAATGCCAAGAGGCGACTACAAATCCTTTCTTGATATTATGCGAGATACCGAACTTGAAATTGTTGAAATTGTCAGCTTCATGTTGCCCTATCCAAAAACGCCTTGCTGGGAGCGCTGTGTCTCAAACGCCGAGTCCTTTTGCGAACATGGAGATTTTGCTCTTCGAGAATTTGTTTCTGTTGATCGAAGTACCTCTCAACTTAGTTATGCGCAGCAACCAAAAACATGGGTATCAGACAGCAGTCCAAGCTCCCAGAATGCTGTGTCCCCTTCAGTCAACAGAATCTTGAACAACGTTGAACTGAAAGAAGCTCTACAAGTAAGACTACGAACATTCTGGAATCCAGGGGTCTTTGTCGATCAAAAAAATGCTTACCACGGTAACACACTAGCGGTTTGATCCAGATGTAACGGAGGAAGTTGCTGTATATACGCGTCGTGTGTGAGTGTCCAACAGCACCTCGCTTATACCGGGATTTACTGATCATTCGACTTAGATACATGAGTAACCCAAACGGATCTAGCATTCTAGCACTCATAAGAGGCGTGCCTGCAACACAAGTCGACGGCTTCCGGAAACTCCTGGCTGGCTATTTCACCACTCCTCCAGTTCCAAGCCTAGTGCTCATTGACTCTGTAAGTTCAATTTATCTAACACGCACGGTCTCAGAAGTTACCAAGTAAACCGCGTTCTGACCTGGAACATATTTGATAGGATTGGTGGCCTCCTGCAAGTTTTATAATTGCATTTAATCTGCCCTTTTTTGCAATCAGCACAACAGAACGTCAAGATTATAGGAAATGTGGTCCAAACAAGAATCTCAGAGCGCGCTATAGTCTAGAATTTCTTCGTCTAGAAGAGTCTGCGTGTGGTGAAGAGGTCCAGGAAGACACGAATTCCTCTGATAACCTGGTCCTTCATGAGGGCGTTTTCTCTTTCATGGTCACCGGCCAGAGTGATAATTACTGGACTGCGATTTGCTTAAATGACGAATTTTTCGAGGAAGATCCACGACTGTTAGATGACGAGATACCACCTGTTGATCCTATTATCCAAATTCCACCACCAAGCGCGGGAAACTTTTGGTCACCTCGAGCATATGCCCTTCTAGCTTTAGGGCTTCAACTGGAAAAGATAATTGAGCACCATAGGGACGTTCATTACCATCTCAAGATAAGTCTTGATCGTTATGTAAGTGGTATTCCGGCCAGTAGATGGTTTGGTAATCGTGAGTTGCTGTCACTCTTTGGCTAACCTGACGGGCAGAGCAGCATGATCAAACACGGCGCAATCACAAAAGATTCACTTGAAAGGATGCAAGAATGGAGAAGAAGATTTCCAGAGGTATTGGCTAGCGTCATGAACTCTAACTCAAGCCTAGCACTGCAACTACACGACTTTATACTGGAAGATCTTAAAGTCGGCCAAGATGAAGCGTTCCGTGGGATACTTTGGCAAGGACTACAAGGAGATATTAGCGCAGTGAGGTCGCTGCGCACTATCAAAAGCCTTCATACTCAACTCAGAAGTACTGGTGTTCATCTGGAACACCTCAGGGTGGCTTATGAGGCAATCAAACATGACGACGAGAGGCGCCGCGAAGAGGCTAGGCGTGATGGTATTAGGCGTGAGGAAGATGATTCAGAGGTAAGTTTCATTTCCTTGATCTTTCTATACAGGCTATGCCTTACCTGAAAAGAGGGTTTGACTCACTGTATCTATTGACCCAGACCAACAATGCTCGGCCGGCTAAGGACCAGAATAAAGACAGCACGGTATTGAGAATCGCCATTGCTGCATTTGTAAGTCAATATGAATCCATTAAGGACGTGGGAAAGCTAAAACACAAAAGGGACTGCAAGGCTTATCCCTGATAGCTCAGGTTTATGCTAGCAAACCAGACAAGGATGACCCTTCTTCATTACCTGGATATCTTTCTTTGGTAGTCGTCCTCAACATTGCTTGTATTTTGGGGCTAACTTGGTTCTTCTGGCCATGGCTGTCAAGATACAGGAGATCCCTATGATTCCCCGATACCTCAGTTGAAGCCTCCTGCCACCGCCTCCACCTTTTCGTATTAGGGCCAAATAACCCAAGGGATTTCTTATCGAGTAGCTTTAAGGCATTATATTAAGGAAGACCTACATGGGAAGCTTCAGACCGGATTAGACCTACTCTCGTGATTCTGGTTCAGTCTGATTGTCGACCATGTTGTTTGTGTTACCTTTTACTGGACCTTTCCGCATCGCAATCCCTCTGGCTCTCGTTTATATTGTCCGGGCACTTATCCCAGTATTGTTATGGCTAAGCTTCAGTTACAATGCCATCCCATCGCTGGTTGTTGGCTGTGTTGAAAGGATGTTGAGTCCAGCCTGCTTGCTGATGTCAGTACTATGGCACCCCAGAGTAAAGCCTTATCTGGTTCTCATCGAAGTACTGCACCGAAAACTTTCTCGACTTTTAAGTCGCACTGCAGAGCCGCGACTTCCGAGTTGCTCCTCTGGAGTTTACCTATTGCAGAGAAAAGGACAAATTTTAGTAATTCTGTCATGCAGAGTATCCCTACCAAACAGCACTGGACTTTCTTGCAGCTATCTTAGAAAACCAACTCAAGCTTGGACAAGCCAAGCCAGTTTAATTCCTCGATTCCCTCTCGGCAAGAATGGTCTCCCTCGAAACGTTAGGAGAGCAGTCTGGATCTGGATATGCGTGAGTGCCTAATATGCAGTCTGGAAGAGATAGCCAGAATTTCTTTATATACCATGCGCTAACACTTGAATTCCAGTGCCAGTGTGGCCACGGTGGTATGAAAGTCAGTGTTGATCCATGCCCTTACTGCGGTACTCCCCGATGCCCAAATTGTGAGACTCGAAGAGTCCATGGTCGCGCTTGATCATTAGAATACAGCTCCGAAACAACAACCTACCAACACTCTTGGGCAACAGCCCACTAAGAATTTACAGAAAGATAAATAAGTCAAAGAGAGTATCGGGCGTCTCAGAACCTTTCTTGGGTTTGTGCTGGATCTATAGTCATTTTGCCTCAGAACCTATTCCCTTCTTGAGTACGTTTGGACTTAGCTCTTTGAGAACACGGGGGCAAGAGCTTGTGGCGTACTCCCTTTTCTCATAGTTACCTATCTTAATAGCTGTCTAATGGACAGTGTAGTCTCTACTAGTGCTGTGAGGTGACTGATATGGTGAGATCTAGCAGGATCAAGGCCCTTTTGACCACGAGCGAGACATGGCATCCATGGTTGAGAGCTTACCAAAGCCAGACCCGCCTCGAGAATCATATAAACTCCCCACGATCGGCGGCTATCTCGAACGCATAAAAGCCGCTACCCTTGAGCGCGTGAAAACCGCTGCTATCGACCGTATCACAACTGCTACCCTTGAATGGGGAGACTGGTACGAGTCTGACGAGTGGAGGAAAAGGTTTGGAAACAAAGTCATGATCATCCCTCTGGATGAGAATAAGGCTTATCTCGAGGTGCTACATGCCACAGGTCCTGAAATCGATGAGATTCCTGCGTTTATGACTCCATACCCAGGCTCGCCTCGATGGGAACGCAGGGTCTTGCTTATTGAAGGATTCTGCGAGGGAGCAGATTTCACACTCCGAAATTTTGTGCCAGATGATGCTGGCAGTTCTCGATTGCAGGATACGCAAGAACCGAAAGCCTGGGTCCAGATCACAACTTAATCCATCCACGAAATGGGCAGTCTCGCTGAGCGTATGGCCACATTGTGAACAATGTCGAGCTTTATGAGATCGTACAGCAGAAGGTACAAATCCTCTCTTCTGTTGCTTATTCCTTTTCAGAATCACACAACACCCAGGTAACTAACTGAGAGGTATAATCTAGCGGTTCTGCGAGGATTCGCCTGAAAAAGTTCCTGGTAGCTCTCGACGGATGTAAGCTAACCTCCACTCCATTGGCACTCACGTACATGTCAGTTTGCTCACCCTTACTGCGCCTAGATATATCAGTAACTCCAACGGTGTTAGTATACTAGCACTTTTGAGAACAGCACCTGCATCACACGTGTCCGGGTTTCGCAAGCTCTTCGCAGGTTATCGTGATCCAAACCCAATTGCCGATTTATCGTTGAGTGACGCTGTAAGTGCACTTGACAACACGTCTACTCTGACTGCAAGTCCACTTCACTAACTTTTGGCTCGAATTTCTTAGGACTGGTGGGGTGCTGCAAACTTTGTCATCTCCTTCAATCTTCCTTTCTTTGCCATTGGTACACAAGATAACCAAGACAGTCGTACATTGTCTGAGAATCAGTATCTTAGGGGCCAGTACGATCTAGATTATCTGTATCTCAGAGACGAGACAGCCACTGCAGATCAGCAAATCAACACCTCCTTTCACGAGAGGGCTGTTCTACATGAAGCTGTCTATTCACATGTGATTACAGGCCGGAGCGAGCACTATTGGACAGCGGTTTGCCTGGACGGCGTCTTTTTCGAGGAAGAACCGAGACGCGCAGAAGAGGAAATAGTTGAGGCATCAGAAGACCCTGTCATCATTCAAGTAGAGCTTAAGGCCACAGGGACAACTCGTTCACCTCGAGCATATGCACTAGCATACCTTGAAAAGGAACTTGAGAAGATAGTCGAGTACCACGGAAATGTCCAAGACTGGTTCAGCAAGAGTCTTGATCGCTACGTAGGTTTGTTACCTTATTTTCCATACTAGAGATTACTTAGAATGTTGTCACTTGGGAAAATGCGAATGTCATTTGTGTTCTTTTTCAACTAACATCTCAGATTTGCTGGGCAGGGTCATTTACTTCAACTCTAATAGCGCGAGCAAGGTGAATGACTTCCTTGCGAGACATATCATACTTGGACAGAAGGAACTACTTCAGGGACCATTATGGCAAGTCCTGCAGGGCGATTATGGTGCTTTGGGGTCTTTACGAGGCATCAAAAGCTCTTTTAGCCAGCTCAGCGACATCGATGGCCATCTGATGATACTGAAAGAGAAAGAGAAAGTCTTTAGGCGCGAGGTGAGCTCTCACTTAGCCTCCTATTCCACTCCTTGGGGCCTGACGCCACACAATATAGAGGTATACTGACCATGAGTAGAGGGAAAATCACCATGCGAAAGAACGGCAGAAACGAGACAAGAGGATGCAACAGATCACCATTGTGGCATTTGTAAGTTTGTTACTCAAAACGCATTGAACGACTAAGGCTAAACTTAACAGGTCCTAGCTATCTTGAACTTGTTTGCACAAGTTTATGCTGGTAAACCAGACAGACAAGACTCCTCCTCAACACCGGGCTACCTTACTCTGGTAATTATCTTCATCGGGATCCTGTGGTTTCTCTGCCCGTACGTGCCTTGCTACAGCAAGAAGCTATGGGAGCTCTTTGCATCAAAACTACAAGATGCTCGGAGTTCTGCCAGTAGCCTACCATGAATTGATTTGAGAAGGCGACCGGCAGGTTGCGAGGAGGGATGGCCCGTTGGAATGCACTTTCGGTTCAACGATACTTTGTTGCGAGCTTTTGCAAGACAATGTACAGATGCAGCCCAAAGGCCCAGACCGAGTGAGTTTCTGATAAGGCATTGCGAAACACCAAATCCAAAACGACAAGAGAACTGAGTGCTATTTGATAGCACGGCTATGGTCACGCTGCCATTTCTCAAGCGAGGCGACCACAATGAAACGTCTTGATTTGTCAAGATTTCGAGGCAATATTTTGAGCGCAAGGGTTGCCTCGGGCCTCAAAATACGTGTGTGTTGCCGGGTTGAGGCTCTCAGTTGCTGTCACATGCAGCAGCATCTTCAACCGAAAACTCGGGTCTTGGGGCAACAAGATCGTCATCTTATGACAAGTGATACTTTTCTTGCTGGCAAAGGATACTGCAAATGGTTATTGGATGTTATCGCTATCAAGACTTGTAATGTTATTGTGCTCTTCTTCACCGGTCTGTCGCCAGCCAATACTCTCTGGCAGCCTCATTTACGACGAATCACGGGTGCTATATGCGAGTGCCAACACATCACGCAGCCCAAAGGTTGGGCAACATCGAAGCGGCGTGGAAGCTTCCCCAGCAAATGAAATACTGAATTATCAATACGAGGCTTTCGAATGACCAAAGTCTTGATACCCGACTACTCCTTTGCTTGCAGTTCAAATGGCTTCAGGTGCCCATGCCTTTTCAGCTTGACCAGTTGAGACCACGAGGCAGCCGGAAACTCGACCTCTGATTCATCTCTTTTGCAAAACCCATCACTATTTACCATACTATCGTGGCTATGGCAGCAACTACTTGTTCCGTCAGCGGCATCGAGAACCTTCTTGGGAGGGTAGGACTGGATACACCAATCCCGGAGTTCCCTGGCGCAGACATTGTGCACAATCCGCAGGACATCTTTCGAGTCTATCTTGCCGATACGCTGGAAAAGCTCCTTCACTGTGATCGGATGGTTGCCTATGATGCCATACAGACCTCTAACGTCACGGGAATGGGCGACCTTGTAATTGTTGCTCCAAGGCTTAGACTCAAAGATGTCAGACCTGAAGACTTGGTGAAAGATCTTCTTCAGAGAGTACGGTAGGTTGGTACAGAGACGAAGATCGCCACTAACATGTAATCACACACAGTTACCAAGAACACCACCCTTTGGATGCCCCCTACGTGACGGCATTCGCTTGCAAGTGTATTTCTCGCCCAATACTCTCCCTCGCCTCTTGCTGTCATACATCAGTGACAGGAGTGCCTCGTACGGTTATGACACATCACTCGGTCTGACCGATCCTGCTTCACCCGATGGATCGAAGAAGAAAGTCATCGTGGAATACTCGTCCCCGAATATGGCGAGCGAGTTTCAGGTGTCGCATTTACGTAGCACCCTGATTGGCACATACATCGCAAATATTTATGCCAGCATGGGATGGGATGTTGTGAGGATGAACTACCTCGGGGATTGGGGAAAACAGATTGGTCTTCTTGCAGCTGGCTGGGAGAGGTTTGGTTCAGAAGATGAGTTTGCTAAGCAACCACTTCGCCACCTCCTTGAAGTAAACCACAAGATCCAGAATCTCTTCAAGCCAGAGATGGAAGAATGCAAGATTGCAAAAGCTAAAGGACAAGACGTCACCGAGATGGAGTCACGGGGCTTGTATGCTGAGCGAGACATCTTCTTCAAGAAAATGGAGGACAAGGAACCAGGCGCGATCGCGGTATGGCAACGGTTTCGTGATGCTACCGTCAGAGACTACGCCGATTCGTATGCACAACTCGGAGTAACATTTGATGAATACTCTGGGGAGTCGCAAGTGACCGCCGAGTCTATCGCCGAAGTGGAACAGCTCTTGAAGGACCAGGGCATATACGAAGAGCACGAAGACTCGTGGAAAATCGACTTTTCAAAACACGACGCAAAAGGACTCTCACTCGCGGTACTACGATACCGAAACGGGACGACTTCTTACTTGCTACGCGATCTTGCTGCAGTGTTTGATCGATATAAGGAGCACAAATTCGACAAGATGATCTATATCGTTGCGATGGAGCAAGAAATGCACTTTCACCGGGTTACCAAGACTCTTGAGCTCATGGGAAGACAAGATCTTGCCGACCGTATTCAGCATATACCCTTTGCCAAGATCAATGGGCTTCCAGAGGAGCTGAAGGGGGCAGCGTTACTGAGTGACTACATCGATGGATGCCGCTCGATGGTGCGTACTGGTCTTGATGAGGATAACGAAGAAGCGTCCTGTGTGGACAAGTCTGAGAATTCAGTGAGACAACTCAGTCTTGTTGGTCTTTTCATCCAGGATCATTATCACAAGCGAACTACATCATATGCGATCGATCACAAGATGATGATATCTCTTGAAGGAGAAACAGGTGCGGCCATCCAAAACTGCTACGCCAGATTATTGAAAAAGCTACAATCTGGTCCAAGCAGCTTCGATTACACGACGCTTGACCATGCTTCATTGGAGGAGGAGGACTATGCTGAGCTTCTACGGATCCTATTGCAGTATCCGGATGCAGTACATGGTTCCTTCAGAACTCTTGAACCATCGTTTATTGTTGTATACTTGTTACGAATTGCTGATCAACTGACAGCCACGCTTGACGACGATGATGAGAAAGATTGGACCGGTCTTCATACAGCTAGTGAGGCGAGATATGCTCTCTATGAGAACACAAGACAGGTGTTTGAGAATGCGCTGAGACTTCTTGGTGTGTCACCATGGATTCTATGAGAAGTCCAAGACAATTCAGGCTGTTGTTATCAATTGTGGTATTTATGTTTCTGATCTTTTGCCTGTCCTTTTCTATTAGGCCCTGCAAGTTTGGCGTTTGTCATGGGGTTGCCCTCCAGATTGGATCTGTCTGGTTTAGACATTGCTTCTCTGTTCAGTGAAATATATGATGAATAACAGAGACCTGCTGGGGCAACAAATACACAAGTGACTGTAGGATCAACGTAAGAGTCCTTGAACAAAGAAGAGTGTCTGACAACTTGTTGTGTTGTTTAGGTATCGAATGACATCTAGTTTTCTCATGTCTATCCTTTGTGTCAAACCAAATTCACATAGTATGTATGCAAAGATCTCATGATGAAGAGAATCTTCTAGATATTATGTTCCTTGATTATCTTAACTAAATTGTCTACCCTGGAACTTGGAGGACATCATAAGGGTCCTCGCAGGTGCGGGGCGGGGCAGTTGGAGCTCCACCCAATGGGAAGCTCCCTGCATAGACTTGCATCGAATGAGCTAGAAGGCATCCATGGCCCTCTTCTTCCCCACCAAAGATCGCCTGGGGCGACTCTCTCATATTTCATCGTCTAGTAACTTTGACTCCTTGATACCACAGACTCATTGTTCAGATCAGAACTGTTCTTTAACAGCTATAACCCTCAGATTCTGTTAATTCACACACGAAATGGCTTCCGCGGACGAGCTTAAGGCTCTAGGTAACAAGGCCATTGCCGAGAAGAACTTCGACGAGGCTGTGTAGGTTACCACCAGTAACAATACCACAACGGAACATCGGGGTTGCTAACTATGACATAGCGCAAAGTTCACCGAGGCTATTGCCATTCAGCCCGATAACCACATTCTATACAGCAACCGATCTGCTGCTTACGCTTCAAAGAAGGATTGGGAACATGCTCTGAAGGATGCCGAGAAGACCACCGAGATCAAGCCTGACTGGGCCAAGGGTTGGGGACGTAAGGGTGCTGCTTTGCACGGACAAGGCGACCTTCTAGGTGCTAATGATGCGTATGAGGAGGGATTGAAGCATGATGCCAACAACGCCCAGCTCAAGAGTGGTCTGGCTTCAGTCAAGAAGGCCATGGAGGCCGAAGTTGGTAAGCAATACACCTATATATGACACAAATTACGGCAACTAACGCTTCTACAGGAGGACCTCAAGATCCCAGCGGTGGCCTCGGCCAAATGTTCAACGACCCTCAGTTGATTCAGAAGCTCGCCTCAAACCCCAAGACGAGCGGTTTCCTCGCCGACCCCTCATTCATGGCCAAGCTCCAATCGATCAAGGACAACCCTTCAAATGCTTCTGAGATCTTCAGCGACCCCCGTTTGTTGACAGTCATGGGTGTGTTGATGGGTGTTGATTTGGAGATGCGCGAGCGCGAAGTCGACCCCAACGCTGAATCTCAGGACTCTCCCATGCCCGATGCCCCACCAGCTCCCAAGCAGCCCGAGCCCAAGAAGGCCCCTGAGCCTGAACCCGAGCCCGAGCTGGATGAGGAGGCTCTCGAGAAGAAGAAAAAGAAGGAGGAGGCCGATAAGGAGAAGGCCTTGGGTACCGAGAACTACAAGAAGCGTAACTTTGACGAGGCTATTGCGCACTACACTAAGGCCTGGGAGACCTTCAAGGATATCACTTATCTGAACAACTTGGGAGCTGCTTATTTCGAGAAGGGTGACTACGATAAGGCCATCGAGGCCTGCACCAAGGCTGTTGAGGAGGGACGTGAGATCTACGCCGACTTCAAGCTCATTGCCAAGAGTTACGCCCGTATCGGTACATCTTATGAGCGCAAGGGAGACTTGGAGAAGGCCGTCGAGAACTACAACAAGTCCCTTACCGAGCACCGAACTCCCGATGTCCTCAACAAGCTCCGCGCTGCTGAGCGTGCCAAGACTGAGGCTGGCAAGAAGGCCTACATCGACCCTGCCAAGGCTGAGGAGGCTCGTGAGGAGGGTAACAAGAAGTTCAAGGAAATGGACTTCCCTGGTGCCGTTGCTGCCTACACAGAGATGACCAAGCGAGCTCCCGATGACCCTCGTGGTTACAGCAACCGAGCCGCTGCCTTTGTCAAGCTCTTCGAGTTCCCCAGTGCTCTCGAGGACTGTGACACGGCCATCAAGAAGGACCCTACCTTCATCCGAGCTTACATCCGCAAGGCTCAGGCCTACTTCGGCATGCGCAAGTACTCTGAATGTGTGGATGCCTGTACTGAGGCCCAACGCGTTGACCAGGAGCACCACAACGGTGCTAACGCCCGCGAGATCGAGCAACAGCAGCAGAAGGCTCTCTCGGCCATGTACTCTGCCCGTGATAACGAGACGGAAGAGCAGACTCGAGAGCGTCTGATGAAGGACCCCGAGGTAAGATTACCCACCGTTACTCAATGGCTGAAACATTTACTGACATATTTAGATCATGGGACTCATGCAAGACCCCGTGATGCAATCGATCCTCCAGCAGGCCCAGTCGGACCCCGCTGCTCTTCAGGAGCATATGAGAAACCCTGGTGTGCGGTCCAAGATTCAGAAGCTGATCGCTGCTGGCGTTATCCGGGTGGGTAGGTAAGCGAAGGAGATGATGGCGACGGTGATGGGTTACAATAGGAAAATTTTGCTTTTTCAGACATGGAATCCCCTATCCGGAATCTCATGGGAAGGGGAAGGGATCTGGAGCGTGTGTGATTTTGAGTTGGCAGATTACTTGACGTGTACGAATTAATACGGAGTACCAGGATCATTTGCTGGTTGCTAATGAGAAATGAAACTTTTGAAGCAAACTGATACATCTTTTTTGGGATATCATATGTGATGTGAGATGGTGTTCACGAATGGTAAATGAGATTGGCTATCCTAGTTGTTGGCCTCGGTGTTTCAACTAACGACACATGGCTGGGAGTTGATGCCGTTATTGGACAACTGAGAGGAACTTGGTGTAGTATTGCATGAGTATACTGCGATTATCCGTGTTCAACTCCCGATTCTTTGTTTCTCACGACAGCGAAGACAATGCGAAGCCTCTCCGGCGCCCAACACCAACGCCACACCGGCTCGACTATAGGAACGAATCCCACCAACAACTTCTTTTCAAGGGGACCGAGCAAAGCTGAAAAGAAGAGGGTGTATAGCAACTGAACAAATAGCTGAGAAGCGTGGAGACACTACACGTGGAGGACACGAGGTAATGCAGGAACACGGCGAGAAGTGAACGGAACGGGAAGAGAAAGAAACGTGTCTACCACGTTTGACGGTGACAAAGAAACGAGGTTGACTTTTCACAATAAGCAAAGTGAGAGCTATATTTGGCGGAGAAAAAGTTCAGAACGGGAAGAGTTGGACCCGAAGGTGGAAAAAGCAAGTTAACTCTCAAGCTAATGAATGTCAAGGAGAGAGGAGGGTGTGTGAGACATGGTGAAGAAAGCTAACGGCTCGGCTTGAGGACAAAGCAAAGGAAACAGGTCGGGTCCGAGACATTGAAAAAAGAAACAAACATTCATGTCCGCGGACCGGGATATGAGGAATCATGGATATGGAGAGAAAGAAACAAGGCGAACCTGGATTGGAATCAGTTTTGAGTTTCTATGATCTGCGATGCTAAGACATTTTGCCGAGGTTTTCAGTTTCAGAATAACATCCAAGACAGGCGTTGAAATTTGATATATTGAAACAATAAATCACTTTATGAAGTTGTTGACTTATGCTGCTGACAGCACATGAAGCTCAAGAGAATAGTGACGATGCACGCACTAGTGAGCGGTTCAAGCTAGAGTCATTACAAAGCTCCCAACGCCAAGAGCTTATTTCTCCTACCAATTACTTTACGAGCATTGACGAAAATATTTTATCTCATGCGTGGCGCCTGTATAATGACGATATTTCCTTTTCTCGACCGTTTCCGTTAACGTACATCAATGGCTTTTTAATAGTGGGATGCTCATCTTGTTTGTGTGCGACACTAATGACTCGACTGCAAACTAATATGATAACTGACGAACCCAACACTGCCCGCGCTTAGCTTTTGTATCTTCGTCTTCTTGTCTCATTTGTGTTGGTGTTCTTCATTTGGTGCGGCTATGAACTGATGTGGCTGCAGAGATGGCTCGGATGTAACAAATAAGAAAAGACAGAGGCTGAGGGGATATGATATTGGTAGCCTCCTATTTGGCGACGGAGAAGCCGCAGAATACGGAAACAGACGAGGTTTGTGGGGAAGTTTCTCTTTCGCGCATATTGTATTCGGCCGACGGCGAGATCCATATCTGTATGATGCATGTCTGGGCCTATGAGTTCAGATATGTAAGTAAGTATCTCAGAGGGGTTATGACGAGAGTTGACCCTCTCCAGTTTTTGCAGGATCGTCGATTCACAGATGCCCTGTTCATCTGTTGGATCTAAGGTTGGAGGTTGTCAGAGGCCCGAGAGCAAAGACCAGGGCCACCTCGGAGGAATTGTGAGTGTAAGATGCTGAATCACTGGGATGTTTGGGAGAGAATACGCGAGTGCAACTGTGCAAACGTGCGAGCAACGATCATCTTCGGAGAAGCGAGGGAGAGAGTTTTTCTTAGTCTTTATGATGCATCGTAAAAGAAGTCGAGATGGCTAGTATCAACTCCCGGTGCTACGGTAAGAAAAAGGAAAAAAGGTGCTGCCACTAGAAATGATGAAATTGCCATGATATGATATGATCAGAGGACTCAATTCAACGTTGAATTTCTCTACTCTATTCCGGTTTGAGCACTCTCTAGCTGAAGGACTGACGTTCATCTTCACAGGAGGAGGCTCTCGTGCCAGTTGGGAAAAGTTTGTGGCAGCAGGGGTTTGTCACTTACAAGGGTATGATAGCCTCCCAGCTAAACCCCGGGCGGTGCCGTCGTACGGTATATACCCCATACCTGGGCAATAACTGAGCAAGAGCCTAGAGACGCAGGCGTTGATCTATCCAAGGCTGAGAGAGAGGACCCGCCGTGTGCCGAGCGAGTTTCAGTGCCCTTGGGCATTGGGGATCATCTCTCATCTTTTCCACATTCATTGTCACCAACATGAACATGGACACGGGGTAGGTTACATGGTAGATCTACTGCCTCTAACATATTTCTAATGTATGAGTCTGAGTGGATGAGAAGCCACCGCTTATGAACTGGACCAAGCGCACCGCTCGCCAAGCAAGACTAGAGACTAACAAGAAGAGATTCGACCGTTGAAAGATTTTTCATCCCATTTTCTATTAGGAGATCTCGCCGGTGTTGCCGAATTTTAAGAATACGATAGTGTCTACTGGCTCGGAACTGGAGATTCTGAGTGAGGCCTCATGAATCTTTATGACATTCCGTCAAAGCGGAAGAGTATCCGTCATTTTGTTCTCATCTCGTTAGTTAATATTAGCGAGCTCGAGATGCAATGGTTCATCCTTTATCCAGTTGGACCTAATACTAATCTAGATCATCGAGGAACGGTTCTTGGCTATGGATATCGGGAATCTTGGGTGCTCTCGTGATGCAGGTACACGTATCACATCAGACTCGTGGTTGGTCTAGATGCTGTGCAGTTGGGTATGGATAGGGCTATGCAGTTACCATGTGTGATTGTAATGGATGGTAAGAAATTGGGAGATATTCTATAATTTATGACGTATCATTCTGATTCCTATCTTCTTAATTACAGACTGAATTGCTTCTTTCATTATTGTTCTGCTCGAGTGACCATAAATGCATGCGTCACTGTAATTCAGTACAGTCAGGGCTGCTGTAAAAGACCCAATTATACCGTTGGCTTGACTGGGGGCCGCTAGTTTAGACTTTCTCAAAATCACCTTTTTTCTCTGGACCCTGAGTCGACTAAAAAGCAAAGCAACCGGAGAAAGGACAAGCTTCCCCTCAGAAAGAACGAGAATAAGGGAAATAACGGCCGTTGAGAAAGAAGAGACCAAGAATGCGGGTGGAAGACAACCCGATGTCCCGCCCGTCTCCGGCTTTGGCCGATGTCTACGGAGGAGCTGTCAAACAGATGAGACTCAGGTCCCAGTATGGGGTTCAGAAAAGCACAGAGCATCTAATTTGAGCCCGGACGTAAGAATAAGTGACGGAGAGAATCGACAACGTTTGAAAGGCGGCGGGAGCTAGGAGTGGTCGGTGCGGATCTTTCTGAGCCAAAGCTACGGGCTGAAGGTGTTTTATGTTACTTACGAAGCTCTGACTTGGTAAATGAACGCATTGATGAGATCGGAAACACAGACCATTCGGAATACTCGGGGCCTCTTTTGCTCTGACTCTCTCTCTGATGTCTTCGGAAACGAATATGGAGAAGCAGACGGACGGCATTGACCGGACTGTTTATTAAGTTAGGCTGTTGTGTAGTGCAGCTACGTATGTCTAACTATGTCCTTATTCGCATGGTTCCGGGTTCTTCTAATGTCAGGCACAGGCACAGCACACGAGATTAGTTCCGTAATCGAACAATTCCGAATGTCTTCTGGAAGCATTCACTGATCGAGCTCTGTACCTCGGTCGAACCAACAGACAATCTCAAGTCCGAATTCCATTGCCTATCATTGTGGCACAATTGACACGCCGTTTCTGGTCAAAACGCTGACGATCCCTCTACTCACAAGCTTTACTACGCACACTCAGTTTTCAGATGCAACACAACCTCGGTCTGCAGTCACTGTAACTATGGCAATCTAAAGGTTTGGAAAGGATTCCCATGACGCAGACCTCAACGATCGCGTGAGAAGTGGACTCTGTCAATGGAGATATCTGACCTAGACCTAGCATTTTCGCGTGGGGGAGAATTGAGATTACACAACCTGTCAATTAGATACCCTTGATTCGTTAACTGAAGCTCTCTTAATCAGCCAACTGTCAGCTTTCTTGGTGTCGTTGTTGGGTTCAGCTCAATCCTCTGCCGGCCGGTGATGATACAATCAAACCACCCACCACACACAATGGCTCTCTATTGTTGCGCCACGGCCAGACACAGAGTTGCGTGGCTGCTACGACCCGAGCCCAGGTACCGAACTCGGGGTGAGGTAACCTCGAAACTAGTGCCGACAGGACGCTACGGGGGAATGTGGTAGACAGGGAGTTTGTGGGTGCAAGGGTCCTTTTGGTGTTGAAGTGAGGCCATGCTATTCCCGAGAGCAACAGCTTGGGTGAGGTTTATTGCTTTTAGACTGGCTAGTTATGCAGAGCGTTTAAACGCTCGTTCCATCTCGGAACTTCTCGTCCTTGGAATACAATACTCGCTGTATCTTTGACCTTTCGTACATGACCTGTCGTTTTCGAGGCTCACTCATAAAGCTGCAACTCCTTGAGAGTCTAAGACGGGCTGTGAAAGCCAATAAGTTACATGTTGTTTGTTTGCTTGGATAATGTTTGCTTTTCGTCTCTTGTGATTTGCCGTGTTACAAAGCAATTGTCTAGAATGGCGCCTCCAAGTTCTGGACCCTCGCTTCCGGTTGGTCACATCTGACGTTCCATTCCTCAGACATGTGGTTGCCATGCGTTGAGTTGCATTCTTGTTGTCTCGCGTGGCTACCGCATGGCTTGAGACTCTAGGTATTAGGGATTGTATGTACGGCAGATATCCCCGTCGATGATATACTTGCCTAGCTACTGTAACTTAGCTGTAGATCTCCACAGAGTTTTTGAGATCAAGAGCTACTGAAGGGAACTAAGTTAGTTGGTGATGGGCATTCTGTATGTTGTTTTAGAGGTGAAACTTGAGTCAAGCTGGCCTTGTATGGCTTGTACTCTGAGTTGAGTACCTTGGAAACTAACTGATAATTACCATCGCCACACGCCATATCCGTCAAGCCTCAAGCTATCAAGTTGACTAAAAAGAGAGATTTCTTGTGATTTGGTTACCGAATCTAGAACCTAGATCAGCCTCGTTTCTCACCTGTTTCTGTCCTCGGACCATATTCATAGCCAAGACTTCCCTAAAAGATTCGTTCTCACTGTCCCTTCAGTGGAAGCCGCCGGGCCACTCCAAAAAGCAAGGAGAGCCTGGAGCTTACAGGGCCCGACCCCACTAACAGAAAACCTCCACCCACCTAAAGGGAACTAACAATGGATCCCAGCTGTTCTATCGTACGACTTCCTGAGCTTGGATTTCCCAACATCCATCCACTTCGCTTTTACTTTTCACTCTCACTTAGATACACCCTCTATCGCCTGGGGGTAGTGCTAGGCCTACCACGAGGAATAGACGGCTTGTGGAGAAGCCCGAGTTTTCTCTCTTTTCTTTTTCTCTATGGCCATGGTTATAATCTCTGTTTGTGGGTGTATCACCCCGTCCACTCTAATTCAACTGGGGGCGTGTGATATCTCAGTATCCATGCCATACCATGCCATGCCCTTGCTGTGTCATGGCCATGAGCCATGAGGAGGAGGAGAAGGAGGATATAATATCTGGGGACAACTCCCTCTCAGACTCATCTCTCGACTGACGAACTCTGCTTCATTACAACATCTCATTCCTTTACTCATCTGCTACTCTACCAATCTCGACATATACAGCAGTAACACGAAGCATTGTCGACATTTCTCAAGACTCTGTCTATTCCATAATCAATCTCACCCTTCTTAGAGGTGTCTCTTACTACTACTTCAACTGTAGTACCTCATACTCCTCACAATGGCTCTGTCATATCAACAAACCAGGCTCATTCGGGGCACCATCCCCGCCCTCACCGACCACGGAGAGCGCATCACCACCATCTTCTACCGCAACATGCTCCGTGATCACCCCGAGCTCAACGACTACTTCAACACCGTCAACCAGGCCAACGGTCGCCAGCCTCGTGCCCTCACCGCCGTCATCCTCAGCTACGCCAATAACATCAACCACATCACAGAGCTCATCCCCAAGATGGAGCGTATGTGCCACAAGCATTGCTCCCTGGGCATCAAGCCAGAGCATTATGCCATCGTCGAGAAGTATCTCATCGCTGCCTTCGCAGAAGTCCTCGGTCCTGCCATGACACCCCAGGTCAGAGAGGCTTGGATGAAGGCATACTGGATGCTTGCCAAGATGCTCATCGGTCGTGAGGCTCAGCTCTATCGTGACTTTGGCAAGTGGCAGGGCTACCGTAAGTTCCGTATCGAGAAGAAGGTTGAGGAGTCTGATGATATCTACTCCTTCTACCTCGTTCCTGTCGACGGAAAGCGTCTTCCTCCCTTCCAGCCCGGCCAGTATGTTTCTGTTCAGGTACCCATCGCCGACAAGGGCTATGTCCAGTCTCGCCAGTACTCCCTGAGCGAGGCTCCTCGACCTGACTACTACCGCGTTACCGTCAAGCGAGACGAGGGACTTCACATGACCCGCAGCGGTCGATATCTCGGAGGCGATGCCCTCAACCCCGGTGTTGTCTCCAACCTCCTTATCGACATGAAGGACGAGGGCGATATCGTTGAGTTGACTCACCCTGCTGGCGAGTTCTACCTCGACATGTCCAACACGTCCAACGTTCCCATCGTCCTCATCTCTGCCGGTGTCGGTGTCACTCCCATGATGTCCATCCTCAACACCGTTTCCGAGCGCCAGCCTCATCGTCCCGTCTCCTGGATCCACGGCTCCCGCCGCTCCGTTCCCTTCTACGACCAAGTCCGCCGTATCGCCCGTAACCGCCCCAGCTTCCGCACCAATATCTTCAAGACCCATCTCGCCGAGTCCGATGTCTACGGCGTGACTTACGACCACGACTTCCGCATGGATCTTGCCAAGGTCGACAAGGAAGACCTCTACCTTTGCAACAGCTCTACCGAGTACTACATTTGCGGCCCTGAGCAGTTCATGCTCGAGATGGCTGAGTATCTCAAGGCTCAAAAGGTCGATGCCCCTCGCATGCATTTTGAGCTCTTCAGCACTGGTGATATGGAGTTCAAGGTCGATACCCTGAGCATCGGCTCTGCGTCAAGGGCAACTTCCATCAACAGCGACGAGGCCAGATGCCCTAGCTCTGGAGCCATCTCTACGAACGGTGCTACTTGCCCCTTCTCATGAGTTTGGACCATATTTAAGCTGAACGAACAAAAACATAAAACTATTTACGGGGCATCTCTCGGTCATGGGCTAGATTACGGGAAGTGATGAGGCGTTACGGATCCGGCGCATATCTTATTCTTTATTGTTGCATCTCTTGTTACAAGATTCCCTTTGATGACAAATATTCTCTCTGTCAAATCATAATACATGTTCATGTTATACTTCTACACTACAAGATTAGGGGGTTTCGACGACACATTGGGCTTATCTGAATGAAACGGCGGGAAGGAAAAGTGCGAGATTTGGGCTGGGATTGGGAGGTGTCTAGAAAGCGAAAAGAGAAATCAACAGAATTTCATTGTTCTACCTGAATAAACAAACATGCTAAAAAATGATACTCCATCTATATAACCACAACTATACTAAACAATGAGTGAATAAATTGGTGTGTACGTGGTCCCGTACTCGCTTCTCAAGCGATCCCCCGTCTTTGCCCGCTACGGTGGCATGGCAGGGTAGGCTGGCCAAAAAAACACCTGAAATCAGGAGACAGATGACGAACAAAGGAAAAAACCGCATATGCTAGTAAAATATAGGAGAAAAGAAAGCAGAACACCGGCTGTTCCGTTACTGTTCGTAGTTGTGGAACTTCTTCCAATGCTTGAGCAGATTGTCCTGCCTCGTAAACTTTGAAGTACACCCCTCAAACCCGCAGATCCTCTCCTCGGTGAGGATACCCTTGCTCGCCGCGTAGGCTCTGTGAGAAGTTCGGTAGTGGCGATCCATGTCCCGCTGCTCTGCCTTGGTGACGTTGCAGTTGGGATCGGCTTTGCATTTGACAGGCTTGTTGTGAGTTTTCATGTGTTTGCTGCGTCGTATTAGCCAAAACATTCTTTGTTTCAAGTTTAGAAACTTACTTTAGGTCTCTGTTACCGCCGAAGAAGCGGTCACATTCTGAACAGTGGTGCGGAGTGGTAACCTGGGCTGTAGACGATGAAGCTGAGATGTCGTTAGCTTGTTTCTGTTTCAACTAGAGATGCATGTAACATACTAGGCTCGGCAGTTGGATAGGAGCTGGGGTAATTATGGGTTGCATAACCAGACCCTGAACTCAGTAAAACCTCATTGGGGTTGACAGTTGCAGGTTGCTGCGTCATGTAATACAACATGCTTGGATCCTGAGTCTCTGGAATACTCGAGGCTGTTGCGTATACACCTGAGTTGAAGTCAGAGACTTGTGAGTCGGCGCTCTACTGGCTCTGACTTGGACCAGCCTGGCTGTACGAGGCAAAGCCCTGGGTATCAGTATATCCAGGGTATGAGGCTTCGGAAGTCAGATTGGGATCAATGGGAATGTCTTCCTGTTGAGATTGGTGAGATCTGCTGGAACGACTGTGTCTGTGAGAATGGCCGCTTCGTCGTGACATGTCTAGGATATGGTAACTCTTAGAGTATGAGTTGCCGAAGAGCTGAAAGTATGGCGAGTATCACTGAATAGATCTGAAAGCCTTGATATTACCTTTTGAGAGGGTATTGAAGGGAAATTTATACTCATTGAAAGAGCCTCTTTGGAGGCCGGCCGGGGGCCGACAGCACATTCTCATCTCTGTGATGTTTGACAGAGGTGACTCGATTAATACATGAACAAGAGGAGGGTTGAGAACAAGATAGAAGACCCCGGATACTGAAAGGCGGAATACTCAATGGCGTAGCGTGGATATGAGACAGCTCGCGATATCACGACTCTGCCTTGTCCGACATTTGCGACCCAAATACAGGCCAAATTCGGTGAGATTTATCATGTTCGTTGGAAGATTCAATGAAGATAAATGTCAAATAAGGCGATCAAGAATGTTGGAGGCCGGCTGGGGAGAGATGCAGATGTTGGTCACCCCGCATGATGCGATGTGATTGACTGATGGGCCCCCCAAACTGGCCGGCCTCCGACATGAGGCTTGGACAAGGCAGATCTTATGGTCTGAAAGAGTGTAAAAAGTCAGAGAAGCTGAAAGCCTAGAGGCCTCTTGGATGATCAAAAGCTATATAAGAGCAAGATTGTCTCTGAAAGACTGACTTTGGTAACCGCAAACTGCTCTTGTTGAATATACACTCCGGCTTATTGCACAAACAAGGCCCTTGATAGCAAGATCGATCATGACTACTGGTAAGCTGGCCCTTCATCAATGAGATTTACAATAACTAACGGTCAACAGACGACATAATCTCGCTAAAGTCCAGGCAGAAACGCCGTCTCTATGAGCCCATCGTTCTGTACAAGGCTCTTACTGAGATCACCCACGAACAAGGCGCTCTTCGTCCTGCTGAAGTCCCAGAACGGCCAAGAACCGAAGAAGAGCGATACCATCACTTTCTCCACAAACTAGCCAGTATCTGCGATAGCACAAAGGGCGGTAAGACCGTCACTTCAATCGCCATACTCGACGAGGAAGAAAAGTACAAATACGTCTTTGCTTGCAACCAGATATCCGACAGAGACCTCAGCGATACACGAGATCTCCTAACAACAGTTCTAACAAGTCTGTATGACTTCCATACATTTCCCCCGGATAAGAAGAACACTGTTGAGAGTGAAACTTTGAAGAAGATTCTCTCATTCAACTCGCCAAGGATCAACTGCTATCTTAACGCACTAAAGGCGAAAAACATTGTGGAATGTTTGGAGTACTGCCAACTGCAGACAGACACAGCCTGTAAGCCAGACTGCCCGTATACCGAGATGCAAAGTAAAAGCTAACAAGAGATATAGGCACCTCGGTTGAGGAGGGTTTGAGAAGTCTTGATAGAGCTATTGAGGATACAACATTCAAGAACATGGGCAATAACGAGTGTAAGACTCATGGGTCTCGTGTATTGCCACACAGGAACTAATCAGAAACCAGACTTCGAAACTTACAGCACGATTCAACATGCGCTCGAGACGTTTCTTACCCGTGAAGTTAAAAGCTACATCGACAAACAGGCCACCAATGGTCGCTTCAGCGAAGGCCGGAGTTTTGCATGCTGGTCAGAGTTGCGGCACAGCTTATCGCGTCTTCAGAGCTACAAGAAAACTGTTCAAGATCTCATCGCAGCAGAGGGAGAATGGCCAGATATTTTCCAGGAACTCGAAGTTGTTTCAGTAAAGTCCAGTCAGACAGAGCCCAATCCCCTTGGTAAAAAGAGCGAGAAAGCTTCCAACATCCTTGGGCGTATGTGCAGCAATGAAGCTTCACGACAGCGATATTGTGATCTTGCGCAGAACTTGCAGATGTTTGACTTGGATGACCGTATACAAACTCAGTGCGCCAAACCAACTTTCAAGCCATATGTACACTGCGAAATATTGGTTCTCGAGTGGATAATGGTCCTCAACCGAGAAATGGCCCAGAAACATCACCCAGGGGTCACGTTCTTCAATGACTGGAGCTACATTGGAAGCAGTAAACCGGCATGCCAGCTTTGCCGCTACTACTTCGACACTGCAGGTCAACACAATGGTATCCGCACTCGAGCAGGCCATGGTAACCTTTATGTAAACTGGCGGTTTCCAGATCTTCACGAATCCGATGGCACTTTCGGTCAAACGCGACGACAGAGCATCTTCAACTCAATGATAGAGAAGATTCGTCAGGATGCTTTTGGGATCCTGGTGACGAGGAACTCGGGGGGTAAAAGGCACGATTCGAGCACCCATCCTCTCATGTCAGTGCGGTATACCGATGTTCAGACGGAGTTGAGTGTTCGTGATCTGCCCGATGTCGATGAATTGGGCGAGGATTTTGCTATGGGGCTCAATCTGGACTCGCCCAGTAACAGTCTGGAGGAGTCGGACTTTGATGATGAGGATGGTGGAACTATTCTTTGATGAGAGTCGTTGTATTTCAGGGTGTCTATTTCGTGTCCTAGGCTGTATCTCATTTATCTCGTCAACCTGTGTTTCCATAACTTCGATAATGTATGACTTAGTGGTCATTTCGCTTGTGCCAGGGAGCAGTAGCCTCAAGAAGGTCCTTGTGAAGCTGGCTATCACCACTGATCTTGTACACCTCATCAATGATATTGTTGCGCTGCATGAAGATCAAGAAGCCACCCCAGACGAAGTCAGCATAACTAGGGGTCTTTCCCAAGAAGAAAGGTCCCTCGGAGTTCTCCTTCAGCAGAGCCTCGACCTCTTGGATAGGTGCCTTCGCGTTAGCCCAAGCCTGCTGGCCGCCCTTCTCCTTGTGGAACTCATCGAGAGGCTTGCCGGCGACCTTGGATCGCGTCTCGTGCCAGTACGGAAGGCTCTTCTCGCTGAGGATGTTGGTGGGAACGGTGTAGAAGTAGACGGGTTGAAGGGCGCTCATGATCTTTGGCATGATGGAGAAGAGCTTGGCGAGAACGGGTGAGTCTTTGTGGACCGAGGGCTCAGGGTGGTCCTTCTCGACGCGCTCGAGGATCTTGTTGGAGTCCATGATGTATTCTCCATCGGGGAACTTGACGGTTGGGATGGTCCATGTTCCAGTGGCTGGGTTGGCAGGGACACTGAAGAGCGTTAGTTGAGTTGTTGTGAGTGACATTGACAACTTACTGCGGCTCAAGAGTGGGCTTGATGTCGGGGTACTCGAGCTGGTCATTGATCAATAAAAGAAGCGGCTATTATGGGATTCTTGAGGTACCCATTCGGTCTTGTAGTCAATTCCCTTGAAGTTCAAGAGAAATCGAGCTATCGTACAATTAGTAATATATCATGAGGGGCAGCAGCTTGACTCACTCTTCCATGGGTTGAGAGACCAAGCACCGACAGGATCTCGGCTCGGGAGATCAAAGAGGACGTATTGCTCAGATGACATTGTGAGTTATTGGTGATACTGAATGAATGACCTGGTGTAATGATTGAGGTGAAAGGTGTGAAGATGAAAGAGGGCCTTTACGAATATGTCACTATCAGTTAATCTACACGAGCTCCAAAGCTCGCTCATGAGGGGGAGGAGGGGCAATAGTGGGGAGCTGAGCTGTCATGGATGGGGATCTTCGGTTCTGGGCCGAGGAATTTGATCAACGAATCAGCGTTGATCTTTGGAACATTCAACTCGAGACTATCTTCAGAGAAACCAACAGAATTTATTCTTTACCAGGGACAGTCGCTGTACTATGTAGACATTGTGTTGTCAGTCATTCGTCATGACGATGATGGATGGACCCCTGTTTCTGACCCGGGAGCGTAAGCTCAAGCCATAGAATACATTCTCAGACATCAGACTGTATCAACCAAAATCCTTCGTTGGCAGAACATCCATTGACTAATAGCTTGTACGGATATTTTTATTTTGCTAGACACTTAATCTTGAGTGATTGGAGGGAGAGTCCAGATTAGGCATCCAAGTATGGGGGCCGGGAAAATCAAGTGAAGCAGTAATAGTGGCGAGTTTTGAGCTGTCATCATGAGTACACCACTCTACTCAAGACAGGACAAACACTGCGTCCATCAACAAGGAGACACCTCCCTTGTACAATTCGAAGCAGGAGGCAATTTTGCGGCGCGCCCGACAGCCTTTTGATGATGACAAGGGATAAATGACAACGTCAGTTTTTTCAAACGAGGCAGCCCAACCATGATGCTCATTTTGTAAACACAAAGCCATGTCAAGTTGACAAGGCACTAGGCTGGGTTCCGACCTGAATAACCTTGGGTTTTCTCTTCATTAGAGAGGTGCTGGTTGCCATCATGCAAAGCTTGATGCTCACGTATCGTTATCGCCAGCAGCACAACATGAAACCGCCATCTTTGTCGGCTACACTATCAACTTAGGTTTATGAATCTCCCTCAGCCTTATAGGGATAGAAGGGACGCACAAGATGGACCATTCAACACGGAATTCCGTGTCACCACTAACAAAAAAGGCCAAGATAGTGGGGAACGAGTGCGAGAGCGACAGGATCTAGCTAAGCATTTTACCCCTGTCGTTATGCAACCACCGCTCAGCCCCAAAAGGAGGATCGGCGGACCAATTCAACATGGTCCAAATCCTTCGACGTCACAGATAGCAATACTGTTGGTTGAACCTTGGGCTGAGACACAGCCACTGAACCTTCCCACATATCATCTGTAGGCGTTGAATCCTACTCTATGTGCCTAGAATTAGCTCCTTGCATTGCATACAAGAGACCCTTAGGCCCCCACCTCGGTTCTTCAATTTCCTGCAGCTCTTGTCTCGTCAGATTTCATCATATAGCACAGCGACACACAACACAATGGCCACGATACAAAGCACTACACCGCCTGACATGCTGGAAAAGCCAGACTTACCACAACGTCCTACAACTCCAAGGTCAGTAAGCTACGGCTCTGTTTTTCTTCTATTAGCTAACTTGACATAGAGTAATTCGCACCGTGGTCCACGATGAAGGTCTTCCAGAAGTTGTCCACTCAAATCAACTCATAAATGCCACGGAATACTACGATGCTCCGATACCAGTAGACTCAGAAACAGACAAACGATACAACGAAGCTCCCATTCCAGTCACAACACTCGACAAATATGAACCTGCACCTGCGCTGCCAGTTCGTCCATCTTCTATAACACCACAACCTCAGCAACCCTACCCCTACAGCCCAAGCGGTTATGCTCAGCCACAACCTCCCAGCTTCGTCGCTCAGTCACCACAACTACCGCCTTACAACAGCAATGAGGTCGTAACATATGTGACGCCACTGGATCAGCTTGGAGATCATCCCAAGTTTGTGGATTGTCCATTCTGCAGACATCGTGCGGAGACGCGAGTGAAGAAGATATCTTCAAAAATGACACAGTAAGCTCCCCAAAGCAGTTCTTAAGACTTGCCAAGCTAACAATCTCTAGTGTTTCTGCAACAGTCCTCGGATTCACAACGATAGCAGGCGCTGCTGTTCCTTATGCTGGGAAGTGGCACTCTCACACAGCTCACTACTGCAGCAACTGTGATCACAAAGTGGCCATTCGAAAATGGGGATCCAGTCAGATGAAGCCTCTGGGGACACCCGATTATCTGAGGGAGGTATCGAGATATGGCCCTGCTCACTCGCCGAGCATGTCCAGTAGCTCAACGAGAGGTTAAAGACGATCTATATGAGTAATAATGAGGGATTGATACCAGGATGAGAAATGGTTTTCAAAGAGGGAGAGAGGAGCTGTTAATCGAGTTCGATATCTACAAGACACAGGCTCATCACACAGCATTTGGTTTGATTTTAAAGGCATGAATATCAAGTTCACGAATTGTAAATGCGCAGTTATAGGTGCCCCCTCCAGCAAGGCCATTGGTGGAGAAATACATAAATCTCGACGATTGCTTCGTTTGCAAGTCTCATCGGGCAGACTCCCATAGGGAAGTACTTATCAGAGAGCATTATCGACGGTTGAAGATGGCTTCGTCTGACCAATCATACACTGTGATAATGTCGATCAGGGTTTGGGGAAGCCAACGGTTTTGCTGTTCCATGGCGCCTGTCAGATGCTTATGTTCTGCCCCTGCCCTGTCAGATCTCAATTGAAACTGAAAGGAATTGTTTCAGTGCTTTACCAGTCTGTAGAGAACAATTATTATATTCTATGCTGTTATAATGTAGTTTTATCGGCATGTTGCAGTCCCCTGTAGGGTGTCTTCACAGCACCTCGCCAACACCAGAACTAGTGCTGTATGGCTCTGTATCAGCGATCCCTACCTGGGACTTGGACAAAAACAGACTCAATTGAGAAAAGATACTTCTAAAACTCCTCGTACGATGCCGATTCTGTCTACAAGATGCTGTTATGTACTCCAATTGGCTCAAAAGCAATAAAATGGCTTTGTGGCGTCAATTAACTGCGGGACTACCACCTTAGAGCACTTAGGGGTTCAGAGCCCAATTTCTTAACACCACTTTCACTCCTCAACAACTCCCACCTCTCACACGGCACCTCCAAGCTCGTCGTCGCACATCCTCGCAGCAATGGAAGAATCAACAGAGCACCACGACATTCTCGTTATAGGAGCTGGCCTCTCTGGTATTAATACCGCCCACGTTCTCAACCAGAGACTCCCCCACCGCTCGTACACGATCCTCGAGGCGCAATCGGCCATTGGCGGGACATGGCGCTTCTTTCGATACCCAGGCTTTCGATCCGACTCGTTCATGACAGCTTTTGGTCTGCCATGGCATCCTTGGAAACATAAACATAAGATGGCGCAAGCAGGCGAGATCGTGGAGTATCTAGAAGAAGCTGTTGATGCAGCAGGCTTGAGGGACAAGATTCGGTTCCGACATAAGATGCTAGCGTGTGAATGGCGGACAGACGAGCAGAATTGGAAGATAGAAGTTGATGCGGACGGTCAGCGAAAAACCTTTATCGCCAACTTCGTCATCAGCTGCGTAGGATATTATGCGTACGACAAGGCTTTTCCGACGACAATTCCTGGTCTCAAGGGCTTCGGGGGGGAGGTCGTTCATCCCCAATGGTGGCCTGAAGACCTCGACTACTCTGGCAAACGCGTCATTGTCATCGGATCAGGAGCCACAGCGATCACAGTTGTCCCATCACTTGCTGAGAAGGCAGGGATGGTGACTATGCTCCAGCGCAGTCCGTCCTTCGTCATCTCCCGACCCACGACTTCCAGCCTCGACTCTTGCTTGAAGTCTCTGCTCCCTTTCTCATTAGCATACTGGTTGATATATTGGAAAGACGTGTTCCTCGAGGTCTTTTCCACACAGTTTCTCCTCAACTTCCCTGCATTGGGTCGCAAGCTCTTGATGGGGGAGATGCAAAAGGCACTACCCAAGGACATTGACGTCAATGTTCACTTTAACCCCAGGTACAATCCTTTCCAACAACGACTCTGTATGTGTCCAGATGAGGATTTCTTCAAGGCTCTGCATCAGGACAACTGCGAGATTGTGACGGACACAATCGAGACTGTCACAAAGGACGGTATTTTGCTCAAATCCGGTCGCAAGCTCGAAGCCGATATAATCGTTACCGCAACGGGGTTGTACTTCCAACTCTTCGGTGGCATAGCCCCGCTAGTAGACGGGCAGCCCATCGAGGTTGGCTCACACTACGCTTGGCGTGGCTGCATGGTCGACTGTGTCCCTAATATGGGCTTTGTGATGGGCTACGTGACAACATCATGGACGCCTGGCGCTGACATTATGGCCAAGACATTGATAAGTGTTATCAAGGAAATGGAGAAGTCGGGATCAACAAGTGTCATGCCCGTGCTGAATGAAAAGGATAGGAGCAAGCCGCAGAAGCTCCCAGTCAGTGCTACCAGCAGCTATTTTGTCAAAGCTGCGGATCGTATGCCAAAGGTGACTGATGAAGGTCCGTGGTATGGACGGGTGAACTTGGCCAAGGATTGGTGGGCGTGGTTAATGGGTGATATGTCGAGCGGGCTTCTCTACAGCGGAGGACAAAGAAAGAAGGATATCTGAGACGTAGATATTTGAGAGAAAGAATAACGCCACGGGTTTGCTTTTCGGGATTGTTGGATGTTGATGGCGTTTGCCTGTGATCCGGCATTGCCGGAGGGTAGCTGGCTGACACGATTTATGAATGATGAGAAATGGCATCTTATCTGGATCCTTGCAAGTTCGTATCTTACATATAATTCATGCTGACCAATTCTAAGCATCTGAATTGAGACTTCTTCGTCTTCCTTTCTGCCAAGGCTATTGGCTGCTGAAGATACCTCTATAGTCAAACTCGGGCTTGGGCCTAGAGCTAGCACAATCGAAGCAAAACGCCTCAAGCTCTTCCCCGTCGTCGGACACTTCCGTCAACCCCGCGATTGGTTCTTTTAGTTATTCTCCGGTTCGTTTACTTTCACGATTAAACAATCTCGATCACGGTGAAGATTCGTTTGTACTTACTCATTTGCACATGCTGGTAACAGCCCAGAATTGTTACTTTCGGTTACATCCCTTGCCTGAACAACCCTGCCTTATCCACGCCAACTTCTATCAATGTGTTCGGTTTGACGAATCTGAAGATCTGAAATAATGGGACACCTGATCCTACGCCGCTCCATGGCATCCACGCGGGCCGGGGTTTAGACTAATCTAGTCTAAAGTCAATTCCCTTGGTCTTGGTCGATCCAGGCAGATCGAGACTGGTAAGTCACAGGTCACATATCATCTACTTGACTTGCTCGCCGTCGTCATTATTCAGACCTACAACACACCTTATCACGGTCAATTGATCTGTCACCATGGGGTTTCTGACAGATCAATCGCTAACCAAGATCTGTTTTCGGGTTATCATCGTGTTACTTATCGCTCAGTTATTTCGTCTTGTTCGTCGCTGGTCTCGTCTACGCCATATTCCTGGCCCATCCAGCGCAGGATGGACTTCATGGTGGCAGTGTCGAGGAGCTCTTAGCGGTCGCTACCATGAGCATTTGAAGAACGCAGCAGATCAATTCGGTACGACATACTCATCAAAACACTACCAAAATCACTAACAATCAATGGGCCCTCTGGTTCGTATTGGTCCCAATGAGGTGCTCTCAACAGACCCAGTTGTGCTGCGCAACATGTCCGCTGTGCGAAGCACTTATACGAAAGGGGATTTTTATAGCAGCGGCAGGATAGTTCCTGGTGTTGATAATGTCGTCTCTGAGAGAGATGAGGCTAAGCATAAATTTATGAGAGCAAAGATGGCACCTGGTGTAAGTCAATTCCAGGATTGAATCGCTCTTCCGATACTGATGGCTTCTCAAGTATTCTTACAAGGAGAATGAAGGCTTCGGCTTCGAGGCAGGCATAGATCGTCAACTTCTCAACTTTATCTCTCTCATCGACCGAAAGTACCTCTCAACTACAAGTGAATCACGGCCTCTTGACCTTGCCGAAAAAACACAGTTCTTTGCCCTGGATGTCGTTGGCGATGTATCTTTTGGTGAACCATTCGGATACTTGACGAAAGATGAAGATCTCTTCCAATACAATGAGATAAATGCCAGTTCACTGCCGGTCATGAACGTGGTATCCGTCTACCCCTGGCTAGGAAGGGTTGTTCATCGGTGGCCGCTAAGTCTGTTGCTGCCGCGGGAAGAGGACCAGGTTGGTTTCGGACGACTGATGGGGTGGGTTGGATGTCAGTTCATGGTGGCTCAAACTGACCTTTTTAGCTTCGCGAGGCACTTTGTTCGCAAAAGACTGGCCGAGGGGATCACGACGAGGAAGGATATGATGCAGATGCATATCAGCAACGGCATGAATGAGGAGGAACTTATCCAGCAAGCCTTCATCTCAATGTAAGTTCCCTCAAACCACTCCAAAGACCTTGGATTGACAGACCTCAGTATCGCTGGTTCTAACACAACCGCGCACGCGCTTCGAATGATCATACTCTCCTTAATCACAAACCCAAACGCATACCGCTCCCTCATCGCCGAGATTCGAAAGGTCACCTCGTCAGTCAGCAATCCCATCTCCTGGGCACAGACGCAAACACTACCGTATCTTCAAGCAGTCGTTCGCGAAGGTCTGCGCACGTGGCCACCAGTAGCTGGTCTCGGCTTCAAGCAGGTCCCTCCGGAGGGCGATACCATCAACGGCTTCTTCGTCCCCGGCGGAACGCAAGTTGGTCAGGGGTTCTACGCTGTTGGTCGATCACGTCTTGTCTGGGGCGACGATGCTGATGTTTTTCGGCCTGAGCGATGGCTACTCGCTGGTGAAGACAGGTTAAGGGACATGGTAGCGGCGTTGGACACACATTTCGGACATGGGAAATATTCGTGTTTAGGAAAGCCGATTGCTCTCATGGAGATTCACAAGGCTGTTTTCGAGGTAGGTAAGCCTATATAATGCACCTCGGATAGTTGCTAACAGATGCTAGTTGTTTAAGCGCTACGACTTTGCTATATTGAACGCTGAAAGACCTATCAAGACCCAGACTTCAGTCTTTCTCTTTGCTTCAGACTTTTGGGTCACGATCACACAGCGTGATGACGAAGAGAATTGACTTCGAGTGTGCGATTAATTGGACGCGAAGCTGTAATACGTATATATCTCATATATTAGATGTACCATATAAGTCATATGAATTTGACATATTCATAGATCTGAAGCCGGCATCGAATTACATGATGCGTCACACAAGGGATCACATTTGCAACACCTCTCGTGAGGTTGACTGGGTATTCATTTATTCAACACACATGACAAGTAACTCCGCTTGTCTTGTATCGATTGAGTAGAATTAGAAAGGTTTCCGCCACTCTATGCTCAAATCTCCTCTTCTTCGGGTTTCCTCGATGGCGTACCAAGTGTCTCAAGCCCTCTAGCTCCCACCATTTCCACAGGCGCATTTGCTGGAATTTCCACGCCCTTGCCTTCAACGACCTTTCCTTGTCCCATAGCCTCTTGGTATTTCTTACCCGTCTCATCCAGCAAAGCTTGTACCTCCCCTTCTCTTTTCACAATATCCTCACGTTCTTTCTTAAGCCTCTCGACACGATTTTGCTTCCCCTTCATCTCCTCTTCCATACCCTTCAAGGTAGTCTGCAGGCGAGCTAGACATTCTGTCAAGCTTGGTAGAGGTGATATCTTGGGCGGTGCTTGTAACAAGTCCTGACTAGGATCTTTCCGAGGCTTCTTTAAGCCGTCCATACCTGCACGTGTCTGTGCAGCCTCGTATGCGATTCGTCTCTCAGCATCGCTATCGGAGGAGGAATCTGAAGTGTGTCCTTCAGCAGCTGTGATGAGTTCCTCCATCATCTTGCGATCTTGTTTCCGCCTCTCCTTTTCGGCACGTCTGCCCAAGGAAAGTCCACCGTCTTCAACGTAATTATCGAAACCTTCACCGAGATCTTCATCCTCGGCTATTAATCGTGTATCGTCCTTCTTTTTGCGACCAAATGGATCTTCATCATCTTCAACCGATAGAAAGTCCTTCTCCAGAGCTAATCGTTTACGCCGTTCCTTCTTTTCTAGAATCTCGGCTTCCGTTAGAATAGCCGTTGGTTGTGTCTGGTTGAATTCTGACGAATCAACAACAACAGCGCCTTCAAGTTCAGAAGCATCCAGGTCCATGAGATCGGCATCGTCGGGCTGCAGTGTTGACGGCCTTTGTGGAGTATTTGGTGTTGATGATTGTAACTCTTCAAGGTATTCTTTGCTGTATCTGGGTCGGTCGTCATCATCCCCAATAGTCCTCATGGGAAGTCCTTTTGTGCCCAATCCTCTTTTGATAGCGCTGTTTTCCAATGCTCGCCCCAATGGCAACTTCTTTGGAGTGAATACCTCGGCGGTCTCGTCATCTCCTGCAGCGCTATCGTCTCCACCAAAGGACAATCGTGAAGATTTGTTCGATTTTTTCTTTCCTTTCAAAGATCCTGATCGACTAATCGCTGGTCGAACCACCACTGGTCCATCATCCTCGTCGTCGTTCGCGGCTGGTGCGTCTCCCAGGCCCTCACTATCAGCAGGATTGAAGCTCTTCCTTAGCCCCGACTGTCGAAATGGTTTCCGACCAGCTTTTGTGCCAAATACTGGTTTAACAGGTTCTGTATTCGCAAGGGTCAGCCTTGATCCCATCAGCAAGAGTCGCATTTTCAAGTTCTGGGAATACTCACCATCGCTACCAGCACTGTCGCCACCTGCTACTGAAGGGACGTTTTCGCTGGAGTCCTCATCGGCGATCTCGATGACCTTGGCCTTTCGTTTCGCAGAAAAACTCATGATGCGATTGTTTCTAATGTCGGCGCATTAATTGAGCGACAGAAAGTTCGCGGCGCGGGTGAAAGTGACGTGCATTTTGGCTCGATATCTTATCAGCACGTGATGTTGAATTTCCGCCCAGAGAAATGGAGATAGCTCTAGGCCGCGATCGCGTCGCATGAAACAGCATCCAACTACTCAACTATTTATTGCTCAAGATGGCGCCCGCACAACCTGAGCTGAAGAAGGCAAGTCTTGATCTTTTCCGCGTCGCATGCTCCTTAGCTTCATCTTCACCATATCACCCGGGCTGAAGCATTGCGATCTATTGGTACTGATCCATAGCTAACTCTTCTATACAGTACCTCGACAAGAGACTGTTCGTCCAGCTGAACGGCAGCCGAAAGGTCATCGGCATCCTCCGAGGTTACGATGTGAGCAGTATTCGTGCGATTATACAAACAAAACTAACAGAAACAGGTCTTCCTGAACATTGTCCTCGACGAAGCGGTGGAGGAGAAGGATGGAGGAGAGAAGGAGAGAATTGGCATGGTTGTACGTTTTCCTGACGCACTCTCAGACCACAAAAGACAAGATACTGACGTTTGGACAGGTCATCCGTGGTAACTCGGTAGTAATGCTCGAGGCTCTCGAAAGAATTGGCGGCGATGACCGACGTGGAGACCGATAATCCTGAAGAATGGCGGAAACACTGGAAGAGACGACGGAAATTATGTGATCTTTATTGGCGTTAAGGTCGAAAATGAGACAAGTCCTTGTGGGCAGTTTGTTTGGGTCACATCTTACTAGATATCAAGAGAGGATATCCTCGAATTGTTATACCATGTCCAACCAAACACTACACTACTCCTTCTTCTCCCAGACCTTCTCGTCATATGAGTCCATCAACTGGCCAGCATACGCCTTCTGCCAACCCTTGATACCTCCAATCAGAATTTCAGCCTTGATCTCGGTCTCTTCAACTTCATCGAGATAGTCCTGCATCCAGCCTGCACATCGTGGACCTCGACTACCGCAGCTACCTGAAGATCAATGAGTAATAGGTCGGGGATAGATATCTAGGAATTGATGAATTACCGCAATAAAAGATGATTCTCTTGATACCTGCCTGTTTGACAAGCTGATAGATCTGAGGACGTGTCTGATACAACGTATGAGCGGGGAGATTGATGGATGTAGCGATAGTGCCGCCCTCCCAGTCCGTCCTTCGAACATCAACTAGCAAAAAGTCCCTTTGGGCATTCTTTCCAGAAGCTGCATTCACTTCAATGAGTTTTGCGACAATGGACGGGTCTGTTCGAGGGCATTCGGCCTTTGGCTCAGGGAACTCCTCCCACCATTGCTTCTGCGGGGTGTCCTGCGGGGCGTCTTCTCCCATGATGTGACTTTTTTAAGAGAAGAGAGTAAAGTTTCGTAACCAAGCTTTGAGATGTCTACAGCAATGACTTTGAATCAAGACTTGGAAATGATTGTGTACAGTGCAGGTTGAAGGTAAGAGGGCTTGCACTTTGTATCGTGGCTAGGTGATGATGACGGGATGCAGCGCCGACCCGGAACTTTTACCCCGGATTAAGGTTGTACGGCAACATCACGGGTCGGATTACAAATGCGTTCCACGTTCAATATAGTAATTCTGAAGAAAGGGTCCTTGATTCAGTAGACGGACTAGAAAACTATGGACTTGCTATTGTGATATACTCACGAAAAGGGCGATTCTTTTCTGTAGGGATGGGTAGAAGCCAGTGTCGATTGCCAAGCGGATAACTAGTATTTGAGAATCCATGAAACACCATTCACAAGTCTTTATCATATGAAAGGATGATAGAAATTTTCAAATGAAGGCATATGTTTTTTGTTCTTTAAAATATTGGTATTTTTTTATGTACATTTGTCAATTAAAATGTCCTTTAGGGTATGCACCAGAACGCAGACAGCTCACTTACAACATACTTCAGACCAGTGCTACCTTCTGTGTGAATGGCCAGGCTATCATTCAGTGATTGATTTATGATTCAGTAAATTAAATTTAATAACGCTATACATGCTTTTATATATCTGTAATCATGGGTCGAATGACTTCTCCTCAACGGCAATCTTTGACTCTAGGGCAATATCACCAGCAGATCTTCCAATCATAAACTTGTAATCACCACCCTTAACCACCCATTTCTTCGTCGACTCATCAAAGAAGGCAAAGTCACGAGCACGAACAGGTATCTCAACCTTTGTGCTCTCACCAGACTTCAGTGTCACCTTCTCAAAGGCAGCCAATTGCTTCAGAGGATCACCCTTAGCAGTCTGAGCGGCTCCCACGTAGACTTGCACAGCGATGGCGCCGACAACCTTGCCTGTGTTGGAAACCTTCACGCTGACAGTGTAGTCACCGCTAGACTCCTTAACCTCGAGGTCGGAGTAGTCGAATGTGGTGTACGAGAGACCGAAACCGAAGGGGAAGTTGACCTTGTCGGCGGAAAGGCAATCGAAGTAGCGGTAGCCGATGAAGACACCCTCGCCGTATGTTACCCTCAGTCTGCCGTCAATGTGCTTTCCGGGGAAGTTGCCGTACGCAGGACAGTCTTCGAGCTTCTTGGGGAATGTGCAGGTAAGGTGGCCTTCAGGGGTTTGGGCGCCTGTCAGCACATCTGCGATGGAGTTACCAGCCTCCTGACCTGGGAACCACGTCTGGACAAGACCCTGGATCTTTTCCAGCCAGGGCATAGCAATGGCGACACCAGTCGAGTTGACGACAATGGTGTTAGGGTTGGCTTCGGCGACCTGGGCGATCAAGCGGTCCTGGCTACCATCCTTGGGGAGGTTAAAGCTGACTTGATCCTGGCCCTCGGTCTCCCAGAATGGCTCGTGGCCAGTGAAGATAATGGCATAGTCGGCGTCCTTGGCGACATCGACAGCTTCCGAGAGGAGGTCACGGTCATGCTCTGCCTCGGACATGTATCCTACTCGCAGACCACATCGTCCCTCCAAGATACCAAGGTCAAGATCCTCTCCATCCTTAGCAGCAGGGGGCGATGTATGCATAGCGAGCTTGTACTTGCGTCCTGCCTCCAAAGAGACCTTGAACTCGGGAGGGTTATCGCCACCGAAAAGGAAGCCCATCGCATCCTTGGAGTTCTCCTTCTGCTCAAAGACGACCTTTCCATCGATGATAAGCTTGCTGGGTCCCAAACCAGAGGCGGTGAAGTAGTATTTGGCGGTCTCCTGGGCCGTGAAGGTACCCTCGAGGGTGACATCCTTGTTGCTGAAACCAAAGCCGCTTAGAACGGACACTTCAGAGTCGGGATGAGCAGGACGGACTTCGATAGGCTCAGGGTTGCCAGGCTCGAAGATCTTGAAAGTGAAACCGGGGTTGCCGTCCAAGTCAACAACGTTCTCGGCGATAGGGGGAAGCATGCGGAAGGTGTGAGCTCCTATTATACTGTTAGTAATCGTTCCCTAAAATCTCGATTCTGAGTATGCTTACCCTTAGCATAAGAGAACTCTACGCTGTCGCCAAGAGCTTCGTGAAGAGCATCCCAAGGGGTGACCTTGTAATGAGCGTTGACAGACGCACTGCCGCCACCATGAGCGAGACCAATCTTGGCGTGGCCTAGCAGGGCAATCTTCTTGCCTTTGACCTTGTCCTTCGACAAAGGAAGGACGTTGTCTTGGTTCTTTAGCAGAACGATACCTTTGGAACCAGCTTCTCGGATAAGAGCTTGGTGCTTGGGGTTATTGATAGCCCTCTCGTCAGGAATGCTGGGGTCCTTGAAGCAGTTGAGACGCTCGAGGAACTTGAGCACACGCTTTGCACGCTCGTTGATGGTCTCCTCGGAAGTCTTGCCAGCCTTGATAGCCGCGATGACATCCTCGGTCTTCCTCCAACGGGTAGGACCAGGCATTTCGAGATCCAGACCAGCTTCGAGAGACTCAGCGGTAGAGTTGACACCACCCCAGTCGCTCATAACGAGACCATCCCATCCCCAGTCGCCTCGGAGGACTTTCTTGAGCAGAAACTCGTTGGAGTCGGCATGGTGTCCGTTGACCTGGTTGTAAGAAGTCATCACAGCCCAGGGGTTGGCCTCCTTGATTGTGATCTCAAATGGTCGAAGGTAAAGTTCTCGCAAGGTCCTCTCGCTGATGGTTTCATCGACAGTCAAGCGCTCAGTCTCCTGCTCGTTAGCAGCAAAGTGCTTGATGGTAGCTGAAACACCCTTGTCTTGGAGACCCTCCACAACTCTGGCGGCCATCTTGCCAGTCAGGAAAGGATCCTCAGAGAACGACTCAAAGTTGCGACCGCCCAGGGGATGACGATGAAGGCACATGGTAGGTGCAAGAAGACACCGGGCACCCTTGGAGTGTGTTTCCTCGGCGAGGGCAGTGCCGATCCTCTTGGCGAGGTTGACATCGAAGGTTGATGCCATCAAACAAGCGGCAGGGAAGCAAGCAGCTGATGTACCACCAGCAAAGGCAGCTCCTCGAGCGCCATTGGGACCATCTGAGACCTTGACATTAGGAACGCCCTTGGAGGAAATGGGGACCGTCTCCCAAAGGTCCTTTCCAGCGAGGAGTGAGATCTGTGAGTGAAGTGATTAGTTGAATGAGGATATGTGAATGATAGGATGTAAGTTAAACGTACCTTCTCCTCAAGAGTGAGGGAAGAGAGGATGGATTGGATATCAACAGAGGCCATGTTGATAATGAGAAGTCAATTGACTGAAGAGGAGTGAAGGAGAGTCACATCTTGTGAAACGAGGAGAAGGCAGCTCTTTAATAGCACAATGGCCAACCCCTCAACGCCATGACGACTTCCCCAGGATAGTGAACTCGCACGTACTTGACCCGAGTGATCCGTTATTCAACCGAAACATGGCACTCATGTGGCCATTGAGTACCCGCTTTACGTGCATCTGCGTAGGATGCGGTGTTGTGCCATTGGATCGCGGACAAGGTGGTTCCTTGGTTTAGTGGTGAGTCTATCGATGCTAGTGGTACCGATCCGAGGCTATTCCGATGTTCAGACGGAGCTTTCCCAGTGAATAGCCTTGAAAGTCTCGAGACGGTTAGTTAAGCATGCCTTTTTCTCGTAAATTGAGTTCTAGAGCCGTTTGATTAGCCGTTGCCTGTTTGCCTGAGTTTGAATTGACTTCGAGTTGCACTCTAAAGTTGTGTCTTGTGCACAGAAGATATAAGGTGAGGTCAGTGAATGTCACCCATCGGCTAAATAGAAGTGTCCCGTCCTTCCAGAGCTTCAGTGGAGAACGTCGGCTCCTCGCTCCTAAGTTCCGGGAGGGTCACTTACAACTGATAAGAATAGAAGTACACTTGCATGTGATTTTTTTATATATACCAGAACAAACATCTTAGAATCTGTTAGAACTTAGTATAAACGTCGGAAAATTACCGTAGTTAGGCTCAGTCACGTATTTCAGTCTGTGGTCGTATTGCAAGGCCTCAGTCTGGCCTGTGACTTGTTGGACCCCCCAACTGGAGCATCACCTGGGGCCCCTGAACGATCGCCATTGACAGCTGCAGAGTTGGAGCACTAAAGGAATAGCGCCATGAGATGTGCATCGCATCACCATGAAGCAACAAGAGACTCAAATTATCTGGTATATAAAGGTACCAACAAGTCCCTATTCATACCTGAAGAGGAAACAAAGGAGCTATTGACGTTTCTTATTCACAACCCTTGCTTCGTCCCTTGGTAAAACAAAACAAATATGCCCCTTGAAACCATCAGCCGAGGATTATGCGCCTCAGAGAAAAGAACAGGTCAAACAAACTCAAAACATGTGAGTCTGCGTCTACTCCAACTCAACTTACCTAACTAGAACAGTGACGCAAACAAAAATAGCACACACCAAAGACACACACATTGACCTCCATGTAATCGTGTCCTCTCCCGCAATGCCATTGTCGACAAAACAGCAATTATAGGGAAACCAGGTAGTTACGGTCAAAAGATGAGTGCCCATTCAGAGGTGCCCCGAGGTATTGCACATCATGATTTTTAGCTGAGCCCCTTACTGACAATTTTTAGGGGAGTCGTGGGCTTCAATTCCAACAGATTTAATTCTCGCCGAGCTGAAGCGTCGCAAAGATGATGGCGAGAAACCAGAGTGCGGTTCGAGGACGAAGGGCTCTTATGATACGTCGGCGCATGTATTTGCATTGATTCTTATCTTGACCCTCAGCACGTTGGGTAGGCTTGTTCAATTGGGAGCTTTGACACGGTACTGATATCTTTCCAGCATGCGCATTCCCTCTTTTCTCGCGTCGAACAATGCGTGGTCGAGGCCAGAAAACCGTGATATTCTACTGCCAGCACATTGGAACCGGTGTCCTTCTGGCAACGGCCTTCGTCCACCTCCTCCCGACCGCTTTCGAGTCCATGACCGACCCATGCCTCCCCGATTTCTTTAGCAAAGGATATACACCGTTCCCAGGTTTTGTGGCTATGGTTTCTGCTATCATTGTCGTCGGCATCGAATCGTACCTTACTGCCCGAGGAGCTGGCCACTCTCATTCTCACAATCATGGGTACTTTGACTCGGACGATGAACACGAGAGCGAGCTGCCCATGATGGATGCAGCTGGACTGTCTGAAAGGAGGCACGGACCGCGACCACCGGATATTCATCTTGAGAACATGGAGAGTCAGGGGCTTGTTGCTGGCGTGTCACCTCTCCCTGGATCTTCACCTCTGGTGGGACAGGAGGGCAAGAAGCTTAACGGTGATTTCAACGATGACGACTCGGATCTTGACTTGGATATGGAAGAGCTTGAGCCAGCTGGATCAAGCAGCACGAGACATCGACATGGACCTTATGCGTCGCTCAAGCCTGAGGGAGCTGGGGCTGAGGAGGAGCCTATGACACCCATGACGCCCATGTCTCCCGGACCACAGAACCCCGAGGAGCAACAAAGAAAGCTACTGCAGTGCCTTTTGCTTGAGGCTGGTATTCTCTTTCACAGTGTCTTCATCGGTATGGCCATCTCCGTCGCTACCGGTCCCGCCTTTGTAGTCTTTCTTGTCGCTATCAGCTTCCACCAAACCTTCGAAGGTCTCGCCCTTGGCAGTCGCATCGCCGCAATTCAGTTCCCCCGCAAATCTCTCCGTCCATGGCTCATGGTTCTCGCCTACGGAACCACAACACCAATCGGCCAAGCAATCGGTCTTATCGTGCATCGCATGTACGACCCCAAGAGCGCAGGAGGTCTACTCGTGGTTGGCTTCATGAACGCCGTGTCATCGGGACTGCTGCTGTATGCTGGTCTTGTGCAACTGTTGGCCGAGGACTTCTTGACAGAGAAGAGTTACAAGATTCTGAAGGGTAAGAGGAGGTTACGGGCCTATATGGCTGTTTGTGCCGGTGCGCTCTTGATGGCTGCCGTTGGAGCATTTGCCTAGAGGGAGTTACGGGACGATTTAAAAGAACTGATGTACATAGAATGTAAAATTGGTGGCGTCTTGTCAATGGCGTCTTTCAGGGTGGGCAATGGAGTTTTGAATGTAACGCGGAGCGATACAGACATTGATAATTTTACTTGTATTTCGTTTGTCTACTCTTTTACTCTTCAGAGTGATACTACGCTGTATGTGTAGGTAGACACTTCATTGAGACGCCATGATATCTTCTTTCCAAGGACTTGCATCATGAACAACCCCGGCCGGCCCCACATCAAAAGTCCGAACTTCCGGGGTCCGGTCTTCGAAATGGTCCGTCTGCTGCCCCCTTGGGCCCCCTTTGCTCCAGGGTCCTTCGTGTTTCACCCAATAATAAATCTCCTTTTAATCAGCTCCCACCCACACCCGCATGAGCTCCCATGACATGACGAGCTATCGAACCATCAAGAAGTGAGCCCAGAAGCTGAATCTTGAGTGGCTGTCTCACTCTCAAGTCGGACAAACGTGTCCCTCGTTGCACCTATTTCGTCGCATTTATCTCCCCTCCCTCTCCTCTCTTCTTGTGTTCTTCATCATGTCTGGCCAACGTATCCTCCTCTTTATTGTAGCTCAGGCTCTTTTCGCTGGACTTGCTGTATTTCTCGCTAATTCGCCGTATCTTGATATGTCCGCCTCGCCGGCTGGTAGCCAGCCATGGGCTGATGGACCTATGAAGCTGGTGACAACACCACAGTATGAGACTAAGAAGGTCAGTCAATTGAACTCAGGTGCTTTGGGGTGTAATTGGCAATACTGACTTATCCAACCTGGTAGACCGATCTCTTCACCACAGGCGCCACTCACATGGCGCTTTTGCACAATGCCATTATTCGTGGCTTCAATTCCATCTACCTCCAAGCTCCTCACGTAAAGGACGCCGACAAGGCCGACTTCATTGGATATTCTCAGACTTGGTTCAAGTTCGTCAAGTCGCACCACGATGATGAGGAGGACAACCTCTTCCCCAAGGTCCAAGAGCTTCTCGGTGATGAGCCAGTTTGGGACGAGACCCATCATGAGCATGGTAAGAACCCTAGTCTTCAATTAGTACTTGATCATTAACACCGAGACCTCAGAGTCCTTCCTTGCGCCCCTCGCCGAGTTCAACACATACCTCTCAAACCTCGCCTCGCCCACTGATCTCGACGGCGCTCAAGTCATCAAGCTCATGGATGCCTTCAAGGAGCCCTTCGAGCATCACTTCCACAGCGAAATTTCCACCATCGCCGCTCTGTCAAACCACCCCAAGGCTCCCAAGGAAGATACCCCTGAAGGCGCTGCCGCCAGCCTGACCTTCAAGATATGGGGCAAGAAGACAGTCACAAAGGCCGGCGTGCTCGATGTTGTGCCTTTCTTCCTCCTGAACTTGGATCGAACCGCCGAGGAGGGTATGTGGGCTAACTGGCCTCCAATGCCTGCCCCTATCTCTTGGGGTCTGACAAATATCGCGGGTTCTTGGTACGGAAAGTGGTGGAAGTTTTCGAGCTGTGATTCGCAGGGCAAGCCTCAGGAGCTCTATGCTCTTCGGAGTCTGAAGCAGTGATTGGGAAGCTGGGTACTTTCAGTCGGGGTTCAGATGAAACGTTGCTTGTGTTATTCTTTGGCGTTGTTTGGAAGTGAAAGGATGAAAACTATAGTTTTATTAGTCGAAAAAATTCAATGGATCGGTGTGCCAACAATCTTCACTTTTCCCCTTGTCCCAGCGGTGAATATCTTCCGCATTGCAGATTCTTGCTTGGTATAGGTTCGTAGAAAGGAGCAAATGGTGTTTTCTTTGAAGTTGTATATCCATATGGTATCGTCGTGGTCACACTACATCGGGTAGCGGAAGGAATAAAGACCTGACCTGCAAACATGTCAGTGCCTCATAAGTCATATTGCAGAAACGACTTTTGAAAGAAACTATGCATAACTCCAAGCCTTCTGGTGAGTCGCAGAATGGCTATAAAACCTCGGTTTCAACTCAGCGACAATTCTTGTTCCTCTTCTCATCACTCTTGCGGACATCTATCAGAATCTTGAAGACGATTTTAGTGAAGAATAAGACTCCTAGACCACCATCAGATTCACGAACCTTGTCACCACCACAATACCAACATGGCTCGTTCCATTTCTTCGCTTCGAAGCCAGAAGGACGGCGGCAGTAGAAGTTCAAGCACGAGCTCGAATTCAAGAGTCTCATCAACCTGTGACAGGGAGTCAGATACAAGTTCCGTGAACTCTGATTCCAGCGAACTCCAAGACACCAGTTCGACGTATTCCGGCAATAGCACCGATAGTACCACGGTCCAAGTCGACTTTGACCATAGGGGTGAGACCTCACCTCTTCAACCACCTTTTTCTCCACGAATGGTCTCAGAGCATCAAAGCCGACCCAAGTATGCTGGTTTCTCGAACTACACTCATGATCCCCGTACCATCTACATAGAGTAAGTTGCGGAGACTGGCCCTTGTTAGATTATTGTTACTGACTCCTTAAAGCTCACTCGGTAGGTCGCCTCCCATGGATGTCAAAAGGAGACGAGTAAGTTTGACCAGTCAGCGGTGGAAACTCTATCAATGGCAGACCTTATCGGACTTACATGAAATACTGACAATCTCCAGTCTAGTGCAGACTCCATCCGCGCCGTCTGGGGTAGTCCAGAACGCCATTCCGAAGGATTCCCTGGATTCCAGTCCAGCCGCCAAAGCGACGAAACCGCCGAGACTCATTCTTCCAGTAGTACTCATGCCTCTGGACCAAACACGGCCCAGAGTAGCACCCGTTCACCAAGCTCGATCGTGACTGAAGCTCACGGTGATGCCACCACGACCACCGGGGCCAGACCATTCTACATCCTAGTTCTGATTCCGACGTGCTGTTCCGACAGACGAGAGCGGGCTCAGTGACTAGCCCTTGGATGGGAGCGCAAAACTTGACATGGAATCGCGTTCTTTATGGGAGGAGTTTTGATTTCTTTGGATGATGATTCGACGTATACGGTTCGAGAGAAGGATTTTTGGGTTTCTTTCGGCTCAGGGATGGATCATGGGTATCGTATCAACGGGGTATTTCATGCTTGGGTAGGAGTTTTCGATTTCTGGGATGGATGCGGTTAGCACGATTTTCAATTTCAGTATTGTGGGAGTCAACACAAGGTTCAGAATCAAGGCTATGTCTTCATACGTATCCCTTTGGTAATAAATATATCGTGCGGATATATCTGAGTGCCGGTGACTAATGCTGTCCTGTTAATGTAGACTTCAACCTCTCTTGTCCTGCTTTCCCCTGTGGGTGGTAGTATTCAAAAACCAAAATACTTGAAAGCCCACTGCGCACAGTGAGAGGTCCGGGTCTTCAGTGCTTCCAAGTTTCGAAGCCCCTGAGGGGGATTGCAACCTAGACGCCCGGCCGTGGCGAATCATAATACTGGTCTAATAGCAGCGCTACTCATGATAGTGTATCTGAATATTCGATCGTCAACATTCAATCTTGGCGGTTATACAACACTGAGTCAAAGAATATTCTTCCATTTATGAGGATAGTGATCCGGTGGTTGTATTTGAACAGCTGTTGGTTGGCTGCTTATGTGTGCTACCGCAGAAGAAAATATAAAATCCTTGGCCAAGAGGCTCAAAACTTGATTCTTTCCAAGTCCATAATCCTTATCGACTTTACACTTGCTTTTCAAGTGACGGAACAGATACCAACGTCTCTCTCAACTAGAGTCTCCATCAATCAGCATGGGATGTTGCTTCAGCCTCCCGGAACCGCCACCGCCCAGGCGGTCTAAATCAAAACCGAAGGGATATATCGTGCTTCCCAATGGGGCTCGTGTAAAACCCCGTACTGATGGCCCACCCAGGCATGGCCGCGAGCATAACCATCGACATAAACATCGACATAGCCATAATCATGGTCACGGACATGGCCATAAACATACTCATCACCATGGTCATCACCGCCATCATCACAGGGAATCAAGTCCGTCTGGGACAACTCTTGTGCCCAACCAAGGAGAGCCAGAAGCTGGCAATGAGCAATGATCGATGGAAATGGTGTTTCTTATAGTTCCTAGCTGCTAATTGAAGCCATTGGCTCTTCGATGCTCATATCTCGTGATGTATTTTCTCGTGTGTAGTTCGACGGTTGTACCTTCCTTGTAAGAGGTGTCCCGTTAAGACAAATAGTGGAGCTGCTCGCGTCATGGACAAGTCCGAAGTCCGTAGTCTGTGTCGTGGTTGGTCAGTAAAGGAGGAAAAGTGCCAGGGTCTTGAACTTACCTGATAGATACATGCATGTCGTGTTTGTCCCTTGCGTGTTTTATACAAACTTCCAACTTCCAAACCCAATCGTGATACTCGCAACCAACGCAATGGCTTCCAACCGTCATGTTCTTGTGCTCGGAGGCAATGGAAAGATCAGCAGGCTTCTCACTGTCATTCTGCTGAAGAAGTCCTGGACTGTGACGAGTCTGATCCGTAACCCTGACCAGATCGACGACCTGAAGAAGATTTCCGAGGGCTTGCCGGGAGAACACAAGATCCTGGTTCATGATCTCATCAAAGTTGATAGTCAGGAGAAGGCCGCTGCTATTCTCGACGAAGTGAAGCCGGACTCTGTTGTCTTCAGCGCCGGTGGGTTGGATCTCCGTCCGGTAGCTGTGAGAAGTGTACGCTAATCAGTGGACAGGTCCTGGAAGGGGAACTGATCAAGATACGGTAGAAGCACACTTACGGATCGTGTGTTGTTGGGTGTAACTGATGTGTTTCTAGATCATCCGCATCGATCGTGATGCTGCAATCTTCTTCATCAAGGCCTCGGTCGCCAACAAGTCCGTCGGTCATCATCTCCAGGTCTCCTACTTGGGCGCTCGACGCGAGCAAGCTCCCTGGTGGACTGCCGAGGACTGGGAAGGCTGGAAGAAGGTCAACTCAACTTTCCTGGGTCCTTACTATGAGCCCAAGACCGCCGCCGATGAAGCTCTCGTTACTGAAGCCAGGAAGAGAGACGGCTTGACCGCTGTATCGGTCCGCCCTGGTGGTCTCACCGACAAGGACGAAGGGGGAGTGCTCTTGGGACAAACGAAGCAAGCCAGAGGCATGACCACTCGAGCGTCAACAGCGAGAGTCATGGCCTTGGTGTTGGAGAAGGAGGGTGTGAAGGGACATTGGTTGGATGTTCTCGACGGCGAGGAAGATGCAGAGACTGCAGTCGATCGTTACGTTCGTGATGAGACGGATTGTGCTGAAGGAGAGCCAGTCATGAAGAACTAATCCTGTAATCGAAGATCATCGACCTCCCAAGGCCAATACGGCACTTGGTGTCATTCCTGTGCCCACCCTGCCCACCATGGCACGCGAGTCTCCCGTCCCTAAGGGGTCTAGTCAGGTACCCGGCCTCGCACCCTCGAGAGTCCCACTGTTCGTGCGGGCCGGTAGGGAATCACCTAGCAGGACGTGCGCTAGAATACCCGAAAAGGGGAAAATAGCATCATGGAACTGCAACATGGTTTTTTGATATTCACAACTCTGATATATAAGATAGAGCCATGAAGCTCGATGCGAAGTTTGGTATCATAGGGATGCAACTTGTCCATTTTTTTCGAAACGTGCATCGCAAAGTTGGGTTCAGGAGCAGTGAGTGCGTAGTTGAGCTTCCCATACTCTCCCCTTTGATATCAGAAATAAGGCAGCGAAACTGCTGCACCAGAAATTGATGCACCTGGAGTTCGAAAGAGCCCGCTGAATTTGAAATCACTCGCTTGCTCTTTTGGCTATAAATTTCCAACTTTTCTCCCCCACAGACTTCTTTTCCTTTCTCCACGTCAACATCGCTTGCTCCGTCACGATCCAAACGACGTTCCCAAACCCTCATTCCAAAGCACCAACCTTTCTTTCACATCGACCTGAAGTCAGTTTGCTATCTCATCTACATTCGCTCTTCCTTTAAGGTATGTCCTCCTTCTCTTTGTGTTGTTTCCCTTCGGGTCACTTCACTTCACGTTCCTTTGTCTCCCCCTTCAGCATCTCACATTTGTCCTCAGCACACATCCTATCCCGAAACATCACGATCACCATGGGTCTCATCGCCAAGCTTAAGTTCAAACTGCGCAAGGTGCGGGCCAAGTATTTGGCCCGCAAGCGTCTCGCACAGGGTGCCGAGCCTATCGCCCACGAGGAGCGACTTGCCCAGGTTCATCGAGTGTAAGTTCATCCTCAACTCTGCTCGTCATACATACATGACGGAACTAACCCATGTTTGAATAGGGAGGGTACCGAGCATCGCATTGAGCGCGGAATCGATGTCATGGAAGCAGCCCGTCGCTCCGTGTATGGTGCTCACATGCTGCCCCAGACAACTGACTTTGGCGTCAGTCCCGAGGAGGCCCGCGCCCTGCACAAGAAGCAGCAGGATGAGGACCGAGCCAAGAAGACTGCGAAGGAATCTGACGTCCAGGAGGAAGCTGGCATCTGGGATGGCAGCCCTACCAAGGACGACAACCCAGTCAACCGCATCTAAGCTCACCACCAATCCAACCTATGATTTCGACGAATTTATGATTTTCACGACATAGTCAGGGTCAAGCAGGTTCTTGGGGGTTCTGAAGGAGGGTTATGACTTTGAACGGGTGACAGTAGTACAGTAGATGACAACGGTCTTAACAAGGATGTCTCTTCGAGACACGCACAATACATCAACTGTACCCAAACTTGACCATCTCTGACGTGAATGCCTTGATTTCCACATTGCTACATTCAATCGAGTCTGTTTAATCTGCATGCCATATTTGTGTGATGATCGAGCGCGCTTAACATCTAAAGTCAGGCAGTGTTGTGAGTCCTGTTCCCGTGGAGACACCTGTGTAGCGAGCCCAATTTGGGCGTGATTTACTAGGAAAACCCCCTCCTGTGCACATGCTCCCCCATACTCTGGTAAATCTCACTCCCAAATACTCAAGGACAAATGCGTCGAGGCAGCAGTCATTGTTTATTTTACTAGTGGGCTTGTTTGGTGGGAGCTTAGGGCAGGGCAAACACTCGAGCATTGTGCAACCACAAATCGATAATTAACAAACATGTCATGCACAGCAGGCAGAGACTCTTCTATTGTTTACTATAAGTCCGTCTACCGGGGTTACGAGCATTCTGTAGAATCTGGTGAAAGAGTGTCGATGCCTCAGGGGCGGGGCGATGGGAGTTGGATTAGCCGGCACTGGAGTGTCAGGCTGCAGTGTCAAATGACGCCATCATTCACAACATTGTATACCTAGCCACTAATTAAGAGGCATCCGTTGATGTTGTTGCACGAAGCTTCAAGATGATCTTGTGAGCTGGTAGTTACGTAATTATGTGGTGTTGAGGATGAATGATATTTGTCCCTGCCCATCCTTCGAGAGAGGAGGATGCACAGTCTTTACTGCATGTATCTCACACCATTTTGATGCTTCTTTGTGTCTCTTTTAAATATCGAGTTAATAGTGTAAATATTCAATCGTGCAATAAAGGCTGCCAAGCATTCACGTGTCTCCTCTTATACACTAAAAACGACAACGAACGTTAGAATAAAGTAATTGACTAACTGGCCGGTCCATGTACCCATCCTTTACCCTACCCTAGTTCTGGCTTAGTACTAATCTCGTCGTGGTATAAACGTCTGTCACCAAAATCGCAACATAATCACGATCCCTGCATCACAATTTTGAGCTCATGGTGGGTAACTTGCTCACATTTACTCGAAGCTGCCTCTCTCCTGACTCGTCACCCGCCAAAAACACTTCATTCACGTCCGTTTGTGGAAGGTGTGAAGCTATTGTAGATGACTGTGGCGGTGGTTTGGGGAAGGTCGAATACTACTGCAGCTACCCTTTCTTTGCTCCTTCGCTAACAGACTCAGTCGGACGCCTTTGGACTTTCCACGTTCGTCGCAGGGTCAATATCTTCGTTTGTTACTGTCCTTTCGAAACTTGACCTTGTTCTTCTTCTCCATCATCATCATCATCCACTTGCTTCAACGATTAACTTCCATCAAAAGATCAACAAAGACATCATCATCAAACAAACCGTCATCACTTTGCTATAGCTTGGCAACATGAATACAATCATGGATCACGATATCGCAGCCACCGCTACAATGCATCCAGCTTTTGCAACAGCCCTCGCCAGCTTGAGCGAAGAGGGGGCTGGGAACTGCACTGAAAACCCCGTAAGTTATTCCATCCCTTTCTCATCATCTCTAGCATCATAGCTGACGACGTCTCTCCCAGATGCTTTGGAACTGGAACACTATTGGTACCTGCTTTATTTCCAAGGCGTGGTATATGGATTCCGGAGGCAAGTTCGGCATCACCTGCTTCGGCGCCTTCATGCTGGTCATGCTTCTTGAATTCTTAGCTCGTGTCTCTAGAGAATGGGAACGTCACCGATTCGCCAGAGGCGCCCCCAATTCTCAAGGACAATATGCTCCCGCTGCTGGTATTGAACTTGCGGTCCTTCAACCTGCTGCCGCTCAACCTGCTGCCGCTCAACCTGCTGCCGCTCAACCTGCTGCCGCTCAACCTGCTGCTGCTCAACCTGCTGCTGCTCAACCTGATGACATTCAACCTGTGGCCTCTCGGCCTGCTTCCGCTCCTGGCCCCAACAATGGTAAAGATGCAAACGACGTCAACGACGCCAACGACGCCAACCCCATTCCCAATTTTTGCCCCAGCTTCGTGGAACATGCGTTTATTAAGGCTTTATTGCACACGGTGCAGTGTATTATCACCTACATTCTCATACTGATGGCTGTGTCCTTCAATGGCTACATCATCATTTCTATGTTCATCGGTGCTTACGTTGGTGCTTTATGCTTTCAGCGGGATCCACTGACCGAGACTCGAAACCCGAATGCTTACCAGCGTGCTTTCCAGCAGCCTGTTGTTTGCTGTGTTTAGGAATCGGAGAAGGGGCCCAAAGCTCTGGCCACACGTTATTGGAGGAAATTTACCATTTGCTTGTTGTCAAGCTGGTAGAGGAGATGAGGTTCTATGGGTGTGTTTTCGGGTTACGCTGCATTCTTTTACACCTGATATTGGTTTTAGGTCTGGTAATACATAAATAGAGGTTCTGGTTGTATCAATATGTTTGTCCTTGCTTCTTTTGTGCGACAGCAGTGTTGACGTGACACTGTGCTGCATGTTGTGTGTAAGTCAGCAGCCTTATCAGAGATGACTAGGTACTTTGACTAGATCCAATCGAGCTCCTCATAACTCCCCGGATGATGGATCTCTGTAGCTGGAGCTTTGGGTGGATGTCGACATTGATAGCTTACTAAGAGGCCTGGCTTGAGCTCGGACTTCGGTGTCTTGTTGATGGTATCGTCCCAATCTCACACTCGACGGGTCATTTACGTCTCCTGTTTCTTGTCTGTTATCAATCAAAGATGTAAGTGAAGATGGAGTAGCATGGAAATAGAATTGGCTGACAAATTATCTTGGCAAGGAAGTGGATGCCCCCCCAATTTCGATTGGCGTCAACCCGTCGATCCTAGACATGGGGTTGTCCTGCTAACCCAATTGAGAAGCCCCCGTACGAGTCTCGACCAAACTTGCAACTTTCATCAAATGCAACAGCTTTATTAATCACACTCCCATCTCCATCTCCATCGCCATCTCCATCTCCAGCACCACCACGACTCACTTACACTGACTGGCTGCTCTTCCATCAAACCTTTACTACAGAGGCTCAGGGGGTCATCTCCACTAGCCACCATGTTTCGCCATCTCATGTCCTCAAAGGTGCGCTCCAACGCAGGCTGCTGGACCTGTCGTCTCCGTCGCAAGAAATGCGATGAGAAGCGTCCTGTCTGCGATGCGTGTGGCACCCTCGAGATCAGTTGTTTCTTCGATGAGGAAAAGCCAGAATGGATGGACGGTGGACCGAAGCAGAAGGCCATGGCTGAGAAGATCAAGGCTCAGGTCAAGAAGCAGGCCAGCCAGCGTCGCGATCGCAAGTATATGGAGATGCTTGAAGCCGGTACTCGCAATGTCACACTACAGAATGAGGGCCAAAACCAACAGCAGCCTCATGACGCTGCCATGTCCGCTGCATCTGACACTGATCCTGCTTCGGGCCATGAGTTTGGGTCGACGCCTGCTTCTAGCAACACCAGCGGCGCCTCGCCCCCTGATATGCCATGGCACAGTCACTTCGCTGTCCCGACTGAAGACTCCAGCAGCTCAACTGGTGCCAGTACCGAGATTCACTTCATCATGATCTACCTCGACTACGTTTTCCCTTATCTCTTCCCCTTTTACCGCCCTCCCATCCTGGCAGGCGGTCGTGGCTGGGTACTCGACGTGCTCCAAAGCAACAAGTCTGTCTGGCATACAGCTGTGTCGCTCACTTCGTACTTCTTCAGCATAGTCATGGCCAATGGCGCAGTCGAGCATCAGGAGTGCACAAACCGAATGGTTCATCAATTACAGTCTCAACTTGAGATGGGCTTGAGAGAACTGCAGCGTGAGATGACCGCTGTCAACCACAAGGTCTCATGCGCTGGCGTCCGAGATCGCCTTCTTGTTCTACAAGCTATCCTACAAATGCTCATCTTTGAGGTTTCAACGAGTAACAAGGACCACTGGAAGATGCACCTCGATGCCGCTATTACCATGTTTCAACAGATCCTCCCGCAATCAGAGAAATGGGGCGAGACATTGGAGGCTCTCTACAGCTACCGTTGGCCACCGCCAGAGATGGGTATAAGAAGACCTTTCAGCACCAACCAAGCTGCCCTTCGCTTCTTCACAGCCAATGTCCTCTACATTGATGTCATATCCAGCATTACACTCGAGCAGGCACCACGTCTTCAGAAGTACCAAGATAACATCATGCCCAGCTGCAAAACTTACACCAACCCCCACGAAGTTCGCATCTCGGGCTCGCTCTTCATGGAAGATTATGTTGGTCTCAACAACTGGGTCGTGCAGATCATCGGTGACATTGCGGCACTGGATGCCTGGAAGAAGGAGCAGAAGAAGAAGAACTCGCTATCAATAAACGAATTGGTTCAGCGAGGCAAAATCATGGAAGACGCCATCAAGGGGGGCCTCGGTGTAATTGAAGCGCAGATCCAAGGGCCGGGCCCCTTCTTCGATCCCGTTATAAGCGTTGTCGCGAACCCTACTCAAAATTACGGCTACGGGGTTGATACTAAGCAAGCCCCTGGTCTTGCGGTCAATAACATGATCTGGCTCCAAGCAGCGCTCACATACCTTCACGTCGTCATATCCGGCTGGCAACCGTCTTGCCCAGAGATCCAAACTTCCGTTTCCCGTATGACAGAACTCCTGACGACCCTTCCATCCAACATCTGCCTCCGGACTCTGGTGTGGCCCTTTTGTATTGCAGGTTGCCTTTCGCCCCCTGAAGACGAGGACAAGTACCGCGCAATGGTGGAGCGTCTGGGTCCAGTCAGCGTGTTCGGCACGATCAGAGAGGCGCTTGAAGTTATGGAAAAGGTGTGGTCGAGGCGAGATCAGATTGATGAGAGTTGGGATGTGGCCAAGTGCCTTCAAATTCTGGGACATGGAGTTTTGCTGATTTGATACCCTCGGGAGTGAGTTTGTTGATTGGTTCAGGATATGAATATTGCTTTACTTCACTTTCTACTGTGGAAGGGACTCACACTAAATTTCCGTCATTTCGGGAGGAACATATATGAATGGGAATTGGCATTTCGTGCCTTATTCCCAAGTGTCACTCCCTTACTGCAATTTAAGAATGCTCAATTTGAAGCGGCACCTAGCTTTTATACTTAGTGTTGTCTTGAAACCTTTTGGGTTATCTATCTTGTGTTCTCTCAGCAACAGTTATTCTGGCCAGGCGTCATAGATCATAAGGTACGTTGGCACAGCGGTTTATGGTTGAACAATCCATGTCAACCCAGATCCCATTTTTATTCGTTTTCTGATGATGAAGCCGATCTAACCAGTAGACATTACCCAGGTGTTCTCAAACACTCGTTTCCATAAACCGACAAGCAAAGCAAAGCATCCAATCTATTATATCCCAAAGGCACGATTACCCCTGAACCCTTTTACCGCCGAAGAGTGTCTGTCTCTTCTCGAACAGATCAAGATCCCACCAACCCTCTACCCGTTCCAGCAGAGTCTTGCGCTTCGACCAGACCCTCTCGAGAGGACTCTTTGGTCCACTATCATTCATACGCCCCGGTGACACCGGAACTGGAGGCAAAGGAGGAAGATGCTGCAGAGGCTGTGGCACTTCCTTTCTCTTTACTCGGACAGGCGCCGTGGGGGGCGGGGGATACCACGGCTGGCGTGCGCTCTCAGCATCAGAAGAGTCGCTGTCGAACCGCTTCGCCATGGCCAGCGTTCCCAGACTTCGCTCCTGGGCCATCACATGCGGTCCTAGACTGATGCCCAGGGCATTGACCTGCCCCTCACGGCCGCACCTTCAACCCTCGATATCCTTGGGAGCAGGGCGAGAGGCACCCTTTGTTCGCTTCCAGAGGCATCCGGAGGTGATGGCGGAGAAGGCGAACAGCACGCAGAGGGCAATGCTGAGGCCCCAGATGGACTTGATCTGGTAGCACGAAGCCTTATCAGGGTCGACCCAGGCGAAAGTGTTGCCACGGGAGTGGTAGACGTTGTGGAAGAGGGAATTGACAAAGTTGGCCGTGTTGCCGTCCGAGGGAAACTTGGGGCATGAGAGGTAGCTGACGGGCTTGCCGACAGTGCAGGCGACTACGATGCATGCGACGAGAAGCATGATATCGGCACCAGTGGAGAGGAGGAGAGGAAGCATGCCATCCCAGTAGAGAATGTAAGAGATGGCGATGTAGAGAGTCGAGATGCAGGCCTGTATCATGTAAGTCAGTCACTCTTCGATCACAGCACATATGCAAGTCAACTTACAACAACCAGTGTTCCAATCAAGGCAGAAGGCGCCGCATAATCAGCATTGACCATCTCACCAATGAAGTTGGCAGTCAATCCGATAATCGTGATCAGAGAGATGAACTCCATGGCTCGCATGGCAGTCCAGGTGTGCCCGAGGGCTCCGAGAGCAGGCTGCATCTTGGTCTTGAGGTTCCCAACAGATTCTGTGTCTAGAGAGAGACGAGGGCGCGACGAGCCAGCTGTGCGCAAAGGAAAGTTTTTGGCGTAGAAAGGGATGGAGGGGGGTGAGGAAGTTATTTTGTCTAAGTGAACGGCCCGCCCAAAGAAGAGGCGAGAGATGGACTTGTAAAAGAAAGGAATTCGTTACGAGATTCGTCTGGTCGTGAGTAAGAAGAAAAACCCAACAGAGGACAAAGGAAACTAAGGAAATGAGACAAAAGGAAAAGAGAGATTGGAGTGTTTGCTGTGTAAGTTGTTTGATGAAGAGAAAAGGATATCTCAAACAGCCCGATACTCCGTGTCTTTATACACAATCCAAAGTCAACAAACCTCTCCAAGATACAAGAATAACATACTCAGTTCATGGGTAGTACCTTGTCTAGCCTCGTTTCCAATTACAGCAACCGCCTACTACCAGCCACCATCGCGCTTCACGCTCTCCCACAGACAATCATCTCAAACCTGCCAATTCAACAACATGATACAACAATTCTCTTGCTGTTCCTGGGCGTCAGGTTCATCGGCCAATGAGGCTTCAGAGGCTTAACGTTGTGGCGGCGCTTAGACGAGCAGGGATGTTGGATGAATAGCCGCGCAGGGAAAAGGGCGGCTGGTGTTTCAGAAAACATCGACATGGTCATGATTGGGTGAGAGTCGTTCTTGGGGAAGTACGGTTCGTTGGCCCGGATGAGGCTCCTTTGTTTAGAATGAGGTCGCATACACGGCGAGATTGCCTGGGTGAAGATTATGAGCCCACTGTTGCAAGTTATTCCGGGATAGTCGTCCTACTGCAACGGCAACTGATCCGGTCCAGGATCGATCTCGGCTGTTGATCTGATCTTGTGTGGTTCATAATGATCGCCATAAATCCATTGTTGGTTAGTTTTCACCTGACACAGCATAATCGATCTAATGATGGTGGCCTACCACAGGGGCCAGGCCAAATCGGCTGAAAATAGAGCGACATGACATGTCAGTTCATTTTGTTGCGCCAGACGCCTATCTAGGATCCTATCATGAATACAAACATGCTGTCCCACTGCTTATTATTCTGTACATTCTCAAGCCCACTCAACAAACAGAGGCATTAGTGCCCCAGCCGTCGTCTCAGTTCCAGGTTATGATCCACCATTCTTAAGACAGATTTAGCACATAAGCTTAACCAAGGAGATCGTCCATAGCAGATCCGCCGGTCTTGGGATGAGCACTGCCGCTGGAGGATGGAGCTGCTGGGGCTCCCCAGATTCCAGCACTGCTCTTCTCCTTGGCAAGTTGGCCCATTGCGGGTCCAGTCTTGGGTGTCTCTGGCTTCTTGACACCTCCACTGGCCTTGCCCCAGAGAGCTCCAAAGGCATCTCCACCAGCAGCGGGTGCTGGCTTGGCAGATGGGCTAGTAACGGGCTTCATGTTAGCCATAGTAGTAGGGCCGCTGGGCGCAGCGTTGGAGGCGCTTCCCATGCCTGAGAAGGCAGATGTTGTTGGGGTCTTTGCTGTCTGTGCTTGGACAGAGCTGAAGTAGTTGGGTCCAGTCTGTTGGAAGGCAGCAGGCTTAGGAGCCTGTGCCGCAGGAGCAGCGGGGATGCTAAAGGCAGAGTAGTTGGGTCCAGGGGTGCCTGAGGCACTTGGTGCAGGCGAGATGGACGCCATGCTAACCATTTGGCTAATGTCAGCTTGCTGAGGAGCCGATTGAGGTTGGGGAGCAACAAACTGGGCGGTTGAGGAGGCCGTCGATGTCACAGCAGGGCTTTGCATAAAGTTGTTGGATGGTGCTGCCTGAGCAGGGGCAGCTGACTGGAAGTCGTCGAACTCGTCGTCGTCTTCTTGCGCAGGAGCGGCGGCAGTGTTGCTTGGGGCCAACGCTGGAGCTGCAGAAGATGCTGGCGCAGGGTCATCGAAGGAGAAGAGATCAACCTCGGGTTCCTTCTTCTTGGGGGGCTCAGCGGCCTTCTTAACAGGAGTGCGCTCGGGTCGCTTGGCGGCAGCTCTTGATGAGCTGGCAGCTGGTCTCTCACCCTCGTCGAACTCATCATATTCCTCAAATCGCTCGGATCGGCTGGCAGCGCCATCGCCTCGCCAGTCATCAGACTGGCCGCCGAAACCGCCACCATCGCCATAAACACCACCAGAGTATCCGCCATAGTTGCCAGGGCCGCCGCTGCTGCCACCACCACCACCACCGTAGCCAGCGCTCTCACTGCCAAAACCACCATAACGACCAGAACTACCACTTGAGAAACCACCTCCAAAGGTCGCACCACCCTCGACTCCAGTATACTTGTTCTTGGTCGCACGCGCCTTCTTGCGCTCGGTCCGGATACGATCCACGTCACTAAGAAGATCGGCCAACTCCTTGGCTCGGTTGCGCACGTTGATGCCCTGGTCCTTTCCGTTCTGATCAATAAAGTGAAATTGGCGCAGCATCTTAAGAAGCGAGATATGTCCTCTAGCATCGTCGATAACGCGCTCGGAACCGTGCTTGATAAGAAACTCGAGTAATTGGAGGGCCTTGTAGATCTGACGCCACTCCTCGGCAGCCTTCTCGGTGAAGCGACGGTAGATCATGGGCATAATCTCGTTAAGGGTTTGGCTGGCTCACAGTCAGCAGTTGGTTTTGGATATGGTTCAAAGTATCGTGCGTACTAGTTAAATGTTCCATTTGCAATCTCTTGCATGAGGGTCGATGAAGCACCCCATGGCTCGTTATTCGTTGCTTCTCGCACCTGAAGATAGGTAAGTCGACAATGTCCCGGTCTATTGTCGCGCAGAGCTCAACCAACCTTGGCCTCCATCTCGGTAAAGTTCATAACAGCTGGACATCGTCAGTGACTTATGACGCGCATCAGGTGGCCGCTAAAGGGGGTACCATTCTGGGCCTTCCGAAAGCCTGCCTTGAGATCATACAAGGTCAGGTTGGAGACCGTGTTCTTCAAATCGTTAATATCCATGGTGAATTAGTCCAAGAAGAAGAAAGCCAGCAGAAGCGTCGAAGAATGAGCGCAGAAGACGCGGAGCCGTTGATAATGCTCCTGAAGGGATTCGTAATGGAATTGAATAGATTATCTGGAGTTCGAGATGCCCCTTGCTACGCTATTGACATGGTGGACACTTGGACATTTCCCAGTGCCCAACGTCAGCATGGATCATGGCTGATCACGTGATATTGTCGACGTTCCTGTATGAGGATATAGAGATTATGGAGTTGAAAGCATTCAGGACTTGTAGCACTGATCTAAAAGTATAATTGAATTTCCAGTGCATCTCCTTTCATTTAATTGGCATGTGTTACAGTTGTAGAGCCAGAAACTGAGCTTCTAGCAGGTACTTTAACTCATCCGGAGACAAACCTCGAGTCCCCGCCATACAACCTTAGACTTCAGGCCTGAACAGGGCCCTAGAGGGCCAGTCACGGCGCTAGAATTGGATACCAGACGTCAAGCTGGTCCAAACTTTTATCTTCCCTTTCTCGAGATCAGTCCAAAAGACCAACCTCAGCACGTACATCACCAGTTTTCTGTAATTTTATCTATCTAAATCTACATCTTCTGTACTATCAAATCATTTTCCCAAGTGTATTAGTCTTCAAGGTACGTGCAAGTTCAATTGTTTCCCCTGCCGCGTTTGCCTTTGTTCTACCACCGAGAGCTCTGGGGAAGCTCAAGCTGTAGTGCACCCTACAAAGAGAAGAGAAGCAAGACGCCTTCGAGTCAAACATTGGCCGTCTGAGCACCTTTCTCGGGTCAATGGTATTATTCTGACCCGGATTGGGATCTTGGAAGAGCCAGCTGATCGGCCCAATACCGGTATTGTCGGCTTCTTCTCGCCTTTGTTCCTCACTGCCAGCTTGAGCTTGCCTGGTGCTGGTCTGGTTGCCCCTGTCCTACCCGGTCCTGCGGAGGGAGGGGAGCTTCTTTTCCCGGTGTGTCTGACTGTTCAAAATACATTGGAATGGTCACTTCTGCCCACGGGTTGATTAATGGACTGGATACTGGTACATTACATGAGACTCGAGGTGGAGGGCCCATGCAATCCACCGGGGTGGCCGTATCCCATGTCCCCTCCAATGGGGGTGATGCTTTGGCAAAAGTCTGCTGCACTTCGGGCATATCGGGCCACTGACTCGACGCGTCTCTCTGGACTGGTGGTTTGAGGGGCCATGTACTATGTACAGTACAAGCTTGCTGCAGCCAGACTGACCAGAGAGGAGTGTGTGAGTCGAGCACGATACGATACGTTGCTTGCTTGACGTGGCCCGGGCAACCTCCATCAGCTCCAAGGATAGCCCCGTTGAAGCTTTGACGGGTAGAGCGAGCGAGCCAGCCATTGAGTCCACAGCACAGTCCAATGTGGTCTTGTTGTTTCTCAATGCGCGTGCTTGCGCTATTTGCAATGTCTGGCATGGCAGTTATGGCGGTCAGAGCCATGCCATTGAGGGCCAGGGGCAATGCGAAATGCTCGTCAGCTCTCGCTTGCTTGCAATAACAAGCAGGTATTGATTGATGGATTCATCATTGATCAACAGAGCCAGAACCTTAGCTGTTGCAAAGCTCCCCCTCCCCCGCCCCACAGTGGCCATAGCCACCACTGTGACCTCATGGCCTAACGGGCTCTCTTCAACAGCCAAAATAACGAGAGGAAGCTCTCAGGATTACTTCACGTGATCTCCTTTCGATCACCTGCTCCACTCTTTCACACGTTCTACACGCTTCGATTGGCTTCAACGGCCCACGCTAACGCTTTGCCCCTCCAGCTTGCTCAAAATGAGACCCTCCCTCTTCAAGCCCCTCCTACCCCGCCATACCTGCTTCTCTGCAGCGAGAACTTCTTCTTCTCTTCCTCAACTCTCCAACACAACCAGATCTGTTAGATTCTTCTCAGCTTCATCCGCAGTCATGGGTAACAAGGTGTAAGTTATCTCTTGCTTTGTCAATCATCGCATTGATGTAGACATCAGCTAACTCTGATCAGTTTCTTCGATATTGAGTGGGAGGGCCCCGTCTTCCAGAACGGCAAGCCTACCTCCACTGTTCAGAGTAAGTTTTGATTCCTCCCCGATGCCATCATCCTCAACGATCCGAGACGGCAAGCTGCATCTTCAGCTACCTTACCTTCCGGCTCAATACCTCGAGAGATGCACAATGGTCTTACATTTGCGGCATTTGCATTTGCATCTGCAGTATTCGTCATCATTCCGCATCATCAGTTCCAAGCTTGAGCTCCGCGTTTTGTTGCATCAATGCTGACATTCCTTCTCTCTAGGCCAGCGTGGTCGCATCAACTTCAACCTCTACGACAAGGAGGTCCCCAAGACCGCTGAGAACTTCCGTGCTCTCTGCACTGGCGAGAAGGGTTTCGGCTACAAGGGCTCTTCTTTCCACCGAATCATCCCCGACTTCATGCTCCAGGGTGGTGACTTCACCCGTGGTAACGTACGTTTCTGCCAACCCAAACCTCTGACGCGCATACTAACACAATCAAGGGCACCGGTGGTAAGTCCATCTATGGTGAGAAGTTCGCCGACGAGAACTTCAAGCTCACCCACGACCGCCCCGGTCTGCTGTCCATGGCCAACGCTGGCCCCAACACGTAAGCACTTCCACTCCTAATTATAGTTCGATTTAAACTAACAAAGTTTCCAGCAACGGTTCTCAGTTCTTCATCACCACTGTTGTCACCTCTTGGCTCAACGGTCGCCACGTCGTCTTCGGCGAGGTCGCTGACGAGGAGTCCATGAACGTTGTCAAGGCTCTTGAGGCTACCGGCTCCGGCAGTGGTGCTGTCAAGTACCAGAAGCGTGCCACCATTGTCGACTCCGGTGAGCTGTAAAAAGTTCTTACTGAGGACAAGACAAAGGGATGGGATTTGGGAGCACATTACAAAACTTGAATGAGGACTAGCGATAAGAAGCTGGATTCCGCAAGCTGGCATAAAAGTCTAGCTGCTGAGCAATGTCAACCATTTAACCCCATATGCATTGTCACCTGATACTATCGTGCTGTGAATGATTGATTCTTGAATATCGCTTGATAGCTTATTCTTCTACTTGGTAAAATTGATTGATCATCGCTACGACCATTGCGCTTGGCTGCATTCTAAATAGCCTTCGCTTGTCCTTCGACGCCTTTGCTGTTATCCCTAGAAACAAAAAGCCTTCTTCCAGACCATAACTCCGTTCTCCCGTCAGAAAAAAGCAGGTATCAATAACCCATACTTATCGTATCGACATGCAAAATCTGCACTCGTGCTCTATTCAACGCCCAACCACCTTTTGAAATATTCACAGTTATTGGGGCCTACAGGACCGCCCTCTTCGCAGATCTCAAACACTGGACAACGTCCGCAAGGAGCTTCGGTGAAGGCACTGACGATAGGTTCGGGACCGCCTTCGCGACCAGTGGGGTCATCTCGACCAGCCCAGCTTTCTAAAGACTGCTTGGCGATCCGAGATACGCGGTAGCCGATCTTTCCAGCAACTTTGACTGACTCAATGAGGTTGTCCCAGACAAGTACGTCGACAAGCTTCTGTACGTCGTGCTCGGAAAGGATGGTGTTATGGGTGATACCGCTTGAGGAGAGGAGACGAGCGATGTCGCGTACGGTCGGATAGCCTGTGTATCCAGCAGGAAGAGGAAGTAGGGCGTCCTTTTTAACGGCCGCCGTAGGAGAAATCTTGGTGGCTTTCGCTGGGGGCTCATCCATGTGGCTAGCATCTCGCTTCTTGCCCTTTTCCACGCCACCTTTCACGACACCCTTCTTGGGAACTTGCGTCCGCGCAGCACCTCCCCCGTGTGTGCTGTGATAGCTGCTCTGGCGCTTGATAAAATCATATACAACTCGCTGTAGGTCTTCAATAAAGGCCTCATCAAAGTTCTGATCGGTATACCACGGGCCGCCGGTGGCTCTATCGCTGGGCCGTATGGAGGCCTTGATGAACATCTTTTTGTTCGGGTGCTCGACATTCTTGAAGGGCGCAATCAGACCCTTTGTCTGAAGTTGCTTTAGTGCGTTCTTGAGGACCGAGTCGTGCATGTTCAGTCGCTTCTGTAGCGTCTGTGACCAGATACCGTCGCCGCCCGAGTCGTCGATAAGAGAATAAACCATGACCTGTTCGTCGGTCGAGCACTGCTTATACCTAGCCAATTGTTAGCTATGAGCTTGATGTATTGTTCCAGAGGTATTTCTACGCACTTGTGGGCTTCTTCGGAGTCGCGCCATTTCCACAGCACTTGGCCCGAGGCCTCGCGCATGGTGATGAAAAGCTTGTCATCTGTGAGGGATTGAACGACACGGGCGAGCAGCATGAGGTCTCGGTTTGGAATGACATCGAGGCGCAAAAGATCATCCTGGGAGAACATGTCTGTTCCAGACTCGCGACATCGATCGTAGAGGGCCTGCTTCCAGACGCCGAGCTTGGCCGTCGCGGCGTCGCCCTCGGCGGGCGCGGGGGTGGGCATTGTGAGTCAAGCGACGATGCGACAAGAGGGATAGAATTGTCGTAGGAGGGAGGATTTGGTAAGAAGATTCAAAGATCTGATTATATTTGATGCTACATTGACATAAGATAGCGAGTGGCGAGTAAGAAAATGGGAGAGAGAAGACGGATGACGATGGGCTTCTCTTGGAGTAGAAGCGGCTGGGTTAGGTTGGAAATAATTATTTTTCGAGTCCCCCGCAGTCGACGCTAAAGTGTAGCTCGTCCCCTACCCTGCTACTTTATTACTGAACCTTCCCACCTTTCCACCTTCCCGGCCTGTGAGTCGACCCGGCGGAATGTCGGCAGTGTATGCGGAATGTGGGGTATCTTATCAGTGTCTCGGTCCCCCACCATTCGTGAATACCTTCAGCCACCCTAGACCCTTATCACCATTTGTACACCATTGCTGCTTGTTTCCTCCCAAATGAGCCATGACACAGACAGATCACTGAGAGACTTGTACCGATCGCTTTATGATCGCATCTATCTCTACATCTCTATATTCTGCTTATACATTCTGCTTGTCTCTAATAAACGCACATTCTCTTGTGTCCAACAAATGATACTGATCCGATAAAGACCTGACTGTGTAGCAAAGCGACACAATACCAAGGGACAAACAATATACCATGAAGTTCGACATTGACTGTACTTTAACTCTTGAGAAAACTCGCCAGGACCGCGAAACTGCCACTGGATGTGAAGGTTTAGACTTCCGTGATCTCAGAAATAAACTCTAGGATGGTGAAAGGGCGCATCAACTCATCGAAAGACCTCCACATAGAAAGTTCAACAATCTAACTATATACCGGGAGCAATGGCCTTTCTCTTTCACTATTAAATATCTCATCTCTTTCCTCGATAACATCACGTGGTTGATCAGGACTGGACTTTCCAACTATAGTATCACTGCCGAACCACACGAACTACATCAGGTCAACCCAAGTTAATTATAACATAAACGAATCCCTTAAGAAAAATCTACCAGATATCTTCGTGATGCTTTCAGCCGCCGAAAGAGAAGAAATCGATCAAGAGGTCACGGCCTTCATGGCCGAGGTTGGCCACACGTTTGGAGGCCACATCAACGAAGGTATCTCGAACGATGACGCTTCAAACAGTGGCACTTCAAGCGCAGAGCCCTCAACAAATGAAACAAACACACAAGGCACAAGAAAAGGCACACAGGAGGACACTTCTTCCGCAGAGTCATCAGCCAGACGTGACAGATTCGCGCACTTGAGTCCGGAGCTCGCCTCACACGACAGAGCAATCGAACGCTACAACTTTCTCAAACGCCACTGTCCCTGGAGCTAGGATGAAGCATTCTTGAACTTAATGTGTTCACTGCATAGTCACCCACAAACGATGGGTCTTCCACCGAGTTCAACTGAGCCTTTGGCCGATGAGTCACTCGAAAAAGAAGACGAGGGAAGTCCGTGTGGGAGTTAGGCCGATGTCCATGCTGAGACCAAGTAGGCTTTACCACATATCCGTGGAGGAAAGCTTTATAATAGGAGAGATGAGGAGGAATAATAAGAGTAGTAGTTGAGTTGTGGGAGGAACTGGGTTGTGTGCTCAGTTTACAGTTACTTGGTTGGATTAAAGACAAGACGTCACTCCCCAACAAAAAGACATTATCATCATTGCTAAGACTCATGCTTCAATAAAATTGAAATCCATACATGCCACTCATGCCCAAGATATCGTGATTTGTAGTGTTTAAAGAAATTCTTTCGCTTTAGTGACTAACTACTCAGTACAAACATCAAACATCATAATAAAGACAGCATCCCAATTATGTGTGATCGAGCCTTGAAATTCCACCCTCTTGTACAATTCGATGCCTGTCCCTTCGTATCGTCTTTACCCCTGCGCCCGGAACGCCTGACTGCAGGCCACATGAATCCTCCGCATGCAATGTTTTCGTCTCCTTACTTGTTGAGTGTCGTAAGGCCGGTTGCTTCCATGCGAAGATGCACGTGGCATGAGCTTTTGCTTGTAACGTGAAATTATCTCTAAGAAATCAAGAGGGCTTTGCCCAGAAGCCCCTAGTTCACAGGGCTCTTGCTCTTCTCGATAGGTGGCTCTGGCTTATCCTTCTCCGTATCGACGTCCATAGCATCGTCGGGTTGTTCGCCCTGAGCCTTCTCAGGTGCTGCTGCAGGCTTATCTGAGGTCTCTTCAATAGTTTTAGGTTCTGTGATGGGCTCCTTCGTAGCGGAATCGGGGGCCTCTTGGGCAGCAGACTCGTCCTTTGAAGCCTTCTCGGTGGGCGCTGAAGGCTCCACGGGTGCCTCAGGCTCGACCTCTTCCTTCTTGATTGTTGTCTCCTCTGGAGCCGCTGAGTCCTCCATGCCAACATCACCGTCTCCATCCACTTTACTAGCTTCAGGTTCCTTGGCGGCCTCGTCGGGCTTCTCGCTCTCCTTGGGCGGAGCCTCCTTCTCGGCTGGGGCTGGGGCTGAGATGTCGTCGATAGTATCGTCATTCACATCGTGAGCATCCTCGCCAGCTTGTTCTTCAGCAGGTTCATCAGCAGAAGCACCGTTGGTAACCTTGGCAGGAGGAGCATCGGCATTATCGATTTCCATTTCTCCCTTGCGATAGTCGGTAAATGTGCGCTTGTTGCCATTCTGGCGCGTGGCACCATGCGCCTGAGCCATCTCATCGTCGTCACTGGCTTCGAACTCGTTGTCGTGTTCAACATGCTTGTCCCAACGATGTTCGGTCATGCGAACATCCTTGTTCTCATCCTCATCAAGGTCATCCAACTCGGCCTCCTCCTCATCAGTCATACCGCCGAAGGGCTTTCGGGGGACGTCTTGCAACTGTACTGAAGGAGCAGGTCCGGTTTGTCGAAGGTTGTCGATGACTGAGGAAGTGATCTTCTCGAGGTACTCTCGGCTGTTAGAGTTCTCCATGTTAGAGGATCGCACATTCAGCTCAAAATCGGGAGCATAGTACTGTACAGCGTGAGTGGGGGCTTGTCAACACAGGATCAGACAACTTACTTCGTAGTATTCGTTGTAGGGCAGGGTTCGGTCCATCTCCTTGCCCACAAGAACACCAGTCTCAAAAGCCCAAGTTCGAGCGACGTTGCGCATTGTGTAGCCACCTCCACCGAGAACAAGAGTCGGGAGATTAAAGCTCTTGACATAGTTGACACAGTTGGCATGGCCATCCATGCTCAGATTGAAGCAACCAAGTCGATCGCCCGACAGACTGTCACCGCCGCATTGGAGAACAACAGCCTCGGGCTGGTAGTACTTCATGACATTCTCAATGACAGGCTGGAAGATTGACCGGTAGGACACATCGGTGATACCATCTCGAAGAGGAAAGTTGACAGCATAGTTTTTTCCTTGTCCAATACCAGTGTCTCGAAGTTCGCCAGTGCCGGGGAAGTACTCTCCGTACTTGTGGAAAGAAACGGTCATGACACGGTCGGTGGTGTAGAAAGCCTCCTCAACACCATCGCCATGATGCACGTCGATATCGATGTAAAGGACCCGCTTTTTGAATCGAAGGAGTTCTAGAATGCCGAGGACAATGTCTAGATGCCGTGTTAGATCGTGATATCTGAAATATCTGGGAGAGACATACCGTTGACGTAGCAGAAACCACTGGCCTCACACTTCTTGGCGTGGTGAAGACCACCAGCCCAGTTGATGGCGATGTCGCACTTTTGGCGGTTCAGTCGCGCTGCACCCTCCATGCTACCACCTGCACTAATACCACAGAACTCGAAAAGGCCATCGAAAACGGGACAATCATCACCAACGTTGTATTTTCCTTGCTCTCGCATGAAGCTATCCATGTTGTCTGGTGTGACCTTTTGCAGGAAATCGATGTAGTCGTCGGTATGGAACTGGGTCATCTCGCCTCGAGTCGCAGGTTTCGCGCGCTGCAAATTGTCAGTATGATATTCGAAACTCAGTGATACCTAGAGTTGAGTTGGGGACCAAGAATGGACTCACGTAAATCTCCATCTTCTGGTAGAGGTTGTACTGCATAATCAAGCTATGCGCCAGCCGAATGCGATGAGGCTTCATGGGATGACCAGTAACATAGGCATAGTTACCAATGTCGGAATCGTAAAAGTAAGCGACCTTCTTGGGCGATGAGCCATTGAGCGCAACCGAGCCGAGCTCGACACGTATATCGTCGCCCATGACTGCGGCTACTCGTGGAGTCGCGAATCTCGGAAAGCGGGTGTAAAAGAAAGGGTTAGATCAAATTTGCGCTCGAGAATAAAAAGATCTTGGATAGGTATTTCGATAGGGAACTGCTCAGGGAGAGCTCAGCATGATCGACGGAAAGTTTTAGGGAAGAGTTTGGTAGAATGTGACAAGATTTCGAGAAGAATCTTTGAGTGTAAGTAGAGTAACATGGGCAGAACCACCACTGGCTGATGCGAAGCACATCCCCGGAGCTTGAAAGTCGCCCGTTTACACCGGAATAAATATTGAAGCGCTCCCGCTTAAATTGACACAAGCCACATTTTGAGTCCCTCGCATGAGATACGCCACAGAGAGCGACTCAAGCTCCCCCACGTGACTTGACTAAGCTTCTCAGCTGTGGCTCCCAGGCTGCCGGGCTGGCGTCAACGTCAATTACCTTTACCAAGCTCCGATCATAGCAACGCCAACCCTCCATCACCGCCCACATCAACATCAACACCTGCACGCTTTTTTGTCGACGAATTACTCTAGCCGCAGATTATCCATACACATTTTAACACACCGTCGATACCATGGAGCGCTTCAGGAGTTTACTTGGTGGCGGTGGAATGGGCCTTGGAGGAGCTGCACATGGCACTGTAAGCTATGATCTCCTTCATATGAGCTCCCTAATGGAGCGTGCTTTGCAATTCTGAGCTTCGCTGACCTTGACGACTGTAGGACAACACAAACCTGATTGATAACTCCGAAACGGTCTATATCTCCTCCCTTGCCCTACTCAAAATGCTTCGACACGGTCGCGCAGGTGTGCCCATGGAAGTCATGGGTCTGATGCTTGGCGAGTTTGTGGATGACTTTACTGTAAAGGTTATGGATGTGTTTGCCATGCCTCAGAGTGGTACCGGTGTTAGTGTCGAGGCTGTCGACCCCGTTTTCCAGACCAAGATGATGGACATGCTCAGGCAAACAGGAAGGTTAGTTGATTACGGTCTCCCATTTGTTGTCACTATCTAACGGATTCAACAGACCTGAGTCGGTCGTCGGATGGTACCACTCGCATCCTGGTTTCGGTTGCTGGCTTTCTTCCGTTGATATCAACACACAGCAGTCATTCGAGCAACTGAACCCCCGCGCCGTTGCCGTCGTCATTGATCCTATCCAGTCCGTGAAGGGCAAAGTTGTCATTGACGCTTTCCGACTCATCAACCCCCAGCTCTTGATGCTTGGTCAAGAGCCTCGACAGAGCACTAGCAACTTGGGTCACCTCAACAAGCCCTCGATCCAGGCTCTCATCCACGGCTTGAACCGACACTACTACTCGATTGGAATCAACTACCGCAAGACCGCGCTCGAAGAGAACATGCTCATGAACCTGCACAAGCACGTTTGGACCGAAGCTCTGGAGATGGACGACTTCCGACACGAAGGTTGCAAGAACAAGGACAGACTGCAACAACTGGTCTCATTGGCGGATGGCTACGAGAAGCGCGTAAAGGAGGAGACTGAGTTGACTAAGGATCAGCTCAAGACTCGCTACGTTGGCAAGTTGGATCCCAAGAAGCATCTCGAGGATGTTGGCCAGGAGCTCATTGAGGACAACATTGTCTCCGTGTCAAGACAAATGATCGACAAGGAGGCTACCATGCCCAGGAAGGAGGGGCAAGCAGGGCCCAAGGGGCAAGTGAACGGCGAACAAATGGACGTGGAGGAGGAGTTATAAGCGAGAGGAAATAAATACCTTTAACAAGGATAACGAGGCCACGGGATGGACTTGTAAGATTAATGGGCGTTGGCGGTCGGGACGGAAGATTTAGAGACCTAGCCATGTCACGAATTATTGCACAAGGTTAGCATGATAGCATGCATGAATTGATTCCGCGTGTGCATTTTTGTTCAGTGAGTATATGTGCGGGCTGATCGTAGATGGTGTTCATACGCTGTGAGCGCTGTGAGTCTAGGTATTATGTTGAAGATTGCTGCACGCTGAACACAGCTACTCATGCGTAGAACAAAGGTCTTGACGTCTCTATAAAGACGAAAGTTGCGTAATAATTCTCTTCTTCTTTTTAATTCACTTTTCGAAAGCTGCGCTCATATTGACAAACTGCATATTTCGACTTTCAACCATTGCTTGTTTAATCTCCAGCTACACTTGAACAAAGACAACAACAACCACTAGAAGCAGCTCGCCATCGCCGAATATCTTCAAAGCAGTTCAGCCATTTCTTGCAAGAGCGCATACTCAGATTGATATCTATAAAGGCAGGTAAGTATTTACTTTTCTCTTGCGCTTGAGAGAGTTGTAGATTTGTTTCAGTGACAATGAGTTCTCGAACAAGTCTACGCTCAATCCTGCGCGCTTGGTTTGCGTCCGACAATTCTTCTGACTCAGAACCAGATGTCCGTATAGAATCAGTTAGGGGAGCATGTCCTCAACCAAACCAAAATCGACGGCGACAGAAAAGGGAAAAGAATAATACATTTGGGCTACCCAAGAAGCGAACTTATTGCAGCCATTGCCACGGTGCTAATGGTTATGGAGACAATGATTTTTCTAGGCGTGAGGCAAAAAGTAAAAGTCACAAGGATCAACACGCGTCAGGCGGGCAGCAGCATCGTCTTAGTGAGCAACTGAAGCCTCTGCCTGTGGTTCCACGTCAACGTCCCCCACAAGCAAGAGGCCAACAGTCTCCATCAGAGGATACATCCCTGCATAGTCAGGGCCACAATCAGAAACATAAACGCAGCAATGTTGTTGATACCCAAATAAACGCGTCAAAGCAGCTGAACCAGAAGAAGCATGGTATACATACTCTCTACCAACAGGAACAGGAACAGGGGAGCAACGAAGCCATCTTCCTCTCCGACGACCGCTCAATGAACCGCGAGGCCGTGTCAGAGGTAGTCGACATGATAGCTCTGCGCTTCAGCCACATCCCCTACGCCGTTAGCGGTCTCGCGGCCATGGTCTACTACGGCTACGAGGCGAGGCCGTACAAAGTGAGCATCGTGTGTCCCGAGCACACGCGCGAGAACCAAAAGTGCTGGGCCAAGGCGCAGGGCATGATCCCGATCCCGCGCCAGCGACACGTCTGGGGCGTCGCGACCTCTGACGGCATCATCCAGCAGATCCGCGTGAGGTTTCCCTACGATTTCAACGAGATGCATGCCCTAAAAATAGGCACCGCCGGCAGCAACCCCGTCTCCATGTTGTCGCTAGCGGGGCTGGCTGATGAGCTTGCGAGGACCTATGTTAATGAGCTCAAGCACTCGGACCACGACAGGCAGGAGAATCTGGCGCACGAGATGATCTGGATCCTCAAGAGAATCATTCAGTGCAGATTGCCTGAGCATGCGCTGCGGCCTGAGAGGATACCTCACCTCATCAGGGAGACGTTCTGGCTACCCTTCACACTATCGTATCCAGAATCGGTGCCTCTATTCGCAAAGGCGGGATGGAGCATTCCCAACGAGGGATGGTATTGAAGATGAACTGAGATGAGATGAGATGAGATGCGATGAATGAGATTGAGCGACACGGGAATGATTTGGAGTTTGGGGAATTACGGCGGCACAGTACGACACGACACGACACGGCATGGATATGGTTTATGGTTACGCTTATGGCTTAAAGTTTGGTTACAGCTACGCATCGCATGATACCCTAGATGTTCTTATTTCCTTCGTTTCTAATGATAAGACGACAACAATGTAGACTGAGAGATATTTGATTTTTCACCAAGAGTTTAGAGATTAGGCAATTTATTCACACTGCAAGAGAGCAGCAGTACTTCGCAAAAGTGTCTTTATTCGTGAGAACAATCCAGTATCTCTACGTACCCAAACTCAGCTTCTCTGGCTGGTGGTATTTCCAAGGCACTCTCTGCGCATTAATCCGAAATTGATCTGTACTACTCCCCAACTCCAATCTCAAGGAATGCATCCAATTCAACTTAGTTACGAGACTTCCACGCCTTGACGACGTGGCCGACAGTGAACTCTCCGTAGTTCTTGATGTAGCTCAAGTGAACAGAGAGATCCTTGCCGCCAGCCTCGCAGTATGGATCGCCCTTGTCGCAGATGGACACAGTCTTGCTGGCGATGCTGTTGCAGCCGATGGGGAGGTTGCGGGGGAAGATCTGGGACATGTTAGCTGTGTTTGTAGTTGTTGTTCTTGAAGACTTACTCCACTGCCCTCGCTGGTGCCGACAAGGAAGGGCTGACCTTCGGTGAGACTGGGATCGCCCATGGCGATGATGGCCGCAACTTTCAAGGGTTAGTAATATTTCAAGTATGTACTGAGTGCATATATCTTACCATTGTCGGTGATGTAGGAAGGCTGAGAAAGAGTGCCAGGGAAACCTTCAGAGCTGGCACCGCACATCGTGTCCATAGTGACATGGGCTCCCTGAGTATCATTAGCACGGTGGTTTACAAAGGTGACGACGAGTACTTACCTGCGAGTAGCCCATGAGGATCAAGTCAGTGTCGGGACAGTTCTTCACGTAGTTGTTGATCACGGAGTTCATAGTGCGGACGCCCTCGGTCTGAGACTCAACGTACTCATTGTAGAGGGCGGGATACACGAGAGCCTCCATGTCCGAACCGGGGATCAGCTTGATGATCTCCTCCGCGAGGATACCCATCGCACCGGGACCCTCTGGCTCAAGGCTACCACGAGCAACGATGAGGTGGGCGCCCTTGGCGCAAGTGATGGCGTCAGTGGTTGAGTTGGCCGAGACCAGAGCCATCAAGAAGCTCAGAACGAGCATGAAAGAAATCATGGCTGAGATGTTTGTAGGGTAGAACTGTTTGGAGAGAGTCAGAATAGGTTCTTCTTAAGAGATAGTAAAGATATAATCTCTTACTGTGATGTGTTGGTGTGCTGATGTATAGTTGAAGGTGAAGAGTTGGGATGATAGATTGGAAGTGAGGATGAAGAGTGAAGAGAGGAGGAAAGGAAGAAGAGCAGATGAAAGAACAGAAGAGAATATATAGCCTCACTCTGGCGACTGCCAGTGCCAATTCGCAGTGGAAGCTGCAGCATCAGAACGCGATATTCGCGATCACTGCCAGTGGCAGACAGTGATAGTAACCTCACCCACGATCTAATATCCATCTTTAAGATAGTAGAGCAGCGGCGTAGCAGTGGCAGACCCACAATAGCACTCTAGAAGCTCTAGTGAACGCTGGAAAAAGCAAAACCGTGGACCTCAACTGTCAAATCGCATCTTTGCAACTTTTGTGGTTCGGCTGCAGGGACTGGGGTAGATCGATGGTATCGGACTTGTTTCTTGATTTGGTCACCATAGTCTGCGTAACTCGACAACAGACGGGTTTATATACAGGAAATACGAATTTATAGAGCATGAATTGATGTTATGATAAGAAGAAATTACATATGAAATGCCCAAGGACCTTACTGGGAACAGTCAACTTTGTCTTTATATCATAATGTTGTCTGTTTGTGTAAGTGGAGAGAATCAACACTAGTTCCTGTCAGCTTGCTGGGGTAGGAACTGGATCTCATGTTTGCTAGAATTACCATATGATTAAATATGTTTCGAAACCTGTGTTGGTTGGTGCCAAGATTGTACTTGACGTAGTTGGCTCGGTTGGTTTGTCCTGGCCGTAGACAATCCGTAGGAACTCACCCCTATTCCCAAGAACACGTTTGTGCAGCACTATGGACCACTCATAAAATAACTTCTACTTCAATTGTATCTGAGCAATTCAAGATACGTTGCTGACTCAATGACGATTTAGTCTTGTATATTCTTCCTAGTGATGATAGATCAATTCCAGCCCTATCCGTTCCTGTACATACTCCACAAGACGAATCTTCGGTCAAGTAAGGATGCTAAGTTCTATGGAACATGCCTACAGCATAGTCAACAGCAACATGTCCATATGCCGTCACGTAGTTCATATGAGTTCTCAAGTCATGGCCCCCAGCTTCGCAGAAAGGATCACCGGCGTCGCAGAACGAGACTGTTTTGTCTGAAACACACTGACAACCTTCAGGCTTCTGACGGGGAATATCTAATAAGTGGACTTAGCTGTTGAGTGTATCCAACGTGTTCATCGGGACTTACGCCGTTACCAACACTACTCCCAACGTGGAAGGGCTGGCCTTTGGTAGTGCTCGGATCCCCCATGAGAACAACGGCTGCAACTTTGAGAGGGTTAGAATGTATGAGTGATGGAGATTTGTGACTCTTTTGACTGACTGTTGTTGGTTATGGCGGAAGGTGAAGGCTTGGTAGGGAGGAACCCGATGGAACTCGCACCACACATCACATCTGCAATGACATGGGCGCCCTGCATAACAGAGTCAGTAAAGGACAACCATACGCTTCATAATGGGGCTAAACGTGATATCTAGATGGACTGACCTGCGAGAACCCGAGTAGAATAATCTTCGTCTTAGGACAGACGGTCACATACTGCGCCAGCACAACAGAAAGAGCCGCCACACCCTCCATCTGTGAAGGCTGATAGGGATTATAGATAGCTGGGTATTCTAAAGATATCATCTCGGAGTGGGGGATTCTTTGCAGGACCTGCTGAGCAACCGCTCCAATGATGCCTGGCCCCCGAAGTTCCAGACTGCCTCTGGCCACAGTGATGTGAGCTCCGGAGACACAGCTGGCGTTTACAGGCTGACCATATTCTTGACAAGTAACGAAGGTCACAAATAGGATGAGGTATCTGAGTATGAGGAGCATCGTGAGAGGCTTCCGGAGACTAACAAGATCAGCGACGATTTCAGCGGTCTGCAGGCAAACAGGGGATTGGGAAACTTACAACAACTCAATCTTACAGAAGAATAGACAAATGAGGCTTACTATTATTGGAAAGATTGCGATTGATGAAAACAGATGAAGCTAAAGTCGAGTCGTAGCTCAATTTGCTAACTGACTTTGGTCGGCAGCACGGGAGGAAACAGGAAGGGTAGAAAAGAATAAGAAATAAAATAAATACAGACACAGAGACAAAGACAAATGAACGGATAAACTCACAGTGTGAGCTGGACTCACAGTCCGTTTGTGCTGTGCATTGCAAACAGATATATATCAATGTTTGACTACAAGTGAGTTACCTCATCAAGCCTGTCTCATAGCCAAGCGATGCAAGTCAAGAATAGCGTCAATATCAAACGCCATCCGATCAGGCTTCACGGGAATAAAACGAAGGGTTTGGCTTGATCTACCGTAGAACCTTCTCGTCATTGGGCATGTATAGGTGTCCGAGCAGGCATGTCTCAATATTTGGCGTCTCAACCCGGGAAAAAAGCAACCATGTCAATCCGTGGCACTAGAAAGACCAGGACACGGAAGAGCAAACTCAGCTCCTTACTCACACAAACCAAACAATCAAACGCCATCCCCCCC